CTCTTTGGTGCCTTGCCGGTAGAGCGGGGAGAAAGCGTTTGGTAACGGCGCCTCTAGCTGTATCTTATGATCGTATACCCGGTGTGGTGGTAATTTATCAGATTCCGATTTTGAGAAGACGTCGGTGTACTTTCGGTGCACAGGCGGGAGTTTCTCCTGGATGAGTGATATCGTCTCGTCATCCTCTTCGGATTCTTTTTCCCGAATGATCTGATCGATCTCGTAAAGGCTGGTCTGGAAGAACTCGGCATCGCTTCGCATCATCTCGTGGTGGAAGGCGTTTGCACCGATCTCGCAGATGTGCACCGGCGTGAAGCTTGGTACAGGCTTCGCCGGTGGCAAGAAAGGTACCCCTGGGATCTGAGGTGTACTCGGGGCAGTGTCGGTGGTCATTCCGGAGTCCGAAATTATCACTTTCATTTCCATCGAGCGTCCGCCTGCGCGGCGTCTGTCTTCGTGGTGGATTGCGGCATCCCTACGATTCGCATCCGACTGGTGAGAAGGATGTCGAATGGACGTTTCGCGCGAGTGGTAGGGCAAGGTGATCTCCTTGCTCCAGCTAGGAGTAGGCGGGTACTCCTTTGGCCATACTAGCCGGCTCTTTGCAGAGTCGAGTAGTATTCGGAAGCGGCTGAAAAGCTTCCTCCCAATTATCACATCTTGCGCTCCGAGGTCCAGGAGCACAAAGGGGCAGTTATATATTCAGCGTCCTTCGACTGTTAAGTGCAACCGAATATACTCCGATACGTGACTTTGGATTTTTCGCTGAAAACCACGTATGGGTACAGAGTAGGGCAGTTTCCGTATGGGGCTCTGAAGCGCCTTCGACAGTCGTAGCGCGAAGGGCTTGTTGATGACGAGGTATCCGTTTGCTCCTGTGTCTGCGAGAGCCTTCGTTTGCACACCGAGTCCGTTCAGACTCAGCGTCGTGTCGACTAAGAACTGGGTTCCGCCCAAGAGTTCTTGTAGGTCGAGATCTCGCAGATCACATTTGCGTAGACCTAGGAAGGAGCCTTTCCCTAGGCCTCGTCGTTTTCCTCCAGGGACGCATCCGATTGGAGTTCGACTGCCTCCTCCCACTGCTCTTCGGGTTCAGGGGCTTCGCGGTCAATCTCTTTGACTGTGGGGTTGAGCGGGCACCTGTCCTGGAAATGACCGGGCTTCCCGCATTTGAAACAGTTTCCAGACGCAGCCGGCACGGCGGTCCGCACGCGACCTGTTATGTCCGGCTTGGGGGCGGTGGGTATGAAAGGAGTCCTCTGGAAGGAACCCAACGGACTTCTTGTCGTCTTCGGTGGTTGGGTCTTGGCGGCCTCCACAGGCGGGAACCTGGATGAGCCGAGGCGGGCCCGTCCTGGGAAGCTCGACTCGCCGCTCTTGGACTGGGAGCTCAACTCGCCGTTCCTGCGTCGCTCTTGGTCAAAGGCGGTTAAGGCTCGGACCATGGTGAGGTAATCGCCTTTCCATTGGTCCTTCACGACCGCCACGCGGCTGCGGAATTGCGGTGTGAGCTTGTTCCACATATACCGAAACCACTCCGATTGTGATACTTGTCCCGTAATCGCCGCACTTTGGAAGCGGGCTTTGAACTCGGGGAAGGTTTCGTGTAAGTGACCCTTTTCGCCCATCTGCATATCGTCGAATTCGTTCCGGGCCTGTTCGGTCTCATTACCCGTAAGGTAATATGATCCTAATAGGTCCATCATTTCGTCTGCGCTCTGGAAGCCATGCGTATCCGATAGGTATTGGGGTTCCAGATATTTCTTTGCCAGGCCGGTCGTAGTTCCCCATATCAACGCTCTTCTCGAGACGTCGGTAGGGTAGTGGTCCTCATTGACTACAAGTCGGTCCCGAATGGACGCGCTCCATTGCATAAAGGTATGTTCTATCCCATCGCTGAGCGGCGTAATCTTCTCAGAGATGGTGGATTTCTTGTAACGGTTCGGAGGGTCCACGGTGTACTGTCGGGGTAGACCCGGGATTGAAGGAGAGCGCGCATTGTCGACAGGTGGCAGTCGAACGGTGCCGGGCGTGTTTCGCATTGTCGGTGCAGGCTGTTCGTCTTCGTCGGCCTCAATGGTGCGCACTGGGGCGTCGGCAGCCGGTGGTGGCGTAGACGGTATTCGGGTCTGGCTAGCTACGAGGCTGGCTACCATCGCCTTGAGCTCCCGCATCTCGTTCTCGAGGTTCGCTATGCGATCCGGGGGGCTTTCGGATGGCCCTGCGGTCGTGCCCGCTGTGGCGGTTTGCCTAGTTGTCATTCGTAGCGGTTGACCGTCATTGTCGGGTGGTGGGTTTTGTGTCGTCTTGCGCGACATCTTGATTCGGGGGTGTATCGAGTCGCAGTCGATACGGAAGAGTTTGACTTCCGGTAGCTCGTAGCTATCAACACTCTTGTTCACAATTGCCTCTGTGCTTGAGGGGGTTCTTTAGGATCTCGTATCCTATTCGGCGCCAACGCGTCGGCGACTTTACCAGCTTGCTCTGCAGGATCAAACCCTGATCCACTGGCTGTCCGTGAGTTCTCTGGGGTCACGGCTATTTGGAGTCATCAGGTCTCTACTTCGAAATGTCACCGAGTCGCGGTCGGTGGTGTTTCGACAGTTCTCCTGAGTCGTTCCGGTTGTGGGATATTATTTAGGTACGGCCGTCCCCGGCAAGCGTGATCTTTTTTGTATAATGTAAGGACACAGGGAATACGGCTCTCCGTAGGTGCATATGGGAGTGCGAGTCGGAGGTGATGCTGTATTCTATCCTATAGGTCTACTACGAAGGATACAAAAAAGATGAAAGGGGAGCTTATAGCTTCCTACCCCTTATGTACCTAAATGGGGTCCGACTCGGCTAGGCCTTAGCGTACCGGTAGATCCACTCCCGTCTGCCGCCCGAATCGACCCCGACCCTAGAACATCTATGCTGCTATACTACTATGTCGCCTATTCCGCGTTGTCTTACGGGTCCGAGGGTACCCCGTGTAAGGAGGCATCCTTACAACACTTTCACCTGAGTTTGGATGTTGGATGGTGGTGGAATAGACATCGTGTCTTCGCACACTATGATCAGTTCGTTCTGGTCATTTCCGGAGTCCGTAAGTGAGTATTATCACCCCCTGAGAAATTATCTTGATGAGATTTTTCTCCACTATGTTTTGGCTCACCCTGCAGTGGCTCCACATCTTGGTTTGTAGTGACATCTGCAGGTTGATATGGCTGTTGCTCATCTTCATGATCATCGATGTACTGATTGTCCGACTCAGGCAGTTCGATGACTTCTACCGCTTGCTGGATTTCAGCTGGTGTTGCGACAGAAGTGTACAGTGGATCAAACATCTTATTTTCATTGAAAGTAACATCTCTTGTTACTATTACCTTTTTGAGTGTCGGTACCCAGATGCGAAAAATGTTTGTAGAGTTGTATCCTACCAAATAACCAATTTGTGCACTCTTCTTGAGTCTGTCCAATTTTGGGCGGTTTTGGATAGGGGCATATGCTCGACACCCGTAAATGTGAACATGCGACAACAGAGGCTTAACGTTCTCTGTTTGAATATTAGGGAGCTTTAATAATCGTCCATAAGGGGTTTCGTAGTTGAGCACTGCTGTGGTTAATCGATTGATGAGGTACCCAGCAGTTTTCAAACCTACAAGTCACTATACATATTTTGGCTTATCACACCAACAACAAGAGCAATACTACTCAATGATTGCGAACGTGATGTCTTTCCTTATAAGCTCTGTAAGTGGTTGAGCGACTTTGGAATTTCCCTTAATAAACCTTTAGTAGAAGTTTGTGAAACCTAAGAAGGCTTGTGCTTCTTTAGCCGTGGTTGGTGTTAGCCATTCCAGCACTGCTGTGACCTTTGCTTGGTCCATTTTGATGCCATGCTGTTACGGCTATCGGCAGAGCTATTAGCCGAGTAGGTCACGCTACAGGACCCCACTGTCATACTGACATTTGTTGCACTCAGTTTGCTATCAAACTCAAGAGCAATCTCCTCCTCAAACTTACAAGTCACTATACATATTTTGGCTTATCACACCAACAACAAGAGCAATACTACTCAACAATTGCTACAACCCTCTATGATTCATTACACGTCATTGCTCCTTAGTTACTGGGCCGATATTACCACATAGCATATCACTATAACCCTCTATGATTACATGACATCACATCTTAGTTACTGGGCTAATACTACACAGGACATATCTCTATCAACTAGAGGCCTAGGAACATGAACGATAGCTCCAAAAGCTTCTACAACCCTCTATGATTCATTACACGTCATTGCTCCTTAGTTACCCACAAGATTGGTTAAGTTATGACATAATTTGTCTATAGGGGTACTCTGACCTTGGACCTCCTTTCACTTCCTATAGGCTAGGAACCTAGGAGATGGTTCTATGGGATTCTCTTAAGTCGACTACAGTTACCAAGCCTGGTAAGTCATGGAAAGTCTTGGAAAATGAGAGAACTACACTCCTTTAGCATAAATAGGATTGCCCTTTCCTTAAGAAAGGGCAAGCAGACAATACAGCACATACTTCCACGTCTTTTCCAAGCTTCCAAGCATTGATCTTGTTACTCCTTGTTTCTGAAAAGCCAGCGAGGTGCTAACCTCTGACTTATCCCTGAGTTCTCAGACTCAACATTTGTTACAACTTGTCTAAACCACCCCACTACATCATACACTTGATTGCTGCGTTGTGGAATAGTCTAAGCTACAACCCTTTGGCTCTGTTTCCTAAGACAGTGTGTTGTCTTAGTAAAATCATCCCTTCCTTGGGTGGCTAGATTCTCACATCTGGTACATTAGCCATTCTATGGCAAGTTTGTCGTTGATATATCCAGTCCCTAAAAGTAGAATTCTCTCTGTCCTATGAAGATTCTCATGATACCAATTCTCCATATAAGTCTTTCCTTGAATAATAAGAACAGGTGGGATTGCATCTCCACTTGTAGAAACAGCTTTAACAACTGTAATTGAGATTCGGTTTTTAGGACTTGGTGTGTATAGCTCATGAACTCCAATTAGAACTAAAACTTGCTCTCTACCTAGAATCCCAATTCGAAATCCAGTCTTGGCTATATGACCAACACACACGAAGAACTACCACATCAGACAAAATGAAGGTGATCGATGCACACCCAGAGAATGGGTGCGCCACGCCATAGAGGACAACTGATTCACCCACCCACGCGCTCAGCCAGAAGCTAGTCCGGTTTATGAAGGACGGAGTTCTCACCTTCATATTTCCCACCATTGCAAAGGGGCCGCTCAGATTGCACAGTACTTGTGATGATTTGGAGCCTCTGACTTGGAGTGCTTTGGATCTACTAACAGCAATCTACTATTAGTGGGAGATTGGATTGATCGGAGGATCTAGCGGGACTACACACAGAATCAAGTGAGAGCACACCCCATAACGCGAGGGTGGGTGGAGACGGAGCGTAATGATACTGTGCAGCTGAACCATGGTACGTACGCAGATGCTCAGCCGGAAGGGTGGGGGAGTATCCCCACCTCTCGCCTCGCCATGCCACTGTCATCGGACGGTGTTTGTCGATGGGGTTGGGTTTAAATGTAGTAGATTCATCATATCTCATGGATGTGAGGGCGGATGGGTTAGATGGCGCCCATTACCTTTCCGCCGCCTAGGCGCCAGAGCCAGACGGCTTCGGTGGCGTAGGCTTTCACACTCCTATGCTTCTCTCCTCCCCCTCCCTCTCCCTCCCCAGCCATCCCCACCAACCCCCCCACCACCCCCCCTTCCTCCACACACCTCCACAACCCCATCGTAACCTCGCTTCCCGCGCCCCACTCCCCTTTCCCAAGCCTATACAGTATCCGTCCCATCACCATCGCCGCTAGCCCCCGCTGCTGGGGTACGGAACTGCGGAGTAAGCCGGAGAGTTCGGAGATCGTATACCCACCAGCCTCTGGAGCGTCTGCGTGGTGGTGTAACCCCCTATCTCCTGGCATCGCGCGGGATATCCTGGGTGGTAGCAACTGTCCCCTGAAATCAAACCGTAAACTTGAAGCAGGGATGGAAGTCTGGGAGGGGTGGTAGGTGGACTCCAAATCGGCCGGGGAGCCGGGGGTGGGTAAAGGGGCGAGCCATGCTAGAGATGCTGAGGAGGAGGGAAGGGAGGGGAAGTAGGCGGTGTGGAGGTCTTGGAGGAAGTTTGGGGATGAGGGGTCGAGATCGGGGAGGGTTGGGGGGCGGGGGAAGTGGAGGGTGTTTTCGATGGGTTCTGTTGAGTCGGTGGTTGTGCCTGTGGTATCTGCGGTGGTGTCGGTGGGTTGGTCGGAGGTGGTGGTGGTAGTGGAAGGGTGCCTATGTCCTCGTGGTTTACACTCCGACCCGGGCTGCAACCCGGGCATCTCCTTGGGTTCCGCCTCGTCGTTTTCGAGCCAGTGAACTGCTCTTGTGGGTTCCACCCTCCTCCCCTTCGGTTTGGCAATCCTCGTGGCTGTCGCTCTCTCCTTCCTTTCCTCCTCCGCCCCCGCTGCCGCAGGGGACGCATCATCTTCCGTAACTTCGACCACAGGCGGCTCGGGCGTCTCAACCCATGTATCCCCCCTCCCATCATCCATATTGGCCCTCTTCAGATAATCCTCCAACCCCACCTCCTTCTTCGCATCAACCCTGCTCCCACCCTTCGCACCCCCCCCCGTCAAATCGCCTTTCATGTTGTGAACCAGCGCCGCATCCGATACGGGTGCCGCCTTCTTCTTCTCGGCGCGGGACATGAGCATACGGACTAGGTTCGGGTCGAGCGCGGACAGCAACTCGTTGCGCTCCTGTTCAATGTCCTCGGGCGACATGGCAGCGATCCTTTTCTGGTTTTCCAAATCGATGTGCGTCCTCTCGTCCACGTCCTTGTCAAACACGCCCTCTCCAACCCTCCCCGTCCCCATTGCACCTCCATTCCGTGGCGGCGCTTGTGGTGTCAGCGCGGCCGCACGCCCTCTCGCAGTGTTCAGCCTACTCGCCCTCTTCCTATGCTCCGGGAAGCCCGTCGGCGTCTGCTTCAACACGGGCGCCGTGGGTGGTCTCGGGGCCGAGGGCGTGCGCTCGATGATATCTCGTATGAAGGGATCTGGAGTGGCGGAGGGTTGTGTGGTGGGGGGGTCTTCGTCGTCGGAGAGGTCGAGGATGAAGCGGTCGGTGCGGCGGGACATTGTTGTGGGGAGTGTATTGGGACGTTGTAGATGTGAAGAAGGCAGAGCGGTGGGAGGAAAGGGAAACGACGTAGTCAGCCACACACGCGACACGCCACACGCGACACGCCACACGCCACAGCACGGGATTTTTAAAGTTGTAAGACGTGCGTGGTGGCCAGGCTCCCGTTTCGACTAACGGAGATGGGTTAGAGGCGGAGGGAGGATCCGAGGGCTTGGGATGGACATTCGCATTAATCCATTCGATTAGTGGATATATCACGTGCGACGAGCACTCATCATCAGCATGATCATCATCATCAGCATCATCACCATCATCATCATCATCATCATCATCAGCATCATCAGCATCATCACCATCACCATCACCATCACCATCATCATCACCATCACCATCACCATCACCATCACCATCATCATCACCATCACCATCACCATCACCATCACCAGCCAGCCATATCACCAACTGTACTTCTTTTCTCCTCCTACTCCTCCTACTCCTCCCCCTCCTCTTCCCTCTCCCTCCCCTCCTCCCCCCTCCTCTTCCCTCTCCCTCTCCCTCCCCTCCCTCCTCCTCCTCCTCCCTCCTCCTCCTCCTCCCATCCAACCTAAACCCTTCTTGGTCATTTGTCCATTCTTCTTCGTCTACCACTCTACCCTCTCTACCCATCTCCACCTCTCTACCCATCTCCACTCCACCTCTCTACCCATCTCCACTCCCACCTCTCTTACCATTCCACCTCTCTACCACTCCACCTCTCTACCACTCCACGTCTCTACCATCCCCTTCTTCCCCCATCCTTCTCCCCATCCTTCTCCCCATCCTTCTCCCCTCTCCCACCTCTAATTAATCCCCTTCTCCCCCCTCGTCTCCCTCTTGTCTGTTTCAATCAATTCCTTTACCCATTCCCGCCTTCCCTCCCCCCAATTCCCTCCCCCCAATTCCCTCCCCCCAATTCCCTCCCCCCAATTCCCTCCCCCCAATTCATTCCCACTCCCGCCTTCCCTCCCCCCAATTCATTCCCACTCCCGCCTTCCCTCCCCCCAATTCATTCCCCCAATTCATTCATCCACTTCCCATCCACTTCCCATCCACTTCCCATCCACTTCCCATCCACTTCCCATCCACTTCCCATCCACTTCCCATCCACTTCCCTCCATAATCCATAAACCCTCCCCCCCCAACAACCGCATCAACTCCCTCCCTTCTTCCAACCCTCACCACAACTCTCCACCTTCATCCTCTTTTCCACCCCCAACCCCTCCCATCACCACCGCCTCATTCCATCAAAAAGTCCTTCATAATCCATCCAACACCCCCTTAAACCACCGTCCTTCAATCCCTTCAAGACGCCTCCATCCACTCATCCATCTAGACGACCCGATTACCCACCCACGCCCACCATATCTCGGCTTCGTCGCCGTTTCCCCAAAGCCTCGTCGCGGAGTTGAAGCTATTCATACATTTCGCCACACCCCAACAAACACATTGAACACATCGAACACATCTAACACAACAAACACATTCATTTCTTTCCCCTTTCCGCCTGCGCCCGTCTTTACAATTCAACGTCTTTCGTTTCTTCAAGTTCGTTATTTTGTCCCCACGGTATCCCATCTCCCCCAGACCGACCCAAAATGTCTGGTGTTGATGGTCCCGCCAACAACGGACCATCTCGTTACAGCTCGTCCCCCGAACTGTCGAGTCCGCCGTGCTCGCCCTCCGACCCCGGCTCACCTGCCGCTCGCCAACTACTGAGGGATCAACGCGATGCTCAGGATTCCACCATCGTCGGTTCTGCTGGTGTTGTCGACGAACGCCGTAAGTCACTTTTTCGCTTTTGTCGCATTACAATGCAAAACAATTTCAATTTACAATACGCTACAATGGTACAAGGTACAAAGAAAATAGCTAATTAATCTCCCACCCTACAGCATCACTACCTTCCGCTCCACCTGCCAGGAAGAAGCCAGGTCGCAAGCCAAAGCTTCCCGTCGTCGCCGATGGGGCCTCGGCAACTAGCACCGACACCAAACCCAAGCGCACGCGCAAGCCGCGAGAGGCCAAAGACCCCAACGCTGCACCCGTCCCGCGCAAGAAGAGAGTAACTGCCGGGACGACGACGACGACGACGACGACGACGACGACGACACATGATGCCGATGAGGATAATAACACCACCACCACCGCAGCCAAACCAGCACACGCTGCGACACGACAGTCCAGGCTGACCGACATGAACATGCGACCGGCCAACGAGCCGGGGTACAGCATCCTAAACGAGCCGTTCCAGCCGCAGCCGCACCAACAGCAGCAGTACAACGCCGCCGCCGCCGCCGCCTCCGCCGCCGCACCAGGACCCCAAAACGGCAAGTTTGAGGATATTCAAAAGGCCACGCCCGTCTCGTTCTTCAACGCCGCGCCACCACCACAACCTCAGCCGACGCAACCACCACAACACTCGCAGCCCGTTCGGTCAAGCGGTCAGAACTACGACCCGATCCGCTCAAACTACGACCCGGTGCGCGAGAACGTGCCAAGCCACCCATACCACGCCCAGGTGTCGCCCAAGCCCGCGCCGTCGAACCGCGCCAGCGCATCGCCATCGATTGCGAGTCTCGTGGACCCACCACACCAGTCCTCGACCTCGCCCTCCATGGCTGCGCAATCTTTCTTCCAGCATCAGATGAAGATGCACACCTCCGTCCCTCCGTCGCCGACGTCCATCCGCGTCGTCCCTTCACCAACCTTGAACGCTTCTACGGGCCCTTCGCCATCGTCTGGTGTGCAATCCGCCACCCGCTCCCGTCAGGAGGAGGCGAAACCATACGTCCGCGCCCCTGCGCCACCGCTATCATTCGCCGCAAACCCGGCGCAGATCACATCAATCTCCAAACCCCCTGCGTCGACCTCCACCGCCGCCGCCGCCGCTGCGCACCCCAAAGCTTCCAAACCCATCGACGCCACCCCTCCCCCCCTCCCGGGACAAGGCAACGGCTTCTTCAACGCCCCCAAAGACGGGACGGAGTCAAGGGCTCCGACGATCGTGCTGCACATCCCGCTGAATGGGGGGTCGAATAGGTATATCAATTTCACGCGTCTCGCGGAGGAGCGGTACGGGTGGGACGCCATGCACCCCCGCTTAGCGGCGCAGCGCGAGCGTCTTGCTCGTGTCGCGGCCGCGGGCGCGGCGCTGGAGAAGAGTGGGCATAAGGAGAGTGGTGATGAGATGTCCCTCGATATTTCCGATGCCGAAGGCGACAACTCTAACGTTGAGATGGGGGGGGTGAGCGATGGGCGCACCGGCACCGACGCTGGGAAGAAGGTTGTCAAGAAACGCAGGATGAAGGAGGATGATTATGATAAGGAGGATGATTTCGTGGATGATTCGGATTTGTTGTGGGAGGAGCAGGCGGCGGCGAGTGTGGATGGGTTTTTTGTGTACTCTGGCCCTCTTGTCCCCGAAGGCGAAAAGCCCGCCCTCGAGCGTGGCGAAGGCGGTAAACGCGCTCGCGGCTCGCGTGGACGTGGTGGCGCGAGGGTGGCTTCTGGGACACGTGGTGGACATGCTGCTGCGGCTGCGGGGGCGAGGGAAGGAGGGAAGGAGGGGAAGGAGACGAGGGGGGGGGGGGCGACGAGGAAACCGAGGGTTACGAAGGCGGATCGGGCGAGGAGGGATGCGGAGAAGGTTGAAAGGGAGAGGATGGGGGTGTTGGCTGCGAGGGGGGGTATGCCGGTGGGGGGGGGCATCATTTGGGGGGACTCCTATGATTTTTGAGACGGGGGCTGCGTAAGGGGTGTGGGGATGTGTGTTTTAGAGGGTGTTTTCTTTTGTTGCTGAAGGGGGCTTGGGGAACGGTGAGGTGGGATATGGGGTGCGAGGTGTCGGAGTATTTGCCCTTCCTCTTTATTTCTTCGTTGTTTGTTTTTTTTCTCGATGGGCGATGGGCGATGCGGGGTGCTGTGGGCTCGCTTTTTAAACTTCAACTTCACTAGAAGAGGGGAGGATACGATAGATATGGGGATTGGGGTGGGGATGGAGAGAAAGATGGCCAGCTGGGGAGATTAACCCGCTGGCTGTAGCTGTGTATATTAGCTAGCTGGATGGGGGGTAAAACTGTACATACATACATGCCATACGATAATAGACACGATGACTGTCCAACTCACCCCCTCTCACACCTGCTCCCTCTGCTTCCTCCTTGCTAACCCATCCCCATCACTCAAGAAACCACAAACCCGAAAACAGCGAGAGTGGCATCTAACCACCCAATCCCACCCCCCGGGGGGAAGGGGGGAGTTATACAGGGCCGGGGGGGCTCACGGTCAAGGGATTCTATGGTATGGTACAGTCCAAGAGTTAGGGTTGCAAATAGGGAGGTGGTATGTCTGCGTCGAGTCTCGTGAGAGGGGAGGGGGGTATCAGTCCTCACCTCACACTCCGTAAACATAACCTCTTATATTTTCCGTTGGCGACATAAAATAACAATGTCGTCATGCGCGATGACCCCACCGCATACATACCATCAAACAGATGGGGCTATTTCCAAGCTTCTTCTCATTAGGCGGGGAGTGTGTGCGTATCTGCACCGCACGCCATGCACCCCCATGCCTTTGAACACATGAAGCGAACAAGGGAGTACATTTTGAGAGCCCCAACGAACAGCACGAAGCACCTGCATGGCATATGAGTACCAAGAGGAGGCTTCTTTTTGGGGGGGGAGAAACACGGGTTCTTTCGGACTTTCTCAATTCGTGGACTCGTGGCGGGTAGAGGGGGGTGGTGAGAGGATGATATAGCGACGAAAAGCGCGGTGGTGGCGAGACCAGCAGCAGCAGCAGCAGCACGCACTAGCAGTCCAGAATGGAATCCAAAACCCAACCCTATCCAAAACCAAGGACACACCGCCGCCCCAAGAAAAGAAACTCCCCGCGATATAGTCCGGATTGAGGTGATGGTACGGGAGGGGGTGTGGATGACTTGGGGTCAACCGCGTTTTTATACAGGGTGGGGGAGAAGGGGTTGTGGGTTTGCGGGCGAAGGGGAGCAGGGGGTAGGTGGTATACACTAACACCCGCTTCTGCTGCGTAGATCCCGAGGAGCCACGGGGATGTTACATACATCTCCTGGCCTCCCTCGCTGCAAACGGGTATATCAACACCCCCTCCGCCGCCCCTCCCCCCATCTTCTCGGAAAAGCAAAACACACTCCATAGCGGCAAAGGCGCCCGTGGCGCTGTCGGGGAGCGGGGAGGCGAGCGGCTGCGTGGGAGGGTTGGGGGATGGATGTCGGCGTAGGTGGTGGTGGTGGCGGTGGTGGAGAAGCTACTGGGAGGATGGGTGAGGTGACAACAGCGCAGCGCGGTGACGAGGTGTGCGAGATGCGAACGGAAGATAATGTTACATCAACTTCCGCTCCCGCTCCAAAATTAAAACGGCAGCTCTAGCGAGACTTGGGGTTTTGTATTTCGAGTTCTTCTTGTCTGTGGCCTGAGATCCGGTTAACCTTTGTCAACCACTCTTGGTTAGGATTGGATGGGGGGGTATGGGGTAGCCGTCTGGGAGAGGGTGGGGAGGAAAATGGGGGGTGGGATTTGGAGATGGGGAGTACAGTATGTCCCCGGAGTCTAGTGGGGATATGATCTCCTCGCCTCCTTACCCTAACTAAAGTATATTGCGAGTAGTATCTGCGCGAGGGGGTTGTGGGTGAATGGCTGGGGATGGGTTGTAGATACCAGCAGTGAGAAAGAGAAGCGGTGGTGGGAGGGTGCGATGACAGTAGCACAGCGCGGTTCAAGATGAGGTCGAAGTGAGGGAGTGGCTGGGGCGATGGGGTTATTTGATATGCTTTGTTGAGACTTCTTCGATGACCGCATTTTTTTTTCGGTGGTCAATGAGTTGTTAATGGCTGTTTGATCTTCATCAACGGGAAGTTTATATATAGAGTTAGAGGGGATTGTGGATTACCAGTTAGGGCGGGGATGGTTTAATATTCAGTCAGATCTAATGCAACGAAGTTAATTCTCAGGAGTCTCCTCACCTCTTTTACATCTAATAGCGTATGATATAAACCCTACCCCGCCCCCCCCCCCATCTGCCAACTTCTGAGTTGCCGCTAACACACACTTAAACACGATCCATGAGGCGCTGTCTAGTGGGGAGGGGTGAACGGTAATTGCGTGGGAGGGGTTGTAACTTCTTTACTGTTCGTTTCGGAGTTGTCGATGGCGGGTTGATCTTCGAGTCAACTGCGGTTTTATATATAGAGTGAGGGGGGATTACGGGTTACCAGTTGAGGTGGGGATGGTATATAACCCCCACCCCCTTCACTCCCCCCTGTCTCAGCAAATGCAAGGAGACATATACAACTCCACATATTGCCGCGGTGTCTGTGGGGGGAGTTGTGGACTGGATGGGTTTGGATGGGGCGGATGGGGGACGGTGGTAGGAGTAGGCGGCGGCGGTGATGGGAGCAAGATGCTGACGAGATTTCAGAGACGGTGAGAGGACGGACGGTGGTGACAGCGGCAGCATCCCATTGCTTTGGTGCATCGAGATCTGCCAACGCCTTCGCATTCTCATCCCGCAGCGCCCCCGTCACCGCATCAAGATCCGCTGCCGTCTTCTCTTTCTCGCCCCGCAACTCCTCAATCACCCCCTCTGACTCGGGTTAACCTGCTATGACAACTCATCTCTCCCTTATGCCACGGACTTCAGCCATTAACCTGCCTCTAGAGACCATCGCGCTCGTCCTTTTTAGCATTAATATCGACGTTGAATCACTTCTTTTCAAGGTCATGTCAAGAAATATAGCCTCCAAACTCCATTATGCACGGCGACATATCGATATTATGAGCCTCTGTCTGTTCTTTGCAACTATTTGCCGACGCGTTCAAATTCTACAATTTCAAGCAGTATCAACTCATTAAAATGACGAACTCCGTACAGAAATACACCCCCCCCCGGCGCCCCTCGCTCGCTCACCTACCCACTATATAACCCACCCTTCCCTCCAAGCATAAGTGTCCTGCTCCTCGAACCCCTTGGCGTGGCTGCCCTTTCGCTCGAAGAACTCACATTGTATGTGTCCGGGCGACCTGTCACTATGATCCGGGCTTCCCTCCGCATTGAGCGCGGGGGTTGTGTGTGGGGTAGGTGGATGAGCGGTGGTGGGGTTAGGCGGTGGTGACGGGGTGATGGTGACAAGGTGACGGTGATAGCAGCGTGGCAGCAACAGCGGCGCTCGCAGCGGGGGGGTTGGAGATCCAGGATTATAGGTGGGTGGTATGGCACTGGAGGCTAGGACATGATTCGGCGTTAGCATGTCGGTATTCTGATACGAACTTGGTCCTATAGTTCACAAATTAGGGTGTGTTTTACATTCACATCTTCGAGTCAGATCCTTGGAGTGGGTGATAGAGAAGCTATCTTGAAAGTAGAAGGGGACGGATGAGAATGCCTCCGTATAAATTTACACACATAGTCACTGACAATTATTCCGATCACCTCCTTTCCACCCTCCGATTCTCTGATAAGTCAAACGTGCATCTTCACAGTTCAAACAGTTGGCAGGGTATTTTAATGGGAAGGGCATCAAAAAGATGCTGGTCTGCAAAGAGGACGTAGACCTAACTCTGCGACTTCTCCTTAATTATGCATTTGAGCCCGGGCGGTGACAGCAGCGCGGTGGCGGCAAAGATGAGACGACGACAGGGGCCAGTGGTAGCGGGGGGTATAACGGTAGTGAGAAGTCTACAGTACCGCTCTACACCACCAGCACAAACCATCCAGTCCAGTTGGTGATGTCTATTTGGCGAAATCCACGCCTGGGAGGTTTCCGTCCTACTTTGGCGCAATCCATGGAGGGAAATGACGGCTCAAACATCACTATAACGTGGTATGGAAGGAAGGAAATGCCTCTGTATTTCTCGCTGATATACATACAAATATCCACTATCCACCCCTCTCCCCCCAACCTCAATTCCCCTCCCCCTCACCACTCCCCCTCACCACTCCCCTTGTACCCCCATCCCTCATACCAAACCCCCATATTCCCCGCCACCACAAGATCCAACATCTTAATCCCCTCTCCAAACACAATCAGCTTCCCCAACTTCGCCCTACCCCCCGCCCTCCCACCGCCCGCCTTCTCCCTCCCCAGAGACAGATCTGCTCCACTGTCCCTATCTCCCCCATCCTCGTCTCCCATCCACGAACTCTCGTGAGCCAGACAATTCGACGGCGCGTGTAGTGGTGATGACGGTGCGGATTTCGGTCGAGTGCGTGACGCTGGTCGTGGTAGCGCCCCAGGTAGCGTTCCGGGGATCCTCCTTCCCATTTCCCCATGCCTGTCACCATGTCTATGTTTTGGCCTCGCAAGCCCAAATAGCGAGGTGGCAGGCGTGTTATACCGCAATTCACTAACCACCACACCCTCCACCGTCGGCTCGCCCTCCGCGTCTACGGCGGGGAGTTCGTGTGTGCACCTCAGCGCGCGACCTGATGGCGCGGTGGCGAAGATGCAGGTTGTTGACCAGGGGGAAGGGAAGGTGTAGGCTTGTGGTTCTTTGGGGTGTGGTAACGGGGTCTGGTCGGAGGAGTGGGTGGAGAAGGCGGAATGGCCTCGCCGGTGCCCACGACGTCGTACAGCCGTCACGGGTTTATCTGTGTTGATCTCCCGTCTGAATTCCCCGGGGGGGTTGCTGAAGGTGGTGTACCCCGGTGTAATGAGGGTGACTACCACCGAAGGGGTTGAGCGGGGAGATATCAGGAGGGAGCCGATGGTCCACTGTGCGCCGGTGGGGGGGTCGCGCCGGATGAGGCTTATGGTGTACGGCTCCGTTGCCTTGGGGTGCGTGGGTGAGTGGTTGATGGGTGAAGGTGGGTTGGTGGGGAAGAGGGTGTCTGCCCGGCCGCGAGCTTGGAATGTAGCTGCTGCTGTTGGCGTGGTTGCTTCTTGGTACGGCCGCGGCGGGAGGAGAGGCGCATTCTCCTCCCCCTCCGTGGCTGGGACGGTGGCTGGAGTGGCTAGCGCGAGAGGTCGTGGACCGAGAGGGCGGCGGGGCGGTGCCAATGGTGGGGGTTTGAGTGGGAGGGCGGATATCGGGTCGTTGAGTGGGCGGCGAGCTGGTTTGGGAGGGGGCGAGGAGGGCCGTGGCGGCTCGAGGGGGGTGACAGTTGGGATGGCAGCATGGGGTGGAGGTCGCGCTGCAAGATCGGTGGTGATGGGTGCGGAAGACGTGGGAAGGGGTTTCCGCGCGATATGCGGCGTAGGGGGGTGCACAGGGTGAGTGGAGAGGTCGACGACCAGGGCCGCGTCAGAGGGGACGTTGCGGTGGAGGTAGTACAGGCAGGAAGCGACGTCGAGCTCCTTGAGGTTCTTGAGGTCCGGTTTGAGGGGCGTGAGAATGACATCTAAGAGGGTGTTAGTAGGGGTTTATTGAAGAAGGGTAAGGGGGGTACCTTGACTGCCAGGGACACGTGTTATGTATAAGACCAGAGGGTCACGTTTTGGCTCTGAGGGGTTTCGGGGGTAGCGGGGTGGGTTGGAGGCGATTTGGAGGAGAGAGGAGAGAGACTGTGCCTCTACGGGCGAGTGCATCACGGAGGTTTGCTATATGAGCGTTTCTGTAGGTGTTTGGGTGAAAACAGCTCCAGTCGTCGTGCCAGTCGTCGCCGATTTTCGGTGCCGTTTTGTGATAAATAAATAAATAAACAAAACCGCTCTTAAAAAACGCCGTAATTTGTGATTGTAAAATCGAAAGCTTGTCGCTGGGTTAAAAGTGATATGCAAATGCAACAAAGGGAATAAAGAGAAGAAATATATTTTTTACAAAGTATGCCAAATCTAAAGTTGGACAATGTCGACACACAGCTTGAGGCGGATCCGACGATTACTAAACCAACCAACAGCAGGTTTTGGGGGGCCTGTTGTGTTATATGTGCCTTAAATATAAGGCCACAATATAGCGGAGTGAAATATTTTGGCGGGCGCACTAACGAAATTCGAGATCAGTTTAGTTTATTGGTGAAGAACGCTGCAGAGCGGACGGAAAACGGCATCACCCAACTGCAACCTTACTCGAAACTTTTGTTAATCGAGGAAGATCTTGCTGGGACCGACAATCCTTTCGATATTTGCCATTTCCAACAGCGATTTCACAGTTTTTGACATGGCAGATAGCTCATTGCAGGTGTGTACTCGCTTTTCCCCGCCTTTTTTTTCCAAACCAAAAAGTTTCGGGTTCTGATGAGATTGTGTCGCAATACAGGATCGCCTGCGTGACCACGCTAAAGCATTCGACGGGTTGCTCTCTCTGATTCCTGCAAAGTACTACTACGGGGAAGATAATAGCGTATGTGAAATTCTCCGCAAACTTTCTCGCAATCCGGACCTCGTCTAAGACCAAACCACAGGACCAATGGAAGAAGAAGAAGCAGACTAAGGAAGAAGCCGCCGCTGCCAGGCGCGCAAAGTTAGATCCGGATTCTGCAAAGAGCGCAAAGGACGTTATGGACGAGCGGGCCAAGAAGCGGAAGCTCGAACAACTCGAGGAGGAAGGCTCTGATATCGAAGGTGTCGAGAAAGAGTTGCCAAGGCAGGGTCTTAAACAGGGCGATGCCAAGAACAAGAAACAAAAAGTGCAGGACAAGGAAGATAAAAAGCCGAATGGCACAGCAAAGGCACCAGCAGACGATGCCGAGGCAGCGAAGCAGGCCAGGATAGAGGCGAAGAAGCTGAAGGTGCAGCTGAAGAAAGAGAAGGCCACCAAGAAGGCTGAGAAGCAAAAGGCGAAGAAAGCAAAGGTAGCTGAACAAAAAGTCGACCTCAGAGACGGTGATGCTGAGATAGACGTCGAAGGGATTGTAGCTGAGGACGAGGTCGCCGACGAGACTGTGGAGGGAGACGAGACTACCACAGGAGGAGATGAAATGCAAGATATCGAGATGGACGGAATCGCCGATGAAGTAGACGCAGAGAATGAGACCTCGCCACAACCCACCGTTTCGTCAACCTCCACCCCTCAATCACCAACCTTCGACACCACCGACAAGCCATCCACCAACTCCACCTCCACATCCACCTCCTCCGTCGTCCCCCCCACCAAAGCCCCCAAACACATCAAACTCCCCACCGACCCTGACCTCCTCAAAGCCCGCCTCGCCGCACGCATCGAAGCCCTCCGCGCGGCCCGCAAAGCCGACGGCCCCAACGGCGCCCCCGCCCGCAACAGACAAGAACTCATGGAGTCCCGCCGCAAGAAGGAAGAGCAACGGCGCGCACACAAGAAGGAGCTGCGCAACCAAGCCCGCGCTGGGGAAGATGCTCGCCGCGAGGAGGCTCTTGCCTCTGTGCGCGACTCCCCCGCTAGTGGCATCATGAGCCCAGCCATCCACACCGCCGAGGCGAACAACTTCTCGTTCGGCCGTGTGGCTTTCGCGGACGGCCAGCAGCTGACTGACGACCTGTCGTCGCTCCTCAGCGCACCGAAGAAGCGCGGACCTCAGGACCCGGCGACGGCACTGCAGGCGGCAGAGAACAAACGCCTCCGCCTCGCAGGGCTCGACGAGGGCAAGCGCGCCGACATCGAGGAGAAGGATATGTGGCTCGCGGCGAAGAGGCATGCACACGGCGAGAAAGTGCGCGATGACGGGAGTCTGCTCAAGAAGACGCTGAAGCGTAAGGAGAAGGCGAAGAAGAAGAGCGAGAAGGAGTGGGGCGAGAGGAAGGAGGGTGTTGCTAAGAGTCAGGCGATTAGGCAGAAGAAGAGGGAGGAGAATCTGCAGAAGAGGAAGGATTCAAAGGGTGTGAAGGGGAAGAAGGGTGGGAAGCCGGGGGCGAAGAAGGGTGGTGCGAAGCCGAAGTCGAGACCGGGGTTTGAGGGGAGCTTTAGCTCGAAGAAGAGGTGATATAGGTTTGTAAGTAGGTGATGGGATACCGGTAGGGATATTATGGAGTTTATGGGCATAGTGATGAATCAAGAAGTGTGAATCGTTAAATTATTTTTTATGATTGAGTGAATATGTGCAACAACGTGCAATAGTTAAAGGCTCTGACCTGGTCACTACAATGAACTGGTAAACCACATAAGGTCATCATAAAGTTGTCTAACGCCAGGTCGCAGAAAGCAACACTCAAGCTGGCTACCTAGGTATACACATCAAAAAAGGAAAATAGTACTCTTCTCCCTCCCAGTTGCGGGCAGGAGAAGCGGCACGCCCCTTCGCCCCATCCCCCGCTGCCTAATGCGTACCGAAACCTATAGTGTTTTTCTCCAAACTATTTCCGACACAACAAAAATCGCTGCGAGAGACAAGAAACTTTCCATTAGTCGTAGGACCGAGCTGAGGAGTGAGCGTGGGGGAGATATGTCTGGTACAAAAAAGGACAAATCGATCCGTCCTCTAGAGGAGCGAATCGAGCCTGGTGAAGACGCTGAGACACGCGGCGACGACCTCGAGCTGGAGCTCCTTATCTTTCCCTTCGTTGATTTCCTGCCAGGGGTTGTTAGAGGGACCCTTGAGAAGTTCAACATATCTCTGAGACAAAAAGACTTACATCCTGTACAACTTGGTTCAAGTTGGCTCCCACGCCTCCGTTTGTAGCTCCCGCGCGCTTTCCGAAGGGCCACTGGCTGTATTCCGCCAAGAGCTCGTCCACTTGCGCAAAGGCCCGTTCCCTGGCCTCGTGGCCAAGAGACGCCAAGGCGTTCTCGAGGACGTTGGCTGCGTAGGCGGCGCAGACCATGGAGATGGTGCGGATATTTCTGAACTCGAGGTTCTCTGGGAGCCATTGGCTCGCCGGTAGTACCACGGTTCGCTGTGTGAGGACGTTTCGGACGCGTCGCCTTATCTCTTCTTTCGGTCCGCCGTCGGCGACGGGGTGTGTGGCCATATCGAAGAGGAGGAAGTTCTTCTTCTCGGTTCGTAGGATTCCCTTGTCGACAAGTCCCTTTAGCAACCTCTCGCGGACTTGCTTCAGCTGGTAGCCGATCTTCATCAGATTCCAGGTTTCGCCTGCAGAAGCCTTTGTCTTAGCAAAAAATAGTTGTTGAGTGTTGGTGTTGCTGGTAGAACATACCGCTCATCAGGTCAATCCACGAGCTGACGCTCATCTTTTCGCTCGATTTCATCATCTTCAGCGCCTCGTCCAGCAAGACTTCTCCAGTAAGTGTATCGTCTATAACTTCGATAATCCGGTCTGCCAGAGGAAATCTTCTCCTCGAGGAGTCCTTCTGCATGCTCACACGACCTCTGAAAGCCAGCTCGATGACGATACACCCTCGAAGCGCATATGATATGTTATCGTTCCAGAAGGACAAATAGCCCTGTAACCCATCTTGTCAGTAGCAATTCGTCAGCCTGGTGCGCTCCCGGTATCGCATTACCTGCTTATCCTTGAGACCCAACAGGAGAACCTCTTCCATCATAGTCAGCTTCGGCTGCTTACTCCTCTCCGCGCTCTCATTCATGTCCCGCGGGTCAAACGCAATCTTGTGTCCATTCTCGCCGCTCTCGTACGACGTTTCTGGCTGATCCCTTGAGGATCCTGCTTTGGGCACCGGCGATGCAACGCGGCTCGAGCTGTTCTCATCGTTATCACCGCTTGCCGTGCCTCCGCCGCCGCCCCTCCGTCGCGTCAAACCGGATGACATTGTTGTGTGTGTTGGAGTGAAAATTATCGAGGAGTTGCGGTCGAGGAGGGCAGGGGCAGGAGGTGAGCTGCTGTCATATGCGGAAGTTGCCCGACTCTAGGTCCCGTACACGACGATGGTGGTGTTAAACCAGTCCAGATGGCAGTACTCGAGTATGTACGACTTGAATGACCAATGCTTGGGGTTGTAGAGATGGATTGAGCTCCAATGGCGAGGGCGGTGGGGGGGCGATAATATTCGGTGACCTTACAATGCAGGACCCTCCCTAGGTAACACTTCAAGAAAGGTTCATTGATACAGCCCATGTTCGCTTAACCACTCTCGGCGCCATTGACGGGCCAAAAAATATTCCCTGGTGATATTATTGTTTACAATCACGGAAGGAATCACATTATTGATAGCAGAGAGTACGGGTAGCAGTTTGAGCAGGATTTCTTCTAAAGAACAGTTTTACAAAGTATCATTCAACATGCTATTATGGGATGTCAAAAAATATACAGCGACGCGCCGTTAAGGCGCATCGGACACCCCTCCCCGTTTCCCAACATATATCCTCCACCAGTGCGATTCACCGATCAGTGAGCTGTAGTTCGAGTTAGTTGATGTATGAGTAGAGCATCGTGAAGTTTGACTAACCATCTGGCTGTGCAAGGATGTACTCAACGGCCTTGTCCACTATTCTGTTGTCAGTCCTGCATCGTAAATCGCGCTCTCTCTTCGTTCACATACCGCTGTGGATGGCATCCGCATCCTTGTCTGGGATCTCGATGCTGAACTCCTAGTTTCCGTTAATATCGGGCCAGCCTCGGGTTGAGTCAAAATTTGCCTACCTCCTCAATTGCCATCACAACCTCAACCGTGTCCAAGCTGTCCAAACCAAGATCGTTGTTGAAGTGGGAGGTAGCGGTGAGCTATATATATTGTGAGTTGATGCGCAGAAAAAAAAACGCGCTTGGATATCGAATGTACCATAGAAGGGTCGGTGACCTTTAAGAACTGGTTAGCAACGAACAACAACTCTACAGGGATAACCCCAAGGAGCACTCACTTTATCGAAGTTCTTTAACAGATCAACAATTCTTCCCTCAACCTCTGGCTTGGCGAGCCCGGCGGCAGCGGAGTAGCATCTCGCGGCGTTGACTACCGACGGGGCGTACTGGAAAGTTGGGATAGCCGACGCAGGACGGGTAATTGGGCCGGCTCTATGGACAGCTTGGCTGGCAGCACTGCGTGCGGATTTGAGGAGAACTGTGCGAAACATTTTGGAGGATGTAGATGCCGGAGATGGAGATCTTAAGTTGGTCAATGGTGTCGGCTCGGAATGTTCGACGAGCTTCAATGGGCTTTGTCACTACCATGCGCTAGCGGGAGATCACGTGTTAGTTTGATTCTCTCCTTTTAAGATTGAGGGTGAGGAAGCCTTCGTTAATTGTCTCTATAATAACTGTAGTTTTCATTAAATAAACACGAATTATTGCAGTTATAGTATATATGATCTATACCATTGAATATGAAATACGTCGAAATATCTTAATGTCTCGTTGATTTAAGGGTTAAGGGTAGACAGCCATAACATAAAACCACGTGACCCTTAACCCACCAACCAATTCAACCAATCAAACCACACCCGTTCTGGGATTAGACATCACCAGCATCCAACTTCGCGAATTTGACGAACCTCGAAGCACAGCTACACGTCCACGCCCCCATCCCTCCCCCCTCCCCCCGCAAGCACAATGGCATCCACAAAGCCGCTCACAATGCTTTGCCGGCCATCCGCGCAGCTCCTCCTCCGCACCTCGCGCACCTCTGCTGCCTCGCCCTGGATCCAAGCCGCCGCGGCCTTCTCAACCGCCCCAGCCCGCTACGCTACCCCCACCGGCCCTCCGCCGTCAAAATTCAGACTCGCGCGCCCAGAGCGATGGAATGAGAGCAAGACCTCAGCCCTTGACCAGGCGGGTCAGTTCTTCCTGCTCACTGAGATGGCGCGAGGCATGTATGTGGTGCTGGAGCAGTTTTTCAGACCGCCGTAAGTTCAACTCCCGAGGTTGCCATTGGGGACGCAGATGGGCATGAGGTGGATTGAGAGTGCGAATACTGATGGTTTTGGGTGCAGATATACGATTTACTACCCTTTCGAGAAGGGACCGATCTCGCCGAGGTTCCGTGGAGAACACGCCCTGAGACGTTACCCTAGTGGTGAGGAGAGATGTATTGCATGCAAGCTGTGCGAAGCTGTATGTACATCCATCCCATTTATAGCTATCTGAACTATACTGATTGACTTCCCCCAGATCTGCCCCGCCCAAGCCATCACCATCGAAGCCGAGGAGCGTGAGGATGGCTCCCGCCGGACGACCCGCTACGACATCGACATGACGAAGTGCATCTACTGCGGCTTCTGCCAGGAGTCGTGCCCCGTCGACGCCATTGTCGAGTCGCCGAACGCCGAGTATGCCACCGAGACGAGGGAGGAGCTGCTGTACAACAAGGAGAAGCTGTTGGCGAATGGAGATAAGTGGGAGACCGAGATGGCGGCTGCGGCACGGGCGGATGCACCTTACAGATAAACGGAAAAGAAAAAGAAGAAATTTGGAGCGAATTGGGTGCGGAGGAGGGAGATTGCTTGTATATAAATGGTGGCTGTTGAGGAAGGAATTACATATTGAATGTAGTAGAGTTTCATTTTGTTACTTGGTGAATGGCTTCGAATACTTTTATCTTACTTGGCGGCATTGAACGTGAAGACTGCCCAGTGTAGATGCTGCAGGCCCGTAACTGCTTAATTATTGGCTTTGTGAAATTAGCAGAGGTCATCATCCATGGTAGTCCATTCTGGATATCTTCGTTCGAAAGCGAGGTAGTAGGTTCAAAGTTAGCAAGCAATAGTCAAGCTACCACATCCACGTCTCATAGTCCGGTGATTTATCTTAAAGATCTTAGTTATCTTTACTGAATAATCTATCTCTGCCACTAACCCCCAACACCTGAACCCGAGTTTGGTTCTCTCCTTCCCCATACCGAATGAATCAACAAGAAGTGTTATAACCCCAGAGACGCCCACAAACGTACCATAGCACTCGATCGAAAAGTAAAACAAGACATGAAATCATACAGTCCACTCCAATACTCGTTTCTCACACCCAAAACCTCTGCCGTCGTACAATAATGGAAGACGAGACAGCCATGCGGGTATTTGGATTTATAGAGTGAGAGGCGGACAACGCAGTTGATACCGACTGCAATCCTGATCAGAGCAAAATCGAAACCCGTCTCGCAGGTATCTCCCCATCCAAATCCGAGTTATCAGAATCAGAATCCGAGTTCGAGTTCGAGTTCGAGTTCGCCTTCGCAGATTTCTGAGCCCCATTCGTCTTCGGCGCAGCCGGTTCCTCATAATCGCTCTCTGGCACCTCCGGCCCACCTGATGGAACAGCATTGCCAACCGAGTCCACGCTCTCAGACCTACGCGCCATGCGATCGCTGAGCTTTTTCGGCGAGCGGGTTGTGTTCGTCAGTTTCGGCAACTCCTGCCTTATCTGGTTTCCGGCGTCGTCGTCGGATTCTTCGTCGTCTTCTGGATTGATAGTTTCTGCGCTGGTAGGCTTACTCCTCGTCTTTCTAATCCCTGTAGTGTCCTTGAAAGATTTCTCGGTGGGGTCCTGGCCGTTTGCATTACCCAGCTTCTCCAAGAGTATCTCGACGATTTCTTGCAGGACATGGGAATTGGCATCAGGAACCGTGTCCTTGAGCTTCATATACGCCATCTTGGTGGCGCTAACAGCAAAGCGCTCTTGGAATTTCTCGTCGCCAACCTTCTTCCAATTGATCTTCCCCTCCCTTCCCACCCGCGACTCTTTAATACTGCGCAGAATGACCAACTTATCATCCAAGCCCATCTGCTGCGTCTCCTTGCGCGCGAGCTTCTCGCGCCACGGCGCACCCACTTTGAGCGGCGTGGTGTCAAACTTGTCCGGGTCCTCGCGCTCATGCATGCGCCTCCATTTCTGGCGACACTGCAGCCGACTCCTCGTGCGGCCCATCTTCTCGCTGACCTGCTGCCAATCCACGAGCTCGGTGTCATCCACTTCATCGTCGTCGGGATTAGACTCTATCACGCCTAGCTGCCTCATCTCCTGGAGGTGTGACACACAAGCTGCGACTGCGTCACGCAGTTTCTGCTCCTCGTAATCGTCCCAGTATACAGTAATCATGTTATCGCCGCAAATGAGGTAGTTCCTCCAGCGATCACGACAGTCCTCCGGGTGCCTATTGAGTCTTTGCCCAATCTGCGTCCAGCGATTCGGCATCTGCCTATGCGCCTCTCTAAGATACTCATCGTCCTCTGCTGACCACTTCCCGCGCGCCGTGAAATTGTGGAATTTTCGGCGACAGAACTTGATTAAAGACCAACGATCCCGGTTCGGGAATTCCTCGCAGACCATGTTGAACAGGTCGCGGCTCTCGTTCGCTTTGCCATGGATCAAGCGGTTCTGCTCTAGTTCGGCGATGTCGTTCATCTCACGGTACTTGAGTAGTTGGTTCTTGATCACAGCGAGATCGTCATCGGTCATCCTGGGGGCTGGTTTGCCATCAGCTGCAGCAGCTCGTGTCGGGGTTCGAGGTGCTGCCGCAGAGCTCGCAGGTGATTTTGCTGCAGCTTTTGTCTTCTGGCTCTTCGTCACCGGAGATTTGGCTTTGAGTGCCTTCTTAGATTTCTTAGAAGGCGTTTCCATAGGATCGTCGTCGACAGGGAGACGGCGTTTGCGTCTGCGAGTCGTGCTGGTTGGCTCTTCGCCTGCGGCATAAACGCCAATTTGCGGCACGTCTTTGTTGGCAACCTCCAGTATTTCTCGACTGTCTCCGGAATCGTTGGCAGGGCCTGCCGTCGCATTCTGAGGTTCTGTCGCATTCTCAGGTTCGGCTACGGCCAGGTCCATTGCATCTTCAACGGGGTTTGCAGGCGTATTCTGAGATTGAGTTGGATCAAGATCCATTTCCTCGATGGGGTGGATTTGCGAGCTCTTAGGCTTTGCAGAATTGACATCCGTTTGTTTCTCGAGATATTTTGATTCGGTTTCACCCGCAGTTGCCTCCTCCGCCTGTTTGCTTTGCCCATTTGCTATGTTGACATCATCGTTGGACTTTCCAGCTTTAGTGGCACTGGACGGCACATTAACTGCTGCCCAAGAGCTCGTAGGAGCTGGTTCAGGAAGATTGTCCTTCGCAAGGGACTCAGCATCAGCCGCTTTAGGGCCAGTGCCGCTACCACCACCGTCACCCCCAGCTGCAGCGGCGACCGCCTGCATACTGTTACGCTTGGCCTTTGACTTGTTTTTCTTCTTTTTCGCTGACGTAGAGCTTGATGGCGCAACCGCTGTCGGTTGTGAAGATTCGGGCACTCTCTCCACAGTATCTGAACGTGGCAGTAGAACCGACGCGGCTGAGCGCAATGGCGCAGACTGCGAAGTAGGTACCCCAAGACATTGTCGCGCAACTCCCTCGCTCATTCGATTCTTCTTCTTCCTCTGTTTCACGGACGATGTGAGATCGGTATCTTTCCCTTCGCTATTCCCCCCATTCCCGGCCTTGTTTTTCTTCTTCATCATTTTTTTGAGTTTCTTGTGGGCGCGTCGCGCGCTATCACTTCGATCCCCAGCGCCGTCCTCTGATATGCCATTGCTCATCTTCCGCTTTCGTTGCGCTGAACTATTGATCGTCTCCTCACGCGCCTCGCGACTCGGTGGAAGGGCGGGAAGAGGATAGTCGCCCCCAACCCCGCTGCGGGTGCTCGAATTGCCGTCCATGCTTGAAGAGTCCTCTTCTATTCTTTGGACCTGACTTGACTCCTGCCCCATATATGTTTGTGCTGTTGGCAGCGTGTGTGCAGACGCTGAGGTGAAGCTTGAGGCGCAAGTGGTGGTGGTGGTTGGAAAGCTCAGCTACTAAAACTGAAAGTTCGCGATAACAGGGTTTCAACATGGGGTGGGACCACTCATCCTGCTACTCGTGCGGCCCAAAAGTTTCCACAGGGTCTGTGTGTAATAAGTGGGGCGTGTAAGTACTTGGAGAAAATGCATGTACATACTCTACGTACTTGTACTGATCTACCCACGAAAGTTGTTCCCCCCATTGACTGCAATACACCGCTCCAACTTGTCCTTAAACGAAGCACATAATTGTGTAGATTTCCCATCCATTTTTTTCCCCCATTCTTCCTCAAGAAATACCCGTGCATGAGCTCTCTCAAACTTCCCTCCGTTTAATGGTGTATAGCCGTCAACCTGATCCTTGAGATAATCAAAGGCATTTTCAATAGGGTGCAAATCGGGAGAGTTTGGAGGCCAAAATTTCACTCTATAGATTCCCTCCTTCTTCATATAATCTTCCAATGATCGGTGAGCCTTCAAATGAAGACTTACATTATCATCCACAAACCATACTCGTTTTGTAGGATGTAAAGCCTTTACTTTTCGAAAGTAGGGGAAGAGAAGAGGAATAAGAACCATCTCTCGATATAGAAACCAATCAATCCCGCTGTAATGGTGGGTGCACCAGATGTGAGAATCTAGCCACCCAAGGAAGGGATGATTTTACTAAGACAACACACTGTCTTAGGAAACAGAGCCAAAGGGTCGTAGCTTAGACTATTCCACAACGCAGCAATCAGGTGTGTGATGTAGTGAAGTGGTTCAGACAAGTTGCAACAAATGTTGAGTCTGGGAACTCAGGGGTAAGTCAGAGGTTAACACCTCACTGACTTTTCAGAAACAAGGAGTAACAAGATGAATGCTTGGAAGCTTGGAAAAGACGTGGAAGTATGTGATAGTCGATTTACTGTATTGTCTGCTTGCCCTTTCTTAAGGAAAGGGCAATCCTATTTCTGCTAAAGGAATGTAGTTCTCTCATTTTCCAAGACTTTCCATGACTTACCAGGCTTGGTAACTGTAGTCGATGTAAGAGAATCCCATAGAACCATCTCTTAGGTTCGTAGCCTATAGGAAGTAAAAGGAGGTCCAAGGTCAGAGTACCCCTATAGACAAATTGTGTCATAGACAAATTATGTCATAGACAAATTATGTCATAGACAAATTATGTCATAACTTAACCAATCTTGTGGGTAACTAAAGAGCGATGACATGTAATGAATCATAGAGGTTCGTAGGAGCTTTTAGAGCTATCGTTCATGCTCCTAGGCCTCTAGTTGGTAGAGATATGTCATGTGGTAGTATGAGTGATGTCATGTAATGAATCATAGAGGGTTGTAGAGATATGCTATGTGGTAATATCGTCCCAGTAACTAAGGAGCGATGACGTGTAATGAATCATAGATGGTTGTAGCAATCGTTGAGTAGTATTGCTCTTGTTGTTGGTGTGATAAGCCAAAATATGTATAGTGACTTGTAGGTTTGAGGAGGAGATTTCCAAGTTTGCTCTTGAGTTTGATAGCAAACTGAGTGCAACGAATGTCAGTATGACATGATACCCCTCTTAAGGACGTTTGTTAGCTGTGTGCTTGCCCTTTAGCCAGGTGGCTTTCTTAGAAAGAAATTCTAGAATCAGCTTGGATGCATTTTTTAGATTTCTCTTAGGTTCCCAAGTGTTGTCACTTGTAGGATAGCCTTTCCACTTAACGAGGAAGTAGTCCTGACCTCTAAGTGTCTTTTTGTCAAGGATAGACTCTACTTCATATTCTGGTTGATCCAAAATCAGAACAGGAGGTGGAGGAGACTGAAGTGGTCTTAAGGAACTTTCTTGTGCCTTAGACAAGAGAGATGCATGGAAGACATTATGGATAGTCCAAGTAGGTGGTAATGCAAGCTCGAAAGCATTCTTGCCAATAGTCCTTGTGATCTTAAAGGGTCCAAGTCTTTTAGTATCAAGTTTGTCTGATGGTCTAGTAGTTGTGATATGTCTTCTAGACAAAAAGTCTTGATCACCAACTTTGAATTGTGGTGCAACCACCCCCCTGTTAAAGGCCTGAGCCTGCTCGTCTTGTGCATGCTGTATTTGGACCTTGAGATAGTCCTGGAGGCCCTTAAGGTAGATGGTTCTTTCAGTAGCAGAAGGGTTTTTGAGATTTTCAGGACAATTAAGTTCTGCCACTTCAAACCTAGGGTGATAACCATAGTTTGCATATAAAGGTGTCTCTTTTGTGGTGTTAGAGACCGTGTTGTTGTAAGCAAATTCTGCAAGATGGAGAAGATCTGCCCAGTTGTCTTGAGCATAGTTTGTATAAATTCTTAGATATTGTTCAAGTACAGAGTTGACTCTCTCTGTCTGGCCATCTGTTTGAGGGTGATAAGCTGTAGAAAAGCGTTGTTCCATGTTTAAGAGTTTAGAGAACTCCTTAAAAAGTTTGAAGTGAAAACTGCTCCCCTATCTGAGATCCAGTTTCCAGGAATTCCATGATATTTAAAGACCACCTTGAGGAATAGCCACGCAAGTTCAGAAGCTGTGATAGTCTCATTGCAAGGCTCAAAGTGTGCCATTTTTGTGAGCCTTTCTACCACCACAAGGATAGAGTCATAAGGGGTAGCACCCCCTTTTGGGATAGAAGGAGGCAACTTGACTATAAAGTCAATGGATATGGAGTCCCATGGGCGTTCTGGTATAGGTAGAGGCTGCAAGAGGCCATAGGGCTTTTGCCGTGTAGGTTTGTTCAAGTTGCAAGTAGTGCAAGAAGATATATAGTCTTGAAGAGTAGTCCTTAGACTAGGCCAGTAGAACTTTCTTGTTAGAAGTTCATAAGTTTTTGCAAAGCCAAAGTGCCCTGCAGCTGGAGCATCATGGAACTGCTGTAGGAGGTGTAGCTGTAATCGTTTATCCCTTGGGACATAGATATAGCTCTTGAATAAGAGAAGTCCTTGCTGATTTTTTGAGAAATTTTGTAGTCCAACTTTCTCAAGAGAGGAGCCTTTCTTCTGGAGGTATTCCAAAGTTCTTTTGGCAAAGGGATCGTGGTTGTAAGCATCTTTGAATGCTTTAAGAAGTGTTGCTGAGGGTGTATAGTCTTTAAAGGTCTCTGGTTTCTGAGAAGAGGTAATGGGGGCAACTTGGTTTTGAGGGGATAAGTTTCCCTCTAAGTCCTCTGTAGTGCGAGGGTTGCTTAAAGATGCTGCTATAAGCTTTGTAGAGTCTAGCAGGGCCTTTGTATTGCTTGTTTTAGCAGAATCTTGGTAGTCATGTCTTCTTGAGAGGAGATCTGCTCTTTGATTCTTGGCCCCTGAGACATGTTTTATAACAAAGTCAAAACCTCCTAGTTGTTCAGACCACCTTGCTTGTTTTCGATTGAGCTGTTTAGTGGTTGTAAAGGTCAAGAGATTTGAATGGTCACTGTAAATAGTGATAGGATAGTTTGTCCCTTCAAGGTAGCATCTCCAATGCTTTAGAGAACATACTATGGCAAGCAGTTCCTTGTCTGTAATGGGATAGTTTTGTTCGGCTGCTGATAGCTTTCTTGAGTAAAATGCCACAGGCTGTAGCTCTTCTTGTTTGTCTTTTGGAGCTTGGTATAAGATTCCAGAAATGGCAAAATCTGAGGCATCTGTCTCAAGAGTGGCAGGTTTCAAGGGGTTAAAGTGTAGTAACATTTTCCCTTCTTTGAATTCTCCTTTAAGAGCATCGAAAGCATCTTGCTGTGTCTTATCCCAGTGATACAAAGTGTCCTTGTGAAGTAATTGAGTAAGGGGTAAAGCCAAGGATGTATATCTTGGTATAAACCTCCTGTAATAGTTGGCAAACCCAAGGAAAGACTGAACCTCTTTAATGCTGGAAGGAATAGGCCACGTTTGTACTGCTTTTGTCTTTTCAGGATCCATCTGAATGCCTTCTGTTGAAATTCTATGTCCCAAGAAATCAACTTGAGACATATGGAAAAGACATTTCTCAAGTTTGCAAAAGAGTTGTGCTTGAGATAGCTTCTCTAAGACTTGTCTAACATGTAGAACATGCTCTTGAGTGTCTAAATAGTATATAAGAATGTCGTCTAAGTAGACAACAACAAAGATATCCAAGTAAGGTCTTAGAATATCATTCATGAGAGCTTGGAAAGAAGCAGGTGCATTGGCAAGCCCAAAAGGCATTACCTGGTATTCAAAATGACCATAGCGTGTTCTGAATGCTGTCTTCCACTCATCATCTTCCTTGATGCGTATCAGGTTATAAGCTCCCCTGAGATCTAACTTGGTAAAGATCTTTGCTGAAGATAGCCTATCCATGAGCTCAGGGATAAGGGGTAAAGCATATCTGTTTTTAACAGTGACTGCATTAAGGCCCCTATAATCAACACAGAGACGCAAGGAGCCATCTTTCTTCTTGACAAAGAGAATAGGAGCTCCTGCTGGTGAGGAAGAAGGTCTGATAAAGCCAGAACTAAGGTTCTCATCTAGGTATTCTCTGAGAGTTTTCAGCTCTAATTCAGATAGAGAGTAGATAGGGCCGTAGGGAGGCATTGAGCCTTCTGCGAGTGGTATCTCATGGTCATAAGGCTGGTGCTTTGGCAGAATTGATGCCTTTGCCTTGTCAAAAAGATGTTGGTAGTCTTGGTATGCTAAAGGCAAAATGACCTCCTGAGATGATTTCTCCAAATCTGAAGTAGCTGCTATCTCCAGGACAGGTTGGAAAGGTTTAACCCATATCAGAGATGATATATCGTCCATAGTTTGGTCAAAATCCTTGATCTGGGACAAGTCTGAGTCTTGGACCTGAATAGGGGTAACTGAGGCTTGAAGGGTTTTTTCAGTATTGAGCTCCGGATTTGAGCTAAACCCAAGCGATAAATGCTTCCAATTGATAGTTGGATCATGCCTTTGAAGCCATGGAAGACCTAGGATGACTGAGTACTTCATTGGTATAACATCTAAAGAGATGGTGTCTGAAAATGTTGATTTTCCTAGGGGAATCTCAAGTTTGAGTACTGGGGTGTTGCAGGTAATGGAACCTGAACTGATAGGAGTTCCATCAATGACTCGGAGCAACTCTGGAGTGCGTTTGGGAATTGTAGGTAACTGGTGTGTCAAGATGAGGTCTTGAGATATAAAGTTGCCTGTTGCCCCTGAGTCTATCATAGCCCTTGTAGATAACACCTGTTGTTTGAAATGGAGTTGAATAGGGATTAACAGGTGTGTGAAACTCTGAGAAAGCACCATCGACACATCTTTGTTGTCTAGGGGAGAAGTTGTAGTCTCAGTTGAAGTTGTGCCTGGTGGGGATTTTTCAAGTTTTTTAGGAATAGCAGCTGTGACTGTGTCTGAGGCTGCTATATGTTTTGAATCAGCACTCCCCCGTGCTGAATAGCACTCCTGAATTCTGTGCCCCCCTTTGCCACAGTATAAACAAAGGTTGTTGTCCATTCTGTGTTTTCTTTCTTGAGGAGTAAGTTTACCCCTTTTCAGTTTTTGAGGGCTTCTTGTAGGCTGAGGTGCTGGATTTGCTGTAGATCTCTTTATAGAGGCGTCTAAGTCCATAGGTTCAGGTGCTGAGTCCTTAGCAGTTGGTGTAGAGGTGTAATTGTTGAAATTTCTTGTTGGATGCCAGTCTTGGTTCTTCTCCTTTCTTCTTTCAAAAAGCCTATCATCAAGTCTGACAGCTTTCTCTATAAGCGTTTGAAGTGTTGTAGGGCGTTCTTCTTTGCTGAGTTCATTCTTAATAGAGCTCTTGAGCCCTTGGTAGTAAGTGAAGACTAAGGCTTCTTCATTCCAAGTCAAGTGAGAAGTGATTCTCCTAAATTCTGTTGTATACTGAGCAGCAGAGGTCTTTTGACATAGCTTCTGTAGCTCTCTTTCTGCTGTAGCAGTTTCGTTGATGTCTCCAAAGGTCCTGGTAAGTTCCTCTTGAAACTGGTCATAAGAGGTAATCAAAGGTGTAGTGGTATTTTGGTTGTTGCCACTAAGTCTTCTAAGATATGGCTCAAAGAAGTTGAATGCAGATCCACGGAGGTAGCTGGCAGCGAAATATATCTTCTGAATGTCTGAGGTGAACTGATGAGGCCTGAGGGTAAAGTAGATGTCCAGTTGCATAAGAAATCCCTTCAACTTCCTCCTGTCTCCATGGTATAAATCTGGTGTTTGCACTTTAGGAAGTGCACCTGGGGTACCCGACATAGCCAGAGGAGCTGTGGGAAGCTCTGTATGATGTGTCTGAGTTGAGGATTGTGTTGCTGAAGTGTTGGCTTGAAAGGTGTTTTCCAAATTCTCAAGTTTGTTTGCTATATTTTGTATAAAGGCAAACAGTTGTTGCATCTGCTGTTCAGCAGTAGTTGTAGGAGCTTGGTCGTCCTCCATTGTAGTATCGAAGTGCTGCTATAGAAATAGTTGAAGCTTGAAGCAGACAAGGTGTAATGGTGGGTGCACCAGATGTGAGAATCTAGCCACCCAGGGGAGGGATGAATTTACGAAGACAACACACTGTCTTAGAAAACAGAGCCAAAGGGTCGTAGCTTAGACTATTCCACAACGCAGCAATCAGGTGTGTGATGTAGTGAAGTGGTTCAGACAAGTTGCAACAAATGTTGAGTCTGGGAACTCAGGGGTAAGTCAGAGGTTAACACCTCACTGACTTTTCAGAAACAAGAAGTAACAAGATGAATGCTTGGAAGCTTGTAAAAGACGTGGAAGTATGTGATAGTCGATTTACTGTATTGTCTGCTTGCCCTTTCTTAAGGAAAGGGCAATCCTATTTATGCCAAAGGAGTGTAGTTCTCTCATTTTCGATGACTTTCCATGACTAACCAGGCTTGGTAAATGTATTAGAAATCAAGTGCGACCCACAACTAGCTTGCTAATCATGTAGTGAACGTAAGAGAATCCCATAGAACCATCTCTTGGGTTCCTAGCCTATAGGAAGTGAAAAGGAGGTCCAAGGTCAGAGTACCTATAGATAAATTATGTCATAACTTAACCAATCTTGTGGGTAACTAAGGAGCGATGACGTGTAATGAATCATAGAGGGTTGTAGAAGCTTCTAGAGCTATCGTTCATGTTCCTAGGCCTCTAGTTGGTAGAGATATGCCATGTGGTAGTATTGGCCCACCCCCTTAAGGAGGAGATTTTCTTAATAACTTGTTCAATGAGTGTCCAAATGATATGCCGTGATGTATGTAGCATAAACAGATGTAGTAGAAGAGTTTGCAGCAATCGTTGAGTAGTCTTGCTTCTGTTGTTGGTGTGATAAGCCAAGATATGTATGGTGACTTGTAGGTTTGAGGAGGAGATTTCTAAGTTTGCTCTTGAGTTTGATAGCAAACTGAGTGCAACGAATGTCAGTATGACAACTCTGACCTTGGACCTCCTTTTACTTCCTATAGGCTACGAACCTAAGAGATGGTTCTATGGGATTCTCTTACGTCGACTACAGTTACCAAGCCTGGTAAGTCATGGAAAGTCTTGGAAAATGAGAGAACTACATTCCTTTAGCATAAATAGGATTGCCCTTTCCTTAAGAAAGGGCAAGCAGACAATACAGTAAATCGACTATCACATACTTCCACGTCTTTTCCAAGCTTCCAAGCATTCATCTTGTTACTCCTTGTTTCTGAAAAGTCAGTGAGGTGTTAACCTCTGACTTACCCCTGAGTTCCCAGACTCAACATTTGTTGCAACTTGTCTGAACCACTTCACTACATCACACACCTGATTGCTGCGTTGTGGAATAGTCTAAGCTACGACCCTTTGGCTCTGTTTCCTAAGACAGTGTGTTGTCTTAGTAAAATCATCCCTTCCTTGGGTGGCTAGATTCTCACATCTGGTGCACCCATCATTACACCTTGCAGTATTTGTCAAATTCAGCGTTGATGTGACTCTCATGGCCATCTAGCACTAGCATCTGCCAAGCACCCTTTTGACGGGCCCTCGTATACTGATCAAAGTGCTTAAGCCATTCGAGGCTTGTATCATGGTCAGTCCAACCATTTTGGGTCATTTTGATGACCCAATTGGCTGGAATGTGGCTGCCGGAGTACCAGGCAGCGAGGTGGAATCGGCCTGCAACGCAGAGGAAAGGCGGCACTACATGGCCATCCGCGGCCATCCGCCGCAACGCTGCAAATGGCCGTAGCCCATTCTCGATTGCCAGGCTGAATAGCCTTAGGCCTACCAATTCGTTCCAAACGTGTAACGACCATTTGCGCGCGTATCATACCCATCATAAAGCCGGTCTCATCGAAGTTATAGAAATCGCAGTCTTGGATGCCGTACTTTGAGCGCATATTAGCGACTAGACAGAACCACGCGTTTAACACGTCAGGATCTTCTTGTAAGCCCCTCTGGTAGTCGTAGGCGCGAGAGAAACAAGTACGGAGCTCTGGTCGTCATGTAATGAAGCGGTCGGTCCAGTTCTTCCCAACGCGTAGCTTTGCGCGCTTACCTAGTAGAAGATCGGCCATATCTTGCACGTCGGCCCTCCGGGGTGAAAACCTTCTCAAATCCAGCTGTAGTACATATTGAACAATCGCCTCCTCTTCGCTTGAGGTCAGGGTTGGCTTGCCACTAGTCTTGTCAGCTTTGGGAGCTTTTCCAGCCATCCTGTCACTAAGCGTGCTTCTAGGGACGTCGAACTGCTTTGCAGCGCATCGGATGGTCAATCGCGGTGTTGTTTGAATCGCTTCAATCGCGAGGATAATTCGGGACTCAAGGGCAAGGACCTGCATTGTTGTTGCAGGAGAAAACGCGCTTTGAAGTTGGGGGGTGGTGGCTGGGAAAAGTGTCCGACATAGATCGGTTGGTAGGGACCCCGTCGGAGTGTCTTACGGTTGACATTGAATTTATTTGCAACCTAAGCAATTGTATATGTACTTGGTTGTTTTAAGAAGAACTGTTGGGCCTCATTAAGGCGAGCAGTCCTGCTAGGATCGTTATTTTGAGGCATTCTAGATACTACGTTATGAAGAATAAATACTATTATTTTCTCTATATACCAAAGTAGCGGTGTACTGTTGTCGCCACCTACGAGCGAAGCGAGTGGGTGGAACACCGAGTATGTACTCTTTTTTACGCGTCAAAGTGTCATAGCGTAACAAATAAATCCGACAAAATAAAGCTTAAAAACGATTGAAGGATTGGAGGATCGTACTTTCACATAAATCTACTCCGTTAATATAATTCTTGACTTCAAAGATCAACAGACTGCCTTGAATTTCTCAGAGACACTTGTCTCCGTGAAAGCACGTGGGGTTGTTAATTACGAGTAGATGGAGTACATTGGTGGGATCCAGCGCTGTTCCAATGTGTTGGCAGTGCCAAGTTCTCCAAACCGCGGGTGAACATTTAGCACCATAACGACTCCACAAAAGCTCATATTGCTCAGCCACAATACCCTTTTTCCATTACCCCTTACTAGAACCTCATTCTGGCATTGAATCGGTGTTTACGTGAACATGAAGAGCTTCTCCTAAGGTATTAGTATTACTCGCATCGGCAGGCGCAACCGCAATACCCGCGACCCAAGAGACGATGAACCCGGCTCCGTGGTGTTGGCGATCTATCAATCGCCAGACACCTTGCCTCTTACGGACCGGACGCCTAGGAGTACAGCGCCGTCTACCACAACTTGTTCTTGCTCCTGTATATACTCAGAGGAGATGGGAAACATCGAGTGGCCTCGGCGATAGCAATTCGGCTACAGAAGGTAGGATCCGCTTTCATTCATTCACTGCCGAGATGGCCAAGCTTCCTGGGGTAAACATAAGAGCCCGTGTATTGCATGTGTACTTAAATCACGAGAATTGGATATGAAAACCTTTGCTATACTGAATGCAGTGGCTCAATTGATGGTTTCGAGGCCTCAATTATCTAGAATGCTAACTTAATTAAGGAACCAAGCAACTTCATGACGCTCGTAGAGGCCCATCCAAACATGGACGGCGCCCACGACATGAGGACGATGAAGGCCCCCAATCGCTACTCTCTAAAATGATAGAAGCTGCCGCAACTGCGTTTGCAAGTATAGTCGTTCTTGGAGCCGGCTTTGCATTTGGAGGCTTCTGCTATCACAAGTTCTACAAATGGCACGTGCTGCGCAAGATGCGCAAGGCCTTCGAGCCGGGAGACCCAGCCCTGGTCCTGGCCGCTATGGGGAAGCAGATCCCCGAAGCGGAACCCCCAACCACGCAAGAGGAGCAGGAAAAGAGCGACAATGAGAATCATTGGATTCGTAGAGATGAGCAGGATAAGATCGATGCGATAATAAACGGAACCGAGAAAGGCCATTATCACCTCCTCATCGGCGAGAAGGGCACTGGGAAGACATCAATGCTACTTGATGCCATGCAAAAGATTGATGGGGAGGGTATTGCCATGCTCGACGCACATGGTGATCTCGAAATCTTCCGGATACGGCTTGGTAAGGCGCTTAACTTTGAATTCCACGAAGACTACATCGGATCCTACTTCTCGGAAAGGGGACCGCGAGAAAGTACAGCATTGCTAGATATTGAGCGCGCCTTTAACAAGCTGGATAAAGTTGCTCTGGACCGACGGATGAAAGTTGGCCGGCCAATCGTTCTTATCATCAACTCTATGCACCTTCTCAAGCATGACGCTGATGGGATGAACCTGCTTGAACTCCTACAACAGAGGGCAGAGCAATGGGCAGCTAGTAATCTTATCACCGTTATCTTCAACAGCGATGACTACTGGGTGTACGAGCGTCTCAAGCAGCTAGCCACACGCATGGAAGTGTCGACAGTCGGCGACCTCCCCAAGGACAAAGCCCTCAATGCCATCCGAATGTACCGCTCCAAGTACTTCTACGAAGACCCGGACGAGTCCATCCTCTCGCAAGTCTACGAAAAAATCGGCGGGCGCCTAACCTTCCTCAACAAAGTCGCCAAATCCGCCAACATGCTCAAGACCTGCGACGAAATCTCCGCCGTCGAAAAACAATGGTTCCTCAACCAATGCGGCCTCCTCGGCATGGAAATGGACGACGACGTCATGGACCAACAAAAATACGCCTCCGCAGCCATGGTCCTAGCCCAGGCCCTCGTCGACCAAGAATCCGACTCCGAGGGCCCTATCTACGACCCCGAGCACGGCCACAACCTGCCCGCGCTCCCGCTCCACAAGGCGCGCCAGGTCATGACGCGCGCGGATTTCATTAGGGAGTATGACCATATCAACGTCTTCACCATAACGTCGAGCGCGATGGTGCGCGCGGACTCGGTGCCCATGCAGCGCGCGTTTAGGGAAATTTGCGCCGAGCCGGGGTTCAGGGACTACCTCGATGCGACGCTCCAGCGGATTAATGATATTGAGAGTCTGGGTCGTACTAGGGAGCTGGTGGCGAAGGATTTGGTGTTGGGGGGGAAGTATGTTATTAGCCAGGAGAAGGGGGGGTTTGGGAAGGTGATTCAGTTGGTGATGCCGCCGGAGGAGGATGATGAGGAAGATAAGGAGGAGGGAAATGGGGGGAAGAATGATAGTTGATGAGCTTTGTATGAAGACCCTGAATGGGGTCTTTTGGGCCCTGGGTTGGGATAGTGTGGCACGACTCTATTTACTTAGATTTCCTTTTGTATTTTATAGCTTTGAGGCTTTGAGGCTTCAGCTAGTGTAGCATTTGTATATTTACTCTTCCTGTATTGTCTGAATTCATTATTCCTAATCTTTAAAAAATAGTCAAGCTAGGGAGGCAAAGCCTGCCGGAACAAGCAGAGCAAACCAGACCAGTTGCTCTGAACGCAATAGCTCCATAGCCAAGGATCTTTAGTCCTAGCCCGACATCCTTAATCATGCCCATGAGAAATGAGGAAAGCAAGGGCCCCCATCCAAGAACGAGAAAGACGAGAACCATAATATGCGCCTTCGGCCTGATGTTTCTTCTAAACATCTGGTTTCGATCCAGCTGTGCTACCAGCCTATTCCACCATAGATAGGATCTTAGTGCAATGAGAATTACTGCAACAATTGTCCCAAGCAATACAAGAACACCGAAAAAGTCATAAAGCAGATAATGGAGATCCGAGAATATTGTTTGCATGCTGAGCACCCCACAGCAAGAGATGGAGGTCAAAATATGCCTGCTAAAATGCTTAGCAAGCGGACACTCACTCTGAGCCTCGTGCATGCCTCGAGAGAGTTCGAACAGCCTCAGGTGATCTTCTAGCCTTGTTGACAGCGTAGTTATCGTCCTTTTTATGTCTGTACATGTCGATTGGAGCTCTACGGCGAGGCATTGGAAATCGCGATAGTTAGCGGCATCGATAAGTAGTATTTTCAGCAATTCGACCAAGGTATCAACCGCTCCGGCCAATTCGGTGGCTCCTTCCTTCACCTCCTCGTAGAAGCAGATATCTCTTGTGATCTCAGCCAACATGGGAATCGTTAGCGTTGCTCTGCGTGGGTCTGAAAGAGCTTCCTTTTTCCTTGCATAGTTGGCTTGGAGACTGTACAACTAAGTCGTTATATTCTTCGAGTAGGGCGTGACTATAACGGAGGAGGAGCAATTGCTTTAATCCTGAAACCGATGTTTTTTGAGGTGCCGTTGATCGAATAGTAAGTCTAATTCCTGTATCATCGACGTGATATCAATGTAGGCTAATCATTAGTGACCGTGGATGTTATATCAGAGGAATATACTCACAAATAATCCGTCCATCTTCTGTTGAAACGAATACATCTTAGCGTTCGTCAAATGGTTCCGGCGGCAATCGATATAGAATCAATATAAGGATGTTTAGGTTCGCCTATAGTTTCTTCTTTTAAGGTCGGCTCAAGTGAAAGTCTATAAGAGTGTGTTTCGCATTTGAGTTGTTTGGAGGATAAGCCCCACTGAGATATCATTGCAGGGGAGCCAGCGAAAGGAGTCGTTTCAATAAACGGGTTTCTTTTATGACCATCAAAAGTTTCCATAAAGTGTACACAGATAGTATGCATTTCTTGTGATCTTTACTGGCTTCGGTAGCTTTTATAAGAATTTTCGTAGACTCTCCAGGGGACAATGGAATGTCCAGAACCTCAAAGAAGCTTTGTCTCGGCATCAGAGTGGTTTCCAAGAATTGGTAGTATCATAAAGCTTAGATGGCTCGCTCGATAGAGAAATCGTTTCAAGGGCAGTAGTTATCACACTTATCATCGACGAGGCGACGGATGAGGCATCCATGGTAGGAAGGAAGACCTAGGTTTTGGGTGGCTTCTCATATACTTTGGCGGGAAGTCAAAATCACATTAGCGATGGAGAGTAGACGCGAAAATCCACGCAAAAGTAGAATATAGTATAGTCGCTTGCACGGCTGAAGTATAGATGACCGTGGAAGTCATTCCTGCGGAAGTATGGGACTATGAGCAGAGAAAGATGAGCCTCCAGTCGTGGCACAGTTATACAGTACAACATAGGGTGATTGGTCTCGCTAGGCGCCACGAAAGGAGGCATGTGGCGTTAAATATTTCAAGACGAAAGCCGCACCCATCTAAATGAGCTTGAGCTATAGAAAATACATCGTCCGGTATTGATTCTCCATAAATAGATGTCAGTAATAAAAACCAGAAACTATTAAATTCCAAATACAAAGGGCTGATACACCACCAAAGCTAAAATACACCACCAAATCTAAAATACACATCCCCCCCCAACCTCACTGAACATCAGCTCGCTCAACCACAGACACCGAGACGTCCACCTCATATCAGCCTAAACATGTTCTCTTTCACCCCCCTCTTCATCGCCACCGCCTTCCCATTCTCATACTCCAACCCCGCCGCCCCGCCCTCCCCACTGATCTCCTCCAGCTTAAGCTTCAGCTCCTCATCGAGCTCCGCGATTGTCTTGGCCCTGACATTGACCTTGACTGGCTCTGCTGGTGTTTCTGGAGTCGAGCTCTTAGCCGGCTGGGTTGGTTCCTGTGGGGAAATTAATACCATGCTTGGAAGAATATGGGGAACGCGGGGCTGGGGGGGAGGGGATGTGATGGATGTCGTTACCGTTGATTCCTTGGCAGGTTGTGCAGGTGATGTGGTGCTAGAAAAGAAATAGTAGCGCACGGCGTTGGTGGAGGAGGGTAGTCTCAGAGAAGAAGGTGCGTGCGTTAAAGCTCTCTTCATTGCAAGACTGGATATATGTGTATTGATTGGAGTTGTTGAGTTGCGGTAGATGGGAGTTTGAAGAGGTTGGGAGGCAGATACTCGTAGCGTTATTGATAGATGGTTGATAACAAAATGATAGTCCCGCCTAAAGTGGACCTCAATTGCGGCCCGAGTGCTTCATACAAAATCCAAAGCTCGACTCTCCTATGAGCTGCTCCTATTCAAACTCATCTCATGCATGTATCATCTATCCCACTACTGTCTCAGTTCCCAATACTTTCTCAGTTCCCACTACTGTCTCAGTTCCCACTACTGTCTCAGTTCCACTACTGTCTCAGTGTATAAACTCAATAGTATACAAAGAATAAAACGGCAAGCATTACGAACTTAATGAGCCTTGGCCCATCCCGCCACCGGCGCGGGCTCGATCGAGATGGGGTAGTAGAAGAGCTCCGTTAGATCAACCCCCGCTTTGGTCTCTTAGAGTCGTAGCAGGTTAACTTCCCAGTAAGCCTTCTGCGCCGTGGTGCGGTCCATCCGAGCATCCGCATAGTTGATATACATGCCCCAGTCAGACGGCGCATATCAGTAGTGGTATTCGACAGCCACCCGTCCAGAAACTCAAATCCAAGATCATCCCGCGAGGCGCATGTTCAACTCGGCCGGCATAGGGCTTTCAGCCCAACTACCGTGGAATAAGAGCACCGCACAGGCAGGCCTAGAAGCCTTGGAGTCCTATGCAAAAAATGAAAACCAGGTAACGTTCGCCGGAGCTTCAAACGTCCTGAATTGGTACGACGCAGCGATGCCGAAGTTTGAACCTGCCCCTAGCATGGCCCAGAAAATATCTGGGTGCTGGCTTTCAGAGCACTCGACGACAGTGGTATTTGCGAGATCCCCGTTATACCTATCACCCAGTCCAAAGCTAGCCCATGGGTGTTGGATGCCATCCCGAAGCCACCGTGCAGGACGTGGCCTGACACTCCCATTCTTTGAAAGATTAGCATAAGTTATTGCTCGCAGTTAGACGTCACTCACCCAGGACATGTTCCATGTGAGATAGCCCGATTCTGCAAAAAAGCTCCGTGGCTAAATGACCCAGCCTCGCCCCTGGCTCAACGATAGCGATGTTTGTCTCTGTGTCGAGAGTGATATTACACATTTGGTCAAGCTGGGTCACGAGATGCCCGTCTTCTCCCCCTAGGCCCAGCGAGGCATATGAATGACCGCCTGCCTTCGGGGTCACTTTGACACCGTTCTCTGCGCCGCAAGAGATGGCTGATTGGATGTGCTCTGTTGTTGTCGGCACCGCTATGGCAGCTGGTGTATACTCCAATCGCTCATTGAAAGGTGAGGCATAGACTTCCCAATCCTCCGCGTCAGACTCTTAGAACGGAACCTTTGCTGTTTCGAGGCAGTCCTTAATGCTGTCGTGTTTCTTTCTGTGCCCCCCTGTGCAACCCCAATTGCAAAACCAAGACACACCAGGGCTAATGAACGAATAGTATTAAAAGCCTAGCAATTATTGTATACGTTTAAGCTAGACTGACATCGCCTTGTCAGCCTTCGGAGCCGTAGCCACGTCTTCACTTTGCATAGAAGGCCCTGTAACGGCTGGAAGGGCTGGAAGGGTGTTAGGGCAGCTAAGAGATGAGAACGAAAGTTGAAGTAAGCATGCCTACTTATGACCAAAGGCAACGGATACCATGCCGTTTAGGGATGCCCTGCCATAAGCGGATACTCGCATACGGCGGTCCGTTATAGATAGATCTTGATGCGATTAATGCGGTCACATAGATCTGTGTGGGGGATTACTTGGCGGCACTTGTGTACGGCACTGAAGCATATGGATATCGCTGTTGCGGCTAGGAGGGGGAGAGGAGATGTGCAGACGCGGCGGACACGGGGTTGACGCGGGGAGTTGGATGTACAACAGGCTGTGGTATATTCAATTCTTTGGTATCTCTCTATTTACAAATAGCTGTTATCCAATGCTATGTGTGTGGGTTTTATGTGCCTCACATAAGGGTTGAGTAGTCCGATACTGCCCAGCACTTCCAAGACTGCTCCTAAGACTGCGGGAGTCTACACTTATATTCCAGCCTCGGAATACCTGAAGCCTCGATTTGTTTAGAGGTCCCTCCCGCAACCAGTCTCGAACCGAGTTCCTCCATCGTCTGGCGTCTGGCTATGATGAGCCAACTCGTAGGCAAGACGGCCAGTGCCATGATCACTGTCATATCGTATCCATAATCGTCCTCTCTTTCAATCCCCCATATCCTCATCCGTACTTCTTTCCCTACACCCATACCCCGCCACAAACCCATCCGGGTCAATTATCGGCCCCAAACCCGTCTTACTAGCCGCCATCCACCCCCTGAGCTGCTGCTTGTCGATCTTGACTCTCTGCACGTCTCCCTTCCCCTTCCCAGCCGCAACGGCGATGTTCATATGCTTCAGCGCCGTCAGGCAATCCTCCACACAAATCCACGTGCCCGTGCTAATCTCATCCAGGCTCACCACCTTGGTTTTCTTCTTCTCCATGTCCCCGACGTCCAGAAGGTAGCGCGCCACTTCGCCGCTCCAGTATTTAATGTAACTCATCTTCCCCAGGTCAGAGATGGGTTTCTCTGGGCCGCCAATGATCTTCTCGCGTCGCGAGATCTCGTATGATACAGCGATCAGGAGGGACCCCAGACCTTTGTGCTGCCAGGGCGGGAACACGAGGATGCAGGCGAGATTGTTGTTATCCCACGACATATTTTCCTTGCTGAAGAAGCCAATAACTTGCTCTTCGTCTGTCGTCGGGTTCGTGTGGACGAGGAGTAGGTAGATGAAGCCGGCGACATCGAAGAAGACGGACTTGTTATCGAGGAATAGCTTCGCAAATAGGCACAGGTTTTGGCAATACAGCTATAGTTCAAAGTCAGCTCAATTATCTCCAAAACAGCCGTATCAGGAGCACTCACGGAATCAACTTCCCCATCCACCTCCCAGACGCTCCACCCACTATTGCCATGACTGTATATCTTCCTCCCCGGTACCATTGGCGCCGCACCCCCTCTTCTCCTCTCGCACGCCTTCCCATGTCCAACCCAACCCATCAACTCCTTGCTATACTTGAAGCAATGCTTACACACATAAAGCCGCTCCAGCATCTCCTTCTCCTCCACCACCTCCCTCCCCACTATCTCCTTAACATGCCGGCTTGGATACCACGCCCTGAACAGTATATCGCCCAACACCACATTATCCACATTCCTCTCCAACGTCGGCGCAGCCGCAGCCGAGGGCTTCGACGTCGACGAGCTCAGCGACGGCGTGATCGACACCGCGCGCCTAGCTGTCGCAGTCGGCATAGCCCTAGACTTTCTGCTTCTCCTCGCTGGCTTCGGCTTTATCGGTGACGGGGCCGAGGCAGACGATGACGCATAGGTAAGCTGCTCTTTACGCTTCTCTCTCACGGGTTTCGCAGGTTTCGCAGGCTCCGTTGTCGCATTTTGCGCCCCCGCCGTTCCCGTGGTTGCATTCGCTGCCGTCGCACTGTAGGTGGTTCTTGGTGCGCGCGGCGCAGTGGTGCCGCGTTTACGTTTTATCGGCGCCATATTTGTGGGCCAGGGTGGTAAGGAATCGTGCTACATAAGATGAGATTTGGGGTTCTTGTGAGCGACGATGTCGCGGTAGTGGAGCGGTGGGTTATGGGGGGAGTCATTTATTTGGGAGGGCAGTTAGGTATTCTTTCTTGCTCTGGGGAAGTCGCTGCGCGATTGAGGGACTGTTTGGACCCTGAAAGGTAATGGGCAGTCGCGTACATGTTGGTGTTTGGTGAGGTAAGTTACACTTTGTTTCCGGCGGGCAAGGCCGTCATGTGAGGGTTCAGCCATGTTTGTTTTGAACGAAAGCAGTTCACATGTCATTGATATCAGTTAGCACAGAATAATTCAGAATGAGATACTTTGATGTCAGATTATGAATCTTCAAACTGAAGCTTCGTGCCTATCGACTTTACTCAATACTACTTTTAAACACTTTCTCACAGGGCTGCGTGTAAGGCTATGTAGATCTGTGATGAAGCAAAATACAATGATTATCGAAGGGAATGCTCTAAATCCATTACTACACTCCTTCGCGCCAAACACGACGCGTATGCATGAAACTAAAAGTGCCGGTTGGGAGTGACGTCTCTATAACTATCCTCGATCACCCCTCCTATCCGGCCGGATTGAAAAGCAAGACAATACAGGTTGATGAAGTGTAATTATCCTCGTCCTCGCCGTGCGCGTTGTTCCCGAAAACCGTTCGACCCATCGTACATCCATCGCCTTTCCCTTCCCCGCCGAAAATAAACCATCTTACATGCCCTCAAACTCACCACCCAGATCGTCCTCGTCCAAATCCCCGTCTTGGATCTCCTTCACCATCTCGCGCTCGCGCTCGCGCTCGCGTGCTTCTTGTGCGTTCTTCAGCTCGAGCCTGTGCTGGTTCATTGGGAAGCGCATTGCCTATGATTGTCAGTAAATAGTCCTCAATATTAATGGGAAAATAACCGTACCTTGATGCTCTCATCATGAAGGGCAAGACACGCACGAATACGGTCATGGAAAGCCTCCCCAGGTTCCCTTGTTGCGTAGACATCGCTAATCTCCTTGCTCTTCATGAAACCTCTCTCACGATCCAGTGTAGCTTCTATAACACCATCCCTAATGGCCTTGGCAACGATGTACTCGGCCGACTCCTCGCTTCCCAAATGAAGGCGAATGCAGATGTCGCGGAGAGAAATGCGGGAGTATGACAGAGACATCATGCGAATTCCTGTCTTGATAACATTCTGTCTGAGTCTAAGAATCAATGTATATGTGCCGTCACGTCGGAAAGTATCGCTATGTTGCTTGATCGAAGTCTCGAAATCAACGAGGTTGCCAACACGGACGGCTTGTACGAGTAATAAGTATGGAGCAAGGGCCCTCTCGAGGCTTGCCATGCTGAAAGTAGCTCTCTCTGGGATATCTCCCATGAGTAATTCCACGACAAGAAGGAGCTTTGTCGCGGTTTGGGTGAAGCCAGCTGCGCTTGGACTCGAGGGGGCCTTGCGAGTTGCAGCAGTCAGGTGCTCGTGTGCCTCAGTATAACGGAGCTGAATTGCGCGAATTCGTCCCAGATAGTATAGATATCTCGCAACCTGGTTATTCGACGCGTTTTCGGGGAATTTCGTGTGGGATACCAAGAGATCGGCTTGAGTGATGTGCGACGTTGAAAGGTAGTTGCGGAGCAGAAGAACGATGACCGTAGCTTGTGTATCGATATCCTTTCTGAGAACAGCAGTTCGAAGAGCTGCAAGAAGCGCTGGGCGGAGAGATACAACTGGCGAGTTCGGTGACGGTGGTAGCGGCTGCAGCTGTTCAGCAAACAGCGAGAAGTAGAAGTAAGCCCGAGCAGCTAACGAGTCCAGTGTGCGACGGTTGAGAGTGTGTATTTGCTTGGCCAGTTGAGAAGAGAATTTCGCTCCCTTCTCGTTCTCCTTCTGGTCTGCAAACAGGACTTGGACCAGAATACCCAGGAACACATCGATCTCTGGGATGATCTCCTTGGCCTCTTTCTTCGATCCATTCTTCGCAGTCGCCTTGACGTCACCATCAACATCCATATCGGATGCTGTCTGCCTACTAAACGTAGCATTCCCCTTGTTCAAAGCAGCCAGCAAGTTCTTTGCTACAGAGCTTGATGCAGGGTATGTCTCCGTTATGACTTGTGCCAGGACATCGGCGCTCAGGTGTTTGCGGATTGTAGAAATTGATCGCAGAGCTCTCAGGGTGAAACGAGCATCGAATAATGCCACAGCCTTCTCTAATAACACAAAGTCGTTCTTGATATCTGTTGATGAGGCTCATGGTTAGCTTCAAGGCTGGGTCCATCGTACAAACGCTTCACTTACTCGAAATGGTCAGAGCTATCGGATCCACCCCGGCCTCCACTTCACTTGCTGCTGTCTCTTCATCCATTGCCACGTCTCCCTCATCATCTGGTGGTGGTGGCGCCGATAGCTTTGAAGCTTTCGATGGAGGCACAACGACCGTCATCTCGTCGTCGCCTTGGGTCACTTTCTTGCCCTTGCCACCCTTCTTCGATGCTGGAGCATCGTCTTTCATCTCGATATCCTGTGTTCCATTCTCGACTGGATCATTGCCGTTTGTGTGAGGGGTTTTGCTGGGCATGTCGTCGTTGTCGTCAGGGGTGTGTCGAGCACGTTGACGTTGGATTTCGGTCGCGTCTCGCGAGAGAGCTCGTCGTTTGTGTGTTGTTAAGAGAACTCCAGATGTGAATTAGATTACAAACCGGAAGGCTTGTCCTTTGCCGTGTTTGTTTATGTTCTGTGGTCGTTGGTTGGTCGGGTTCAGATGGGATTCAGCAAGACAGTCTTCCGTTGATGCTTGAGGTAATCGCAGGCAAGGTAGCTTCGTAGCCTTTGAGTTAGGCGGCTCCGACCAGAAGCGAGAGAGATGGACGACCAGGCTGCTGACGTGACGACAAGTCACAAGGTTCCCCAACAACCAAATGTCGAGAGAGTTCTCGACTACCAGAAAGCGCAACACAACTCAATTATCACGAGAAATTGTATTACAAAGTAAACAATAAAATGTCGTTGTTAGATAATCTGCAATGTATCAATCTGGCTAGATTGATAATCACGGGATTCACTTATGAAAGTGAGTGAGTGGCAAAAGAACTTCGGAGTCACCATCCGCCAAATCGGCGGAGTCAGCGGCAGTGGAGCCTCATAACCCCCGCCTGTCGACAACCGCAGCTCTCCAGCGTTAACCAACATTACATTCTTCACATTTCAACACATACATTTCCTGAAATCTACTTGTAAAATGTCAGAAACCGACAGTCGGTCACTACAACAAAGGTATGCTTGCCGGAACCTTCTATCGCCCGCCACCAAATACTTACTGGATGCAAGTCCCCCTCTCGCAAACCAACACTCCTCGCCATAGAACAAACAAGATCTCTTATGTCTCCTCATCCTGGAGTGCCCATAGCTTCTTGGGACTTCGGTCCCTGTATCGAACTGCTAGTGCAGGGCGTGAAGTCCGACAACACTAAATCACCACGGCTGAACAATGCCTCCTCGACAAACATACCTGCCAGAAACCAAGATGTCGCCACCACCAGAAGTACTCCAAGTCTAGGGAATTTCGATGCCATTTTCAAGCACTTAGGCACCGAGCCTATCGACATACCCATCAAAGCAAACTATCCATCATCTTCAGACGAAACATCTGAAGATGTAGGCTCATACTCCACTACGGCCTCCACACCGCCGGACGAAGAACCTGAATATTTTGACTTGTGCATGACACCTAGGGCGGTCAGGGCGAATGAAGATATTCAAAATTACAAAACAAAACTGGAGTTGAATAATACTCCACAAAATAAACCGAAGAAAGTCACCTTGCCCAACGGAGCCAAGCAACTGCCAAACAATCCCCTGTCAACGACCGAACTTTATCGTCAGCTCAAGGTCACCCGAACATTGGACTCGACCGTTCCACTCCCAAGTTTCGGATGGGTGCCGGATGACCTGCCTACTACGCCGGTACGGAGAAGCGAGCGCATATTTAACAAAGCCAAGAAGTCCTCAGCTGTAGTTGATGTCCATGCGACATTAACGCATTTTTCAACAGCACGAGCTGCTGGAATCAGCACGCATAAGTCAGTCGGCCGTCGCCAGAGTTTACCTGCAGATACTCCGCGTATTCTGCTGGATCCTAAAGTGATAAGACCTCTGCTATATGCGTCTCATGATACGAAGAAGCTTAGAATTGCTGAAAAGCTCATGCTAAGATTCGGAAAAATATCGAGTACGATTGAGGGCGACCTTATCCGTGCTATAGACCATGTTGGTGGCAATGAACGTCCAGATGGCATCCATGTGTTCGTTGATAGCTCTAACATTGCCATCGGATTTGCAGAGGCGCTCAAAAGGGCACGGGGAATGGACAAAAATGAATTTACGAAATTACCACCACTGGCATACCATTCGCTGGCCTTGATCATGGAACGTGGTCGAGGTGTCGCGAAACGGGTTCTGGTGGGATCCAGTCGAGATAACGTGCGATTGGATTACATGTACGAAGCAGCCCAGTGCGGCTATGAAGTTTCAGCGCTCGAGCGCGTGGAAAAGTTTAAGGGGGCGAAAGAGTCGGATATTGAAAAATATAAGCGGCTCGGAGGAGCCAATGGCAACAACACGTCTTCCGGTAGTGGCGGCGAGGCACCTCTCAACGCCTTTAAAACGGTTACTGAGCAAGGCGTGGACGAGATTCTTCATATGAAAATGCTGGAAAGCATGGTTGATACGGAGTACCCCTCCACAATGGTCGTCGCCACCGGAGACGCCGCTGTCGCGGAGTACTCCTCTGGCTTTCTCAGGAACGTCGAAAGGGCTCTTGAGCGGGGATGGAAGGTTGAGCTCGTCGCTTGGAAGCTTAGTATGAGCTACGCCTACCGCGATAAAGCATTTGCGAAGAAATGGGCCAAGCAGTTCACGATAGTGGAACTGGACGACTTCCAAGAGGAGTTGTTGGGCATCTATACGAAAGGCCCCCGCACTTTTGACGCGTCGAATTTTGTGTAGCTCGGGGCTCCTGTGTCATATTTTTTACAACACACAGCGAGCGATCTGCTGCAGTTTTTTGACCCACTCATCAACTGCTGTAATATGCGCGGATGGGTTGTTGGATTATACTGTATGATATAGCGGATTATGACATTGGCTGGGACCTGGCATTAGAGCATTGATGATTGTTTTTTGGGGGGGGGTTACCTTCACAGCGTCTGATTGTTTTTGGAAGGATTTATCTTCACAGCGTCTGATACATGTTGGATGTATCATATGATTGGCAAACGGAAAGATTGGGTGGTGCAATAATAGTACTATATAAAAATCTATGACACTTTGCCCCAAAAAGCGCTCCAATATTTTGTGACTGATACATTTTTTAATGATTGTGATTTCAAGACGGAAAGCCTGATATATTTTTGGACGCTATTGCAGGCAGAGGCTAATTAAGAGCAGCTAGATCGTATAAAACACTAACTTATAATATTGAGCCTAAACTCTCTAACATTTATTTTCAAACATCTCTATTATTCTCTTTACTCCTTTTACTCTTCTAAGGCGTTGGGGCCGAAAGAAGGTGTTGTCACAGAGAAGGCGGTATGCACGCCGGCTAAAGCTGCCTTGAGGGAAGCCTGGTCATTAACGTCGCCTTGGACGACTTCGACTTTCTCCTTGAGCTTGGTGGCTTTCTCTGAGTTGACATCGCGGGTGATTGCACGGATCTTGTATTTTTGGGAGAACTCTGGGTCGTTCAAGACGAAGTCGACAACAGAACCGCCTTGCTGGCCAGTAGCACCGAGGATTGCAAGAATATTAGACATGTTGTATGGTGTTTGAGAGTAGAAATATCGGGTGTTGGATTTATAACTTGAGTTGTTTGCTGGAATCACTGGAATCGAGCTGGCGGAAGACTTGAGCGTAGGTTTTTACGTTCTGAGTGTCTTCGCCTCCGTAGACACACTGCTCAAGTCTTGCAATAAGGGAGAACAGTGTGTTTCCCCCCTGTGGCTTTATCAGCGAGGGTGTCCCATGTCTCTTTTGCGTTGGTGATGCCTTCTACAAGTGTCGTTGGCGCATAGTTTAGTGTCGATTTGATGCCGCCGCATGCCATTTGGTTTCTTGCCCTCCATGATCGGTATGCTATATCATATTCTTTTGTAGCTTTTGCGGGGGCTGTTAGGGATTGATTTGGATCCGGCTTCTCTAGCTCAGTCTCATACCCGTCAACGAGGTCCCAGAGTCTTTCGATTTGGAGGGCATTGATCATTCTCTTCGACCAGTCCTTGTAGTTGTCGTCACCATCCAGCATGCAGTCCTTTTGGATAGGCACAAAGCTGGCGCTATTCTCTGTAGCAGGGTGTGTGTGATAGCTTGACATCGTCGATGTCGGTGGTGTTGCAATTGGTTCAAGTTCTAGACTGATAGTATGGTCTGATTCTTGGGATTTTGCGTCGGTTTTCTGTGTTATGGGGTCTCTTACACCGATTAACCTAGAAGTGATAATTGCGTTCGGCTTCCTTGACGTCTGGCTTCTTGTGTTGGCTCCGGCTGGTAATAGGCGGTTCTCACTTTCTTCCTCCGAGGATGAGGATGAAGATTCTGTGATACCACCACCGGCTTCTTGACTCTTTGCCTTTTGTGTCTGTAGTTTTGCTCAAACGATTCACTGATAGCTCCCACTGTAGCTTCTCGTATACTGCGGGACTCGATCATCTTTGACTTTGCGAGCCATAGGATTAAGCGCTTGCGACTAGACAAAGATATTATCTGCCATAAATGATGTCACTTTCAATGCGTCGAAACTAACAAACATCACTTAGAGGGTTGCTATGCATCATTCCGTGAAAGAGGCTCGTATGCAACCTGGCCCTAGGGGCAAATTTGTGAACGAGAAGAGGGCAGTAGAGGTAGAAGCACCGGAGCCAGCTAACCATGTCCCGTTTCGATGAAGCCGCAGTCATGATCTAAGACACAGCATGCAGCCTTTTGGAAGGCCCGAGGCAGATTTCAGAAATCAACCAACCATCTCCCGTTTCCATGAAGCTGCTGTTATAAATCGGAGCCACAGGATACGGCCTTTGGAGAGGCCACAGGCAGATTTCGGAATCGACCATTTCACGTACTCTTTGGCCGCTTCACTGGCCGCCACAAATGGAGAAGTGTGGGCCTTGAGGGGAGTGCAGGTAAAAGCAGCGATGGCCTAAGAGAGGGAACAGGGAAGCGGAAGCCTGGCAACGAGGGACGGTTTTGGTGGTGGTCTTGGCGCGAAAGCGATGGCAGCTCAAGGAGAACTGGGCATCCCGTCCGCTCTGCCATACATATCATAGTATCTGCTCTAATTCTAATAGAAATGTCCTTCAAGGTCTAATTTAACAAGCTATATAAACTGATATTGCAGCCATCAACCTATTCTGTGATGACACCAGGCTCTCGACGCTGACATCACCAAGTCCCGTCCTCCCACACATTGCCTCATACACTCAGCGTCGCCACCAACGCCAGCCCAGCAACCAACACACCCCCCACCGACAAGCTCCTCGCCGGCGCCACACTGAAAACGCAGACAAACTATCACTTGAAGAGGATCGAATACCACCCGAACCACCTCAACCCCTCCTGTCTACGCCAAGTCTGCAACAGGCACCTCGCGAGGTACCATCAGAAGCAGAGGCAGAATCGGATGAAATTCAAATTGACTGGCCAGTTCGCGTTGAAAACTTCTTGCGAGATTGTCTTATACCATCGCTCTACCTATTATTTCTATCTGAGTCGCTTCTGGAATTATATACGTGTTTGGGATCGGGACTCGGCCATTTAAGGAGTGTTCTTAACTGCCTATGACCCCATATATCTGAGTTATGGGTGCCATGGGCGTCATACGATAATTAATGCAAGTACTCAACCTTTTTCTTTTTTCTTTTATATATTCGCATGAAAACTAATAATCTTTGGTGTTTGAAGCAGCTGCAAATTTCATTTCGAAACTACTGAACCTTCCGAGAAGCGTTAATTCTTTTAACTTTTATTTTAGGCGCGGAAAAAATATCAGGAGAACAATTTGTTTAGTTATTTTGGTCAACGACGAATCTTGGGCGGCGAAGGTGGCTGCAAATGGAAACTGGCGTTCCGCACTGTGTGGAAGTTGAGGACAAACAATAAATAAGATATCTCAAAATTCACGTCCGTATTCTAAACTTGAAATTGAACACGTTTCATATCTCATCTATATATTCTATATGGTATATACACCTTCCTGCGAGCCATTAAATGTTTGAGTAGGAGATAGCTCCTTCATAATCTGTTCATAGACCGCCCACTGTGCGGCATTAACGATAAAAGCTCGCACACTGCAGACGCCCAACCCACGGAAGAACACAGCTGCGCCCTCCTCTCTATAAATCCGTCTAGCCATCTCTATAGCGCCTATCCGACCTTGCTTCACCACGGCCACTCTCGCTGCACCAAGCAGCGGCGACCTCTCAGTGGCAGAAAGCGTTTGCGTCTGCACCCTCGTCTTGATAACATCTAGAGGAAAAACACTAGCCCAGGTCACGACGCCTGCAATTCCTCCACATAGGAGCGATTTTGCCGCCTCAGCTCGAGGCGAGCTATCCTCTCCCATTTGTACTGCTAATATCCTCTTACCAAGCTCATACGACCAAAAATAGAACCCATATCCAATGCTGTCCCGTAGCGCCGTCACTGTCCCGCCATAATACAAACCCTTAATGCCTTCGGACCTGATGACCGAGCGAGCCAGCGCGAAAGAGGATATGGGAGTATTCGATACCTGTGCGCGGCACTTGATAAGCTCCGTGGGCGAGCTAACCACCCAAGATGCCAGTCCGCCTACTGCGCCGGCGATAAATGTGGTATATAGATTTGTAGCCGGGCCCGGGGATTCGGGGTTGTAGCCGGGACTTAGAAAGGCGGTGGTACGGTTGTATGTCATGAACAACAGCGCATTGAGAGCTCCATATCCGAGAATTGGAGCGGTGGCACCGCGGATCAAGGAGGAGGTGCTGTTGAATTGTGACGCGTATGTCGAGGGATGCGCGGCTGTGATGGCGGCTTGAGGGGAGGATTGAAGGCGGACTTTGATGAGATCTAGTGGGTTGCCAATAAGGATCCCGACGGCGCCGGAGATGTACCCGGCCCAGAAGTCGGCGGACATCGCGTGCTTTAGTTAAAGCCCTTTATATTGATCGAGCTAATCGCCGACGGGACTCCGTTTATGCTTGGCCCATATAATCCTTTGGCCTCCATGTGTGGTTCCTGGCGACCGAATTCGGCGTGAGACGGGCTTGTCGGTGGACTCGGTTTGGTTGCTTCGCAGTGGGCACACAAGCCTGCCAGGTGCCTCTGAATTAGCAATATTTGGACCCAAACACTGACGCCTTTGTCGCCTCTATCTTGGCATGTTATTGCGCTCACCGTGCGATCGTCATGATGTGGCGGGGTATTTCTCTCGGCATATCCGCCGTCGCCCCTCATGGGCAGCGGACTGCTGATTGGATAAGATGGACATATTAGTGGAGCTGTTTTTTAGGGTTCTGATAAAGAGGTGCAATTTACAAAAAAATCAAATTTGAGGGTTTTAAGAATCGAAACAAATGCCAGAGGTGGTATTCCAAAGACAAGTGCTTTAAATGACGCTACCCCCCTGCATGTGTCTGTTGTCAGTGTGATGTTTTCACGGATGCACAGACTCAAAAGGTAGTCAGGAACTGTCATCACGTGATGTCGCGATGACATTGTGATAAGCAAGTCGCGTAACTATGGTCAGTCTGATTTGTAATAACAGCAATCAACGACGCGTCGAGTACCGCAACTACGATTGAACTCGACAACCATCTTCAAGGCACATACAGCTTTGAAGCATTCTGAAGAGCAATGTAAGTGACATTATTCGGTCAGCTAGCCACGTCATCTAATAAGTCACAGGACGATTCAGTCTACAGCCACGAGCGATGACAAAGAAAACGCGTCAACACCAAAAAGTGCAGCTCCTAAGCGGCTCTATGGTGGAACACCACAGTCTGTAGATAGGCTTATTCGCCCATTTAAATGCCCCGGCTCGGCCGTTGCAACTCGAGTTTGCGAGAAACCAACGCGAAAGCGACGAAAGGTTGACTATGGAGGAGCAGATGGCGAGAAGGAGGATGGAGAGAAGCCGTGGACAAACGAGGACCGCCTTGCGCTGGCAAATAGGGACGTCAACAAATTCCCAGTCTTCCAGGTCAAAGATAAGAAGACGATGTTTAGGCAGCGTTTCGCGGTCCCATTGATCAATAAAGATGTTGGCGGCTATAATCCTAATCGACCGCCTCCGACGCTGGGACTAAGGCAAGGAGCTGTCTTTGTTGCAAAGCCGCTCCACGACCCGGCCGGAGAGTTTGCGATTGTGCTATACGACCCTACTATTGACGATGTACCGAAAACGATAGAAGACGCCAAGAAAATCGAGAGCAGCCAAGAAGTGGTAAAAGTGGACGAGCCCATCATTCACAAGAGTCTGGCAGATATTCTGGGTATCAAGAAGAAAGTCGAAGGAGAAAGACCGAAAGTGCCAGTGGTCATAGATCCAAGGCTCGCCAAGGTTCTTCGACCCCATCAAATCGAGGGTGTCAAGTTTATGTACAAGTGCGTCACAGGCATGATCGACGATAGGGCAAATGGCTGCATTATGGCCGACGAAATGGGACTTGGGAAAACACTACAGTGTATCACGTTGATGTGGACGTTACTGAAACAGTCAACAGATGCTGGAAAGCCGACGATACAAAAAGTCATCATTGCTTGCCCCTCGAGTTTGGTTCAAAATTGGGCCAACGAGTTGGTGAAATGGCTTGGAAAAGGCGCGATTGTGCCGTTCGCTATTGATGGCAAGGCGAGCAAGGAAGAGCTCACTCAACAGTTAAGACAGTGGGCTATTGCCAGCGGTCGGGCGGTGACAAGGCCTGTCATCATTGTTTCCTACGAGACACTCCGTCTTAATGTCGACGAGCTCAAGAACACACAGATAGGTCTTATGCTGTGCGACGAAGGTCACCGACTGAAGAACGGAGACAGCCAGACATTCACTGCGCTCAACAACCTAAACGTTTCAAGGCGAGTAATTCTGTCCGGGACACCTATTCAGAACGACTTGTCAGAATACTTCTCGCTGGTCAGCTTCGCGAACCCAGACTTGCTCGGCACCCGCCTCGAGTTTAGGAAGAAATACGAGCTTCCTATCTTGAAGGGACGAGATGCCGCAGGTACTGACAAAGACCGCGAGAGGGGTGACGATTGCCTTCGCGAACTGCTGGGTGTTGTCAACAAATTCATCATTCGCCGGACGAACGATATTTTGTCGAAGTACCTGCCAGTTAAGTATGAGCATGTTGTCTTCTGTGGCCTTGCGCCATTCCAACTAGACCTCTACAACTATTTCATCACGAGTCCCGAAATCAAGGCTCTTCTCAGGGGCAAAGGAAGCCAGCCTTTGAAGGCTATTGGCATGCTCAAAAAGCTTTGCAACCACCCTGACCTTCTCAACCTCTCCGACGACCTTCCGGGATGTGAACAATACTTCCCTGAAGACTATGTTCCAAAGGACGCCAGGGGCCGTGACCGAGATGTTAAGCCCTGGTACTCAGGGAAAATGCAAGTCCTCGACCGTATGCTGGCGCGCATCCGACAAGATACGAACGACAAGATCGTCCTCATCAGTAACTACACCCAAACCCTCGACATATTCGACAAGCTATGCCGTTCCCGCGGCTACGGCTCCCTCCGTCTCGACGGCACAATGAACGTATCCAAGCGCCAAAAGCTAGTCGACAAATTCAACGACCCCGACGGCCCCGAGTTCGTCTTCCTCCTTAGCTCCAAAGCCGGTGGCTGCGGCCTCAACCTCATCGGCGCTAACCGCCTCGTCCTCTTCGACCCCGACTGGAACCCCGCTGCCGATCAGCAGGCACTAGCAAGAGTCTGGCGTGACGGACAGAAGAAGGACTGTTTCGTGTACCGCTTTATCGCCACAGGCACCATCGAGGAGAAGATCTTCCAGCGCCAGAGCCACAAGCAGTCGTTATCATCGTGTGTTGTCGACTCGGCGGAGGATGTAGAGAGGCATTTCACGCTTGATAGTCTGAGGGAGTTGTTCCAGTACCATGGCAAGACGACGAGTGATACGCATGACACGTTTAAGTGTAAGCGGTGTAAGCCGGATGGGAAGCAGTTTTTGAAGGCCCCGGCGATGCTGTATGGTGATACGAGTACGTGGAATCATTTTGTGAATGCGGGGATTGAGAAGATTCAGGATTTGCTGCTGAGGCAGGAGTTTGGGGAGAAGGATGTTAGTGCGGTGTTTCAGTATATCTCGCATTAGAATGTGTGTGTACTTGGTTTTTTGGGATGTTGTTGGAAGAGCAGGAATTGTCATTAGCGGGGGTTTGGGAGGCGTTTGAAAGGGGCGGCGTATACTTTAGATAAGAGGGGGTCTGATTGACTTAATGCAAATGATAATAATGAAATATAACACCACATGGATATATCAAGCAAACGAAGCAATAAGCCGTAGAGTAAAATGTGTCTCCATTATAACTTCCGTAGAACGTGTTATCAATTATATAGGGTATCCTAAAGCTTCTACGGATGGTGTTACAGTATGTTACAATAATATGTTCTTACAGGGCCCAACAGGGCATCATAGCTGCCACAGCAATTCAAACCGACCAGGCCTCTATTCCTCTCTCTCAAGCGTATCCCTAATCCTAATCTGCCACGACTTGAACCGCCCCGGCGCAAACTCATTCATCGTCCACAGCAAATGAATCGGTGTCCTCTGCGCCTTCTGTTCCCTCGAAAACAAATACCTAGCCTGCATCTGCTGGATATCAGTGACAACATCCAGCGTCTCCTCATCAAGCTCTAACCCGGACTCCTCCATCTCCTCAAGCAGTCTGATGACACCGCTAAAGTCGTCGTACTGGAACCAATAGATCCGTAGCAGCTCATTGTATAATGCCGTCGTTCCACCGAGAACGTGGGAGACGAGACCTAGAGATTTGATTCGGGGTAGCACGTTACATGCTAGAGGCGAATGTTTCGCGAACGAGTGGTGCAGGAGACGTAATCCGTAGAGAAGGTATGAGGCGTACAACGGGAAATAGAGATTTATATCCAGTGGCTCGGGCGCTGGCGTCACACCCGTCAATTTCCCTGCCGCTGTCTCTACCGCCTTCTTGGAAGATTTGCCACCCTTCTTCTTAGGACGCGGCGCTGCTGGGGCCTTCCTTTCCTCGAGCCCGAGCCGTGGAATGAGACTGAAGACCTCCTTTTCCATGATCGCCCAAAGAGCTATATCCGTTGGCGCAGCGCGCATTGCGGCTTCTACTCTTTCTTGCTCCTGTTGTCGGAACTCCTTGTACTTGTCGACCGGTTTTTCTTGAGGGCGTTCGCTTGTCCGAGACGGCTTTCCTTCCAAGCCAAGCGCTCGTGCGGCAACGGCTCGGAGGGCTATGGGGTACTGCTTCAATGTATCGAGGTTCTTCTCGCGGGGCTGGCTTGTGAAGAGGGTGTTTTGTGGAAGGCGTACAGCTTCTTCCATGATCGAGTGGAGTTTCTCTCTTGCATTCTCTTTGTTGACCTCAGACAGGTCGACCAGCGATTGTTCCTGAGGTCTGGTACTCTGCGAACGAGCGTAGATGTCGGAAAAGATGCGCTGGAAGGTGTCTCGTTCTTCTAGTGTTATCGTAGACTCTCCCGGCCTCCTTGATGACGGGATAGTGAAGTCGGGTTCGCCCTCGTATTCCGAGAACATGTCTTCTTCTTCTGCGAATGGGTCGTAGAACGTGGCCATGTCGAACTGGATATCATCGGCCTCAGACACTGGATCGGTTGTCACTTTATCCGTTGATCGACCAAACGATGGCGAGTCCCATGGAAGATCCTCCTCTTCCTCTACTTTGTTGGACTTGCGGTCTACAATGTATCTCCTAATCAGAGGTCTGTCTTCTGATATGGGAGCCTGCGTGTTCGAAGGCGTGGCCGTGTCAGGGTCCTCTTTATCGCTCCAGAGGGTCCTGCTGACCCTTATACAAGAGCTAGCGTAGCTATGGAATAACTGGGATCGACTTGGGCGACAAAGCATCAGCCTTAGTGCTGGTTGTCGCATTGGCTTCCTGCTGCTGCACAGTGTCCTGGTCTGGTACAGAAACGGCATTGAAGAAGTCGCCGCTGAATGAATAGCCCTTGCGCCTTGGGAGGATATGTTGGAGGCCATCGATCGTTTTGATCGGCCCAGCAGCGAGGATGCTGCTCGAGGACACCGCTAGTTATTTCATCAACGTCTGAGGTGTACTTTGAGAATTCGAGTGGCCGCGTCTGGACTGATGAATTTGGGACAACTTTTTTTGGAGCCTCTTGTACGGAGGTCCGACGTCACTTAATTTACCAATAGCGCAGTCACGTTCCTACGCGACGCGGCGCGCCGCGCCAAAGTCATCTACATTGCGCCTGAACCCGCGCCATATCCATCGATGCGCGCGCCGCTTCGTGAGACGACATAATTTGTACAAATATTCGAATTAGAGACCATTGTTGCCATCATGGTTAAAAGGGAATCCGAAGATTTTACCGCCACCACGGCCAAAATGGAACCCAAATATTCCAAAATGAGCGCCTTTGAGCGCAAGAGACTCGAGAATATCGCGGCGAATCAAGCCATAATGAAGGATTTGAGCATAACAGCGAAGAAGATCATACCAAAGACAGCAGCCCCCAAGCCACCTCGATCGAAAACACCAAGGAAACGAGAACCGCCTGTGAAAAGAGAGGCTACAAGGCCAACGAGAACCAGTTCGCGGATTGCTGGGTTGGAGGCCGACGGCGAGGGAGCGAAGAGGAAATTCGAAGAGGAATTCCAATCCGCACAGGATGACGCCAAAGCGAAGAAGATGAGGGTAGCGGGAGACCTCAATTTAAGTGATATTGCGGTGGAGGGCAAGAAATGGACTAATGACGACAATTTCCTGACTTCAATCATGAGAGGGGCACAGCCATATGAGAGGACGTTTGACGATAGTGATATCAAAACTACTACGGATCAGGAGCTAAAATCTCTAAGAGAGAAAATGAGTGGGCTTGAGTTATACAAGACCTGGGAGCCAAATGGTGAGAACGGCTCGCTTTACCTTCATACCCCGCAAGTGCTGACAGTAATTCAGATATTAAAATCACACCGGAGCGCATATACTCCATGGGTTTTCATCCCACCCATGACAAGCCGCTTATATTTGCGGGAGATAAGATTGGAAACCTTGGACTATTCGATGCATCCCAGAAAGGAGAGGTGGATGATGATGGCGATCAAGTTGAAGGGCCGGTGATAACAGCATTCAAGCTTCATGCGCGAACGATAACATCACTCCTATTTCCTCCGAATCACACGGAGCTATATTCCGGTTCCTACGACTCCTCCATTCGGAAACTTGATCTTCAGAAGCAAGTTGCCGTCGAGGTTTATGCGCCACCATCGATGGACGATGACGAAGCAATTTCTGCTATCGACATGAATTCTAACGACCCTAACTTGATTTACTTCTCGAGACTGGACGGAGCGTTTGGAAGACATGATATGAGAACCCAGAAAGATACCGAAATATGGTACGTATCCGAGAAGAAGGTTGGCGGGTTCTCGTTACATCCGCTTCACCCCCATCTCGTGGCAACTGCCTCCCTGGATAGGACGCTAAAGATCTGGGATCTACGGAAATCTACTGGGAAAGGCGAAACTAGACAGCCCGGGCTCCTGGGCGAACATACCTCACGCCTGTCGGTATCCCATGCAGCATGGTCGTCCTCTGGCCATGTGGCAACAAGCTCATACGACGATACAATCAAAATCCACTCCTGTACAAAAGCAAAAACGTGGGGAGTCGGGCACACAATCTCGGAGGAAGATATGGAACCATCGGCCGTGATTAGACACAACAACCAGACTGGGCGATGGGTCACGATTCTGAAAGCGCAGTGGCAACAAAGGCCTGATGATGGGATCGCAAAGTTTGTCATTGGCAACATGAATCGGTTTGTCGACATATACACGAGTGAGGGAGAGCAGCTGGCGCAACTCGGTGGTGATGGGATTTCTGCTGTCCCTGCTGCAGCCGAGTTCCATCCGACTAGGAACTGGGTCGCGGGAGGAACTGCAAGTGGTAAACTATGCTTGTGGATTTGTGAACTGCCGTGATTGGGTTAAGTTAGGGTTAAGTTAGGGTTATGATAGCGTTATGGGGCACTAGATGTGGCTGGCTTTTGTCGTCTCTGTTCAAAGGACGCATAAATAGGGTCTTGTTGTCATCATTGAATATTAATCTCGGAATCATTCTGCTTTTGTATCCCGTACAGCTTGTTCGTACAGCTTGTTCGATTTCGTCAAATCGGAGTTTATCGCTGGGGACGGCTGGGATGGGATGTGCCTGGCCCGTTCCAACCCCTAAAATGAATGAGTGACGTCTTAGGCGTGGGGCGTGGGAAACTCCGTTAGTGGCGCTGTCCAATATACCGAGTAGTAACCCGTTTTCATCTCCGTACTTACTCTATTCTCTTGACTGGATCTTGAGAACCTCGGACCTTTTAACTGCCTTTAAACCATTGTGTTATTCGATCGCCGTTGACTTTAAGCTTCAGTTGGTCTAGGCTCATTGTTCAGAGAGTCATACTTGGCAAGCATATGTGATCTTCGTTTCCCTCGTTAGATAGACGACAACCTGAGGGGCTTATCGCAATCGGAACCAGTTCGCTGACCCAAATATTCACAACCACCCGCGCGGCCCCGTCGCCACAGACAAAACCCACGCCATCTTTGTCTGGGAGTACCAGATAAGCGTGCAAGAATCATGATACGATCCCGCGAAGATGTCAAGAAGCGGGTAGGCCGGAAGTTGACCAAGAAGAGGAGGGAAGACCGCCGGGTCACTATGGAGATCCCCAAGCGCTTTGAGGATGGCGATGACGCAGAAGAGGACTGCACGGCTCCCAAGGGACAGAACGGATTGATTAATCAGTCTGTATTTGGGATGATCGCAGCTGCACGTTCCCAAGCCGACTTCCATGCAAGATTCGACGGCCAGGATAGCGATGATGAGGAGGACGAGACGACGGAACCGGAAGACGCCTCAAGACCGTCGGAGGCTTCTTCCGGCCCTGCCACGACCAAAGCTCCTACAGATGAGCGTATATCACGACATAGATTTCATAGACGCAAGCTTTCCGATAATAAGCTTCTACGATCCTTATCGCAACTCGGCATCAAGAACAGAAACAAACATGCACAGCTATCGACAGCTTCAAGCGATCCGGTCACGCCGGAAAAGACCAAGGACACTGAAAGACATCATATAACACGGTCGCCTTTTAAAGGCCCTCCTATAATGAGCCAGATGCTCGAAGCAAAGGCAGAGGCGGTGCAGCGGGCAAGCTTCGATTCGAGGCGATCAGACTATATATCAGGGCAGTCGGACGATGGTGCAGATGGCGCAGAAGGTTCACCGAGCGACCTGGCGATACGGTTGATGGAGATTTTCGAGTTCGAGAGCCCCGAACTGGTTATTGATGGTAACTATCACGCCTTACTTTTTTAGATATATGCAGCTAATACGTCGTAGAATATCCTTGCTGGCTTATGAAGAGCGTACTGCTCCAAGGGTACATGTATCTTACCGAAAAGCACATCTGCTTCTACGCATATCTCCCTAAGAAATCGGTATGAAAAGCTCCCTACTAGTACTCTGATACGGTTCACTAAAAGCATGATAGAACGAGATAGTTAAATCAGGATATCTAAGCAAACGTGGACTCAAGAACCCAAAGTATAACCGCTACTGGTTCAACCTGCAAGGCGATGTGCTGTCATACTATACGGATCCTTCTGACAAGTACTTCCCATCCGGCAATATCGATCTCAGATATGGTATATCTGCAAGCGTTGTAGACAAAGAGAAACCCTTTTTCGAAGTTATAACCAACCACCGGAGGTATCAATTCCACGCCGACAGTATACCGAGCGCGAAGGAATGGGTGAAGGCACTTCAGAAGATTATGTTCCGTTCTCATAATGATGGAGATAGCGTCAAAATTTCATTGCCGATTGAGAATGTGATCGACGTGGAAGACAGCCCGGTGATTGACTTCGCGGAAACCTGCAAGATTCGAGTAATCGACAATGATGAAACATACGCTATTGATGAGGTACGTTCACGCCCCCTAGGCTATAAGAAGACCATATACTGACTTTGGGCTAGTACTTCTTCTCGTTTTTCAGCTTTGGAAAGCAAGCATTGATCATTCTTCGCACTCTTGTGTCGGATTCGGCAGCAAAGCAAATACCAGAAGGCCTGTTGGTACAGCCACGAGGAAACTCCGGCAGTAACAGCCCTAAGGCAGGTTCATCTAGGCCTAGCCTTGCGATTTCGACAAGAGAGACCAAACCGTTTCTAAACCATGGCAAGGCAACTTCTTCAGGGCTCGAAGAGAGCGTTAAGGCAACACTAACAGCTCTTATCTCGTCCCCTCTTCACGTACATAGTCCGAGAGCTAGCGGCGACTTTTCTAGAGCAAGCTTTGACATCAACCAGAGAAGTACTAGCCAGACTAGAGCTTCGAGACGCAGTATGGATGTTAGCAGATTTAACTTGGACGGGCAAGGTAGAAATGGGAGTCCCAGCAACGACAGACGAAGCTTCAGTAGGGATCGGTTACCCGAGAAGAAGAATTCTGAGAAGCAAGATTCGTCCGACTCATATGTTCATTCGATGGAAGAGTCCTCGGCCGCTGCTCAATCAGCTAGCGAGGATGTCGAAGGGTCTGCTAGTCAGATACTGAGGGGCAGCGAAGGATTCTTCCAACCTACTATCCATCGCTCTGCATCTACACCAAGGCGCCGAGATGATACTCAATTGCCTGGGGGTCCGCTGCTACCACAGACACCTATGCTACTACCACACGCAGCAACGATTGACGCATATGAACTGCCAAAGCTAACTCAGGCTGATAATGCGTCTTCACCTTCTTTACAGACCTTAGCTAAAGCTGGTGCATACCCGCTGCAGAGGGCAGCTGGCTTTGCTAACTACCTCAACCGCCATTCAAAACGCATGAGCACCCTTCTTGCAACGGAGTCTATGGGATATGTTGAGAAGGTCTCGGGGATGTGGAAAGGTGGGAAGAAGCATTACGACGAGCCACTAGGCCACGGGCTAGAGGATGACACAGACGATGAAGGTGGCCAATCTGATGGAGCTGAACATCGCTTCCAAGCCCATTTTGCCCTTCCAGCTGGCGAAAAGTTGCAGGCGGCATATTTTGGCTACTTTCACAGAGTACTACCTCTCTATGGCAAGATCTACATTAGCAATCGCTCGTTTTGCTTTAGAAGCCTTTTACCTGGCTCTCGCACAAAGCTGATTCTGCCACTCAAAGACATTGAAAATGTAGACAAAGAGAAGGGCTTCCGCTTTGGCTATTCTGGGCTAGTTGTCGTTGTTAAGGGGCACGAGGAACTCTTCTTTGAGTTCGGACAACCCGACGCAAGAGATGATTGCTGTGTCACTTTACTTCAGAACCTCGAAACGATTCGCTACCTTAAGGAATCGGGCTTGCTGACGCAAGAGGAAGAGGAAAGTGCAGCATGGGCGGTTGCGGAGAATAAGGCTTTGCAAGAAGCTCGTCAAGAATCACGGCAGCATAGCCATGACCTCGAATTGCCAACTACTGTGGAAGGCGCCTCAACTGAGACGGCCCCTATAATGTTCGACGACCCCAGAGCGTCGATATTAAACTTTAAGCCCACGGAGTCGCTTCGCATTACTTGTTTAACAATTGGCTCGCGCGGAGATGTTCAGCCATACATAGCGCTATGCAAGGGATTTATAGCGGAAGGACATAGGCCAAAGATCGCGACACATGTTGAATTCAAGGATTGGATCGAGGGCCATGGCATCGAGTTCGCTCCCGTCGGAGGCGACCCGGCTGAGCTTATGCGCATTTGCGTTGAGAATGGCATGTTCACATACTCATTCTTGAAAGAAGCGTCAACGAATTTCCGCGGTTGGATCGATGACCTACTTTCTTCGTCTTGGGCGGCTTGCCAGAATTCAGATGTCCTCATCGAGAGCCCCAGCGCCATGGCTGGCATACATATCGCCGAAGCGTTAGGAATTCCATACTTCCGCGCCTTTACGATGCCCTGGACAAGAACGCGCGCCTATCCCCATGCCTTTGCCGTGCCAGAGCACAAGATGGGCGGAGCGTATAACTACATCACCTACGTCATGTTCGATAATGTCTTCTGGAAAGCCATTGCGGGCCAGATTAATAGGTGGCGTAAGAAGGAGCTTAGTCTCCCTCGCACCACCCTGGAGAAGATGCAGCCCAATAAGGTGCCATTCCTGTACAACTTCAGTCCCTCGGTCGTCGTGCCACCGCTCGATTACAGTGACTGGATCAGGGTGACGGGGTACTGGTTCCTCGACGAAGGCGCCGGTTATAAGCCACCTAAGGAGATCTCCGATTTCATCGCTAAGGCTAGGGCTGATGGGAAGAAGCTCGTCTATATTGGGTTCGGTTCTATCGTTGTATCAGACTCGGCTGCTCTCACGAAAACGGTAGTCAATTCAGTGCTAAAGGCCGATGTTCGCTGCATCCTATCCAAAGGATGGTCCGACAGACTCGACAAGATCGGCGCAACCGAGCCTGAAGTCCTCCCAGAGGAAATCCTGCAAATCAAGTCTGCACCCCACGACTGGCTGTTCACGCAGGTTGATGCTGTAACCCATCACGGTGGTTCTGGAACCACTGGAGCGAGTCTTAGAGCTGGCAAGCCTACGATTATTAAGCCCTTCTTTGGAGACCAGTTTTTCTATGGCGGGCGAGTGGAGGACCTTGGTGTTGGGATTTACCTTCGGAAGCTCAATGTGAGCGTCTTCGCGCGCGCGCTGTGGGAAGCTACGCATAGTGAAAGGATAATTGCCAAGGCGAATCTGCTGGGAGAGCAGATCAGAAGCGTGAGTTTCCTTTCCATCTTTAATCACTTGAATATGTAGACACTAATAAACTTATAGGAGGATGGCGTGGATACGGCGATACAATGCATATACCGCGACATGGAATACGCCACTGGTCTCATTAAGCGGAAGTCCGGCAGCCACGAAGGGTTAGCTGAAGATATCGAGGAGAGCTGGACGTTCATAGGCGACGACAACGACCCGGAACTCATGAGCCGCATTCACGCATGGGATCCGCGTGTGGTACTTGCACACTCGAGGGACTTCACGGAATCACAGCCAAAGGATGCGGCCAAGCCAAAGTCTCTGGTTCCGACGCCAACGTGTGAGACTCCGCTGCCTGCTGAACAGGAGGCGGGAAGCAAGTGATTTGGTGCAGGGGTAGGATTGGACGTATATTACTAATATTGTGACGAGGCGCTGTTGGTGATGGGGGAGCGTTTTTACGATTGGTATGGACGGTGTTATCGAGTGCTGGCCTTGATGATAGATTGGCATGGTGGAGTGTAGGTGGTTAGTAAATCCGTAGCCCTATGAGCATATACAAGACACTCCTTATATATAGGTTTCTATTCCTTTGTATAGCCTCATATGGCCTCAAATAAGCTCCAAGAACGATGGTCGCGGCTGTGCAAGGAGCAAGGGATCGGTTGTTGCCTTAGGACGTCTATGCATCCCACCCCAACAATCCAACCAATCACTCCACCCGACTCCTTCGCCCGCAACGGAGGCAAATGGCATAAAAGGTTGCTAAGGCCCCCCGACCTTCGAAAAGCACCTTTCAGAAGTACGGAAGCGGCCGCACGAGCATGGTATCTGCCTGAGCAACCACTACCACCATTTTAATTCACAGACGACCCACAGAGTGACGTGCATCTGTCTCTTCTATGAATTCCTAGCTTTGCACAACAAAGAAATGCAAAGGGACAAGGACAAGGACAAGACTGCCATTGTTATTGATTGGTTACTTTGAGGCTATTGGGCATGGTTGGACTAATGGCCATTTGTTGAAGTTGCGCTTCATATACGATCGAGAGACCCTATCTCACGGCAAGACATTACAAGTGAGTTATCGCCCTCCATTGTCGCGAAGCTTTCTAGAACTTCTGGAAGACGAAGACTTCGATGCATACCTGCGCGAATCGCCACTGAGGCCGAAGTGTGCACTGCTAACCACGCGCCCTCTCAGATTAGGCCCCCCCATCGAAACATATCCCACATGCTTTCGCCGACAGCTCCAAGCCAACGGAGGAAACAAATATGGGAAAACCGCTCAACCTAGGGAAGAAACTGAAGTACCCCATCACTGTCAACAAGCTTCTCAAATCCCCCGGCGACTCGTTCGCCAAGGGCGACGCCATCTTCGAGTACAGCTTCAAATGGAAGAAGGAAGTCGGAGACGCGTTTGGTGACAAATGGGAGGAGGAGATTACGACGATTGTCAGCTTCGCCAGCACGGCGGATGGGAAGCTGTTGCGATGGCAGATCAGACCGGGTATGGTCATCAATAATGACCAGTCCTGCGCTGAGATCGATGAGACCTGCTCGCATGCCGTTCAATACGCGGGTCTCTGCGCGCTGTGCGGGAAGGATATGAACGAGACCTCGTGGGCTACGGACACTGTCGACGCGCAGCGGGCGCAGATCAACATGATACACGACCAGACGCTGCTGTCGGTGAGCCAGGACGAAGCATCGCGGGCGGAAGAGCAGTTACAGCGGCGACTGTTGAAGAACCGGAAGCTGTCGCTCGTGGTTGATTTGGACCAGACGATTATCCACGCCTGTATCGAGCCGACGATTGGCGAATGGCAGCGCGACCCGACATCCCCGAACTACGAAGCTGTTAAGGATGTCAAGTCGTTCCAGCTCCATGATGACGGCCCCCGTGGTCTGGCGTCGGGATGCTGGTATTATATCAAGATGCGCCCGGGTCTAGCGCACTTCCTGACCACCATTGCCGAGAAATACGAGTTACACGTTTATACGATGGGAACGCGGGCATATGCGCAGGAAATCGCAAAGATTGTTGACCCTGAGCATAAGCTCTTCGGTGATCGAATCATCAGCAGAGACGAGAATGGGAGCTTGACGGCAAAGACTCTTTCAAGACTGTTCCCGGTGGACACGAAGATGGTGGTGATTATAGATGACCGAGCGGACGTATGGCCGCGGAATCGATCGAATCTTATCAAGGTTGTCCCATACGACTTCTTTATCGGCATCGGAGACATCAACTCGAGCTTCCTGCCTAAAAGGGAGGAAACCCCAAAGGTCGCCCCGGCGCCGCCACCGGTCGCACCAATGCCCGACACGGAGGAACCTACAGAAGGTACAATTGCTGAAGAAGGCACTGCTGAGGGCGAGGTCCAGGTTAAGCGCGACGTGCTGAAATCGAAAGCGACATCCACCGACACCACCGAAAGCATGAGCGCTCTGGAAGAACTTGTCGCTATGGGAGGCGGGGATGACCCGACCGTCCGTGAGATCCAAGCCCAGGAGCAGGCACAGTTTCTGGAGAAGCAACTCAAGGAACGGCCACTACTTCACATGCAGCAGCAGCTCGACAAAGAAGATAACGCTGAGGTCGAAGTGGCTGCGAATGGAACTGCCGAGGAATCGGAACATACTGATGATTCGGCGTATAATCACCATCGACACCATCTACTAAAGGACGATGATAACGAGCTTGCGTATCTCAAAAACCATCTTCTTGGCCTGCATAGGATGTTCTATGAGCAGTACGATAAAGCGCTGATTAACGCCAAAGGAGACCGCGTGGCTCATCTTCGGCCTGGAGCGACAAAGAAGGTCCAGATGAAAGACGAAGCCGCTGACCTCCAAATCGTCCCTGACATCGGGGAAGTAATGCCGCAAATCAAGTAAGTTATATCTTGCCAACGCTACCTTTATGAAACTTATACTTACAATTCCAAAGGTCGGACAGTCTGCGCGGCACAAGCATAGTGCTGTCTGGCCTAGTGCCGTTGGGTGTTGATGTATTGAGGTATTTACACAAATTTATTAAAAGATTTAAGGAGGATTTGGCGTTGGCGTTTGATATTATTAAGTACAAGTACATGGCTAAACAGTTGAAACGCAGGTCCGAAATAGCGATACAGTCGATGAGCTTTGGAGCACAGATCCACACAAAGTAAGTATATGAAAACCTTGGATTTGAAGATACGGTTTGCTAATGATCATGTAGGATATCGCGTAAAGTTACACACCTTGTTGTTGCTGCGAATCGCACTCGGACGCAGAAAGTTCGCCAGGCTACAAGCTATCCTCACATCAAGATTGTGAATCAGCAATGGCTAGTCGACTCGATGAGTAGGTGGGAGAGGGTCGACGAGACACCGTACTTGGTATGTAGACTCTGCCCAGTCCAGAATGAACCCTTTGTTTCCAAAACGCCACATTTGTTACGCCTCAAAGATAAGACTAATAAACACAGATAAACATCCATTGCGAAGATAAATCTACCCAGCCAGAACTCTTCTCCAACGGCCGAAGCCTCGACGACAGCGACGACTCCGGTGCAGAAGGCCATTCTAGCCACGACGCCGACATGCCCGATGATTTCGAAGGCGGCCAATCCCCCATAGAAGGCCTCAAAGACGTCGACTGGAGCGGCGTCGACGCTGAACTCGAAGAATTCATGGCAAGCGGCAGCGAGAGTGACAGCGAAAGCGTCGCGAGCAGTACGTTCCTCCCCCCCTTCTCCCCCCAACCCACCGTCAAAGCCACTCCCTAACTTTACCCCTGCAGATACAAGCGACCGCAGCCAACAAAGCACCATCAGCATCCGCCGCAAACGCAAGCTCGCCGCCAGCAGAGACGGCGAAGAAACAGACGAAGAGAGCAACATATCCAAAAAGCAGCGTCTAGCACGAAACCGCACAACCGGGCTCAAGACCGTCAAAACGCCCAACTCGGCGTCGGGGTCGAGCCTGCCGACGCCGGAGAAGACGGCTGCGGAGGATGGGGATGAAGCGCATCAGACGGACACGCAGGATGAGGAGTTTGATAATGATCTTGAGGCGGAGATGATGGCGGAGTTTGAGAAGGGGGGTTGGGATAGTGGGGAGGAGGGGGATGATGGGGATGATGGGGATGATGGGGATGGCGGGGGTGGTGGGGGAGGTGGGGGTGGGGGCGGGGGCGGCTAGATGGGAGGGATTCATGATATGGTCTGTCTTTCTTGTTTTAGCGTGGCTTGAGCATGTACTGGGTGGGCGGTGGTGCATTTGGAGGCGTTATTGGGAGGGGTTGCGAGTCTGGCGCACTGTGTAGGGTATATCTGTCTGGGAGGTGGGGTTTGAGTATGCACGATCGGTGGTTGGTGAGAGGGAGTTCTAGATACCTTGGCCACTCAATATGCAATGAAATGATCACTCTGGACGGAAATGCTAAGCTCTTCTTATTACTCGTGCTGCCTAAAACTCTGACTATACATGACACCAATGACCACAGTAACTATGATTGAAATAAATACTCGATTATTGACGTCTATTATTGTCATAGTTACTCAAGAAACGACTAAAAAAAGAGAAATCCCATCAGCCTCGATTGTTAATGCCAATCCCCAGCGCAGAGATAAACACACAAAGGGGATATGGTTTAGTGGTATAACGCTTCTTTAGCATAGAAGAGGTCCGGCGTTCGATTCGCCGTTTCTCCAGTGTTTGATTGCTTAGGCATTTATTTTTTATTCTTTGATTCTAGCTGTGGATACGCGATCTAATATGGATAGGGGGAATATTTCCCTTTTTCCTCGCAGCGCCCCCTCTTTGGAGCTTCACGTGACATTTTTGCTTAATTGAAGGCGGTGGCAGAATCGCGTAGATTCGCGCATCGCGTCCACCGCATTTGGGGCGTCGTTAGACTGGTAATTGTTGGCCAAGTGCTCCTGACCTGACCCGCACTTGATTTTGAACGAAACAACGAAGGCTTGTCGTATGAGCCATTTTAAAACTCGGAAAGAATTAATTCATTTTTGCCGTTGCAGCAATTATGTCGAATCGCCCTGAGTTAAAGGTTAGCTCACTCACTTCTTAACCCAGTTAAACCAGCCCATTGCTAACATCCCCCCTCCCCCAGGTTGACGACGAGCAAGGCTTCATCAAGTTCTTCAAATCCCTCCCCACCGAAGACAGCGAGACGATCCGCATCTTCAACCGCGGCGACTACTACACCGCCCACGGCGAAGATGCCTCCTTCATCGCCCGCACCGTCTACAAGACGACCTCCGTCCTCCGCCAGCTCGGCCGCAACGACCACACCGGCCTCCCCTCCGTCACCATGACCGTCACCGTCTTCCGAAACTTCCTGCGCGAGGCGCTGTTTCGCCTCGGGAAGAGGATAGAGGTCTGGGAGAGCACGGGTCGCATGCAGTGGAAGGTCGGCAAGCAGGCGTCGCCGGGGAACCTCCAGGATATTGAGGATGAGCTGGGGGGGCAGATCGATGCTGCGCCTATCATGCTGGCTGTTAAGGTGTCGGCCAAGGCTTCTGAGACGCGGAATGTGGGTGTTTGCTTTGCTGATGCCAGTGTGCGGGAGTTGGGTGTCAGCGAGTTTCTCGATAACGACCTGTACTCGAATCTTGAGTCGCTCCTCATCCAGCTGGGTGTCAAGGAGTGTTTGATTCAAGTCGATAAGTCGAATAAGGATATTGAGATTTCGAAACTAAAGGCAATTATTGATAGCTGTGGGATTGCTGTCTCGGAACGCCCAATTACGGATTTCGGAACGAAAGATATCGAGCAAGACCTGGCACGCATTCTGAGGGACGAGGCCGCATCGGGGGCCTTACCACAAACGGATCTGAAGCTCGCTATGGGCTCTGCTGCGGCGTTAATCAAATACCTTGGTATCTTACACGACCCGTCAAATTTTGGCCAGTATCAGCTCTATCAACACGACCTAGCACAATTCATGAAGCTGGACTCCCCAGCCCTGAAAGCACTGAATCTTATGCCTGGCCCGAGAGATGGCTCGAAGACAATGAGTCTATTTGGGCTACTGAACCACTGCAAAACTGCAGTTGGCACTAGGCTTCTGGCGCAGTGGCTAAAACAGCCGCTTATGAGCAAGGATGAGATCGAGAAGAGACAAATGCTGGTGGAAAGTTTTGTCGAGGATACGGAACTACGACAGACGATGCAGGAAGAACATCTCCGTTCGATACCCGACTTGTATAGGCTAGCGAAGCGGTTCCAGAAGAAAATGGCGAACCTGGAGGACGTTGTAAGAGCATACCAAGTTGTTATTAGGCTACCCGGCTTCATCGGGACTTTGGAGGGAGTTATGGACGACAAGTACAAGGATATCCTTGACGACGCATATACTGTTAAGATCAGAGAGTATTCGGAGAGCCTCTCCAGGTTACAGGAGATGGTCGAAACGACGGTGGACTTAGATGCCATGGATCGCCATGAGTTCATCATCAAGCCAGAATTCGACGACAGCCTTCGCATCATTCGAAAGAATCTTGATAAGCTGAAGTATGATATGGAAAAAGAGTCTCAAAGTGTATCAGATGATCTCGATCAGGAACTCGACAAGAAGCTATTTTTGGAAAACCACAGGACACACGGCTGGTGCCTGCGGTTGACAAGGACAGAGGCAGCTTGTATCCGCAACAAAAAGCGGTACTTGGAATGCTCGACGCAGAAGAACGGCGTCTACTTCACAACGAACGCGCTGCAGAGTATGCGCCGGGAGCATGATCAGCTTTCAGAGAATTATAACCGCACTCAAAGTAGCTTGGTCAATGAGGTTGTTAGCGTTGCTACATCATACTGTCCTGTTATTGAGCTGTTGGCTGGCGTTCTCGCCCACTTAGATGTGATTGTCAGCTTCGCTCACGTTTCCGTACATGCTCCTACGGCCTACACCAAGCCCAAGATGCACGAACGGGGAACCGGCGATACCATACTTAAAGAGGCTCGCCATCCATGTATGGAGATGCAAGATGACATCCAGTTCATAACAAACGATGTCTCCCTGATCCGCAAGAAATCCGAATTTTTGATCATCACCGGTCCCAATATGGGCGGTAAGTCGACCTATATTCGCCAGGTCGGCGTTATCGCACTGATGGCCCAAATCGGCTGCTTTGTTCCCTGCACAACAGCAGAATTGACCATTTTCGACTGCATTCTTGCCCGTGTCGGTGCTAGCGATTCTCAGCTCAAGGGCGTGTCAACCTTCATGGCCGAGATGTTGGAGACTGCCAATATCCTAAAGTCTGCAACATCCGAATCACTCATAATAATAGACGAGCTCGGCCGCGGAACAAGCACATATGATGGATTTGGCCTCGCTTGGGCTATTTCAGAGCACATCGTCAAGGAAATAGCCGCCTTCAGCATGTTTGCGACTCACTTCCACGAGTTAACGGCACTTGCAGACGAGTTTCCACAGGTCTCTAACCTTCACGTCGTTGCTCATATTGGTGACGGCCCGCAATCGGATGGCAAAGGTGACAAGAGAGAAGTAACCCTTCTTTACAAGGTAGAAGACGGAGTCTGCGACCAAAGTTTTGGTATCCATGTCGCGAAGCTCGTTCGATTCCCGGAGAAGGTCGTGAATATGGCGAAGCGGAAGGCGGACGAATTAGAAGACTTTACTGGCAAGCATGAAAATGACGCGGTGAAGGTTAAGAGGGAGGACGTGGAAGATGGAAGTGTTATGCTGAAAGGGCTTCTGAAGACTTGGAAGAGCCAGTGCGAGAGTGAAGGCCTGCAGGGAGATGATATGGTGGCGAGGATGAAGGAATTGGTTATGGCGGATAAGAAGCTGCTCGACAGCCCATTCTTCCAGAGTGTGAAGGCTCTATGAGTATGAGGGACAAGGTGTTTGGAGTTGTGAAATATAGCTGAGTGGGGGGATATATCATATGATCATGCTGGTTTAAGGACAGCCAGACAACTTAATCCAGTAACTTGACTCATGCGAATAGACAAATAATGAAATTTGTTTTGGGACCGATTGATCCGAGAGGAGGGAACGATTGAGAACATTATCGGTGAACAATACCGGTTGCTCCTTCTAGTTGAGTATGAAGACTTGCAAGTCGTGAGAACCAAACCAGGAAAAAGGCTAGTAATATTTTGATTTGTTTTTCGAATCGATCTCCATTCTACCTTCAACTAAATATTCGTTATCATTTACCCTATAACTTCCATGGGAGCTTCTCTCTTCACCTTGGTGGTTAGTCATTGGATATTGCAGAATGAGTCGACATCGTGAGAATGAAAGCAGAATATTCGTCGCAAACAGCCCGAAAGGAGCAGATAGCCCAGGCACCCCAAGGCTACCGCCATTGTCTAATCCTGGCGACGACACGATAGCAAGGAGTAGAAAGCAGGAATCACCACGAAGCACACAAACCTCAGACCAGGACTCTCCAATCTACATCTCCCCAAAGAAAGCGCGGCGACGACAACGCCAGTCATTATCTGCAATCAGTAATACGTCTATAATAGCCAATGACGACGCTGAGATATCGTCCAGAGTTGCAAATAGGCTCAATCGAGAGAAGCTCGCATGGGAAACCATAAATTCTGAGATTTTAGAATGGCAAACTGTCTGCCGAACTGGTCGGCCAAGCTGGTGGTCTCCGGCATCAAGATGGACACGCCAACGAAGGGCTCGATCGGGAACGAGTAGAGATGTGGCTGACATGGGGACAGCTGATTTTGGTGATAACTGGTCTACCCCAACCCAACTCTTTGAACAGCAAAAACACATAAAAAGCACTTCAAACACCCAAGAACAGGCGTTTATTACAGCGGTCCAGCTTTTGAGCGTCAGCTTTACGTTACCAGTAGAGCAATTCGAGAATTATAATAACTCAACAAACTTGTACTTCGCCACAGCTTCCGATGGCGTGCCAGACGCTCGGCTTATCAGCTCCCTCCGGATGCACACAGACTATCGATGGTCCCCAGCCTTCGGTCATGAAGCAAGAAGCACCTCGCCTGAATATCTCCACAAAGCAACACACGGTGGAGAACAGTCTCTGGCAGGCCTTGGAGATGCGCCAGTATCTCTTAATCTAAGCTACTCAAGAAGAAGCCGAAGATCGAAGAGAAAGAGAAAACGACACCAGATACGATATGTCACGCCTGCTGATAGGTCAGGGCAAGAGCACGTCGAGAAGCTCGATAGTCACAGGTCCACCCAGGCTCTGGAACGCTCTGCTTTAGATTCAGTGGAAGGGATATTCAGCGACTCTACACGGCAGACGAAGTCTCGCCTCCTGCCAGGGCGCAAAGCTCGTAGCTGCCCTGTGAGCCCTACGCTGAATACTGAGTCAGTAGGTTCTCGAGCAACTCGACTACATCACCTTCCTACCCAAATCGAGAGACATGAACCCCCTATGGGGACTCCACAAGCCCGTTGGCAGCTGGAGTCTAGTCGTTATACCTTGGAGCCTGCAATTCGATCAGAACCGCACCCTGTATTCATTCAGCCTATCAAAGAACTGGTTGTGAAGAGCTGGCAAACTTTCCGCAAGAAGCTTGATAATACTCTTAGCCGTGGTCGTCCCAATCCAGGAGGCACTTCTGCACCATTCAAGAATGAACAAATGTCCTTGTCATGGCCAGCTTTGGTTGGCCCATCAGCAAGTTCCTGGGCAGTCCAACGGCGACGAAATGCTAGAGAGAGGCATGATATATACAGCAGCAGCGTGGAAAGCAGCCCAAGGTATAATTCACTGACATCTGGAACAACAAGCGACGCTTCAAGCCCAGTACGTACGGACTCGGCGGCCACGATTCCCCTATCCAGGGGGTCTTCCTCCCTGGCAGAAGTGGTTAATACTACCAAGGCGAAAGACCCTCCCGCGAGCTCAAACCACTCGCTGCCGTCTTTCATCTCGAATAGCACCTCCGATGCTGACTCTGAAAGCTCTAACCCTCGACCCATCCCTCGAAGCCCTGCTGGATTCTTTATAGGCAAGTCAGGAGGGAGCGGTCCAAACCATACTATGCCTTCGTTTGTTCCCCTTCGTGGAAGTAAGCGTCGAGGTAGGCGGCCAAGCATGTTGTCTGAAGTAGCTACGCCTTATGGGGATATAGCCCTGACTGAAGCGGAACAGCTTATGATGGAGGGCGGTGGAAACGAGGTGATATTAGGCGTTGGAGACCTGAAATCCGGCTCAAGTGGAGAGTTTCCGGCTGAGAGGATGTACGAGGTTGGCCCTGAGTCTCATAGACTTGAAAAGTGCCGTTCATTAGACGCGTTGACGAGGAGGGATTTGTTCTCCACTGATGATTCTCAGAATATGCCTGGCCGTGCAGAAGGGCATGAAGTGGATATGGGCAAGAGCAGGTTACAGAGGATTAGTTCGGCTGGGACAACTGTTATTACCCCAAGTGACGACAGTGTAGAAGTTGGGAGATCGCCGGCTGGACCACCCTTCAGAATATGGGATGAAGGGGACCGGAAAGGAAAAAGGAGGGCCAGGAGCTTTCTCTGACAAGGGGTAGCCTGGATTTCTAACTAGCCCCAAGAGACATCAAACTATTGAGGTGCCAACATGAAGAGTAACGTGAATGCTTTGCAAAAATATCAGTTCGGTCAACGGGAGAATTTACACCAGTGAAATATATGCAACTATGGCATTTGGAAAATATGTGTTGTACAGATATTGCATCGCAAAAATCCGAGCAATTCGTTTAATTAGAATCATGAGGGTATCCGTATGGCCTAGCCAATATCCCAGTCCCGACCACCCCAGGCTTGTCCGCCTTGTAGTCCCCCAAACGCCATGAAACCGTCCCATGTCTAGTTCGCCCATACTCCGTACAGTACAGTAGATAATAACAACAACACCAGCAGAACCCCCGCTAGAAGTCCTCACGCCTCCTGTCTCTCAGTCTTTATCGGAACCATCTCATATCCCCCCGCCTCATCACGGCCTCTTCCCCTCCTCCCACCCCCAGAGAACCCAGATTCCTCATCCCCTATCGATTCCGACGGGCCAGCGCCCGCGCCAGCGCTCGCGGATCCGTTGTCGGTGGGCGACGCAGCGGAGCCACCGAAGATTATAGGGCGTAGCTCGCGGCGCTGACACGCCCAGGTGCTGAGGACGACCATGAATACTGCGCTGCAGATTTGGAGGGCCCACCAGAGCCAGTTTCGCGGGAGGCCGTGTGAGTAGAGGGAGACGAGGATGAGGTGAACGATGTGGAGGGTGATGACGAAGTCGAGGACGAGTTTGGAGCGCTGGATTATGAAGAGGATCGCGATAACACTGTTTTCGTTAGCGTATACCCTTACACCCTCTGCTCATCGCGCCCTGCAAATAGAAAGTTGGCGCTGTGTCGCTACTCACATAAAAAATGCATTCACCATCCACACCATCCCCAGCAGCCACCCCTGCGTCGTATCCCCCCTCAGCGCCGTCCACCCTAATATATCATCCAACAACCTAAACGGCGTCCCCATCACGAGCGTCGTAAAAAGAATCATCACCACCGCGCTGACATAGTACAGCGCCTGCAGCGCCAGGATCTGCGTCAAGATGCGCAGCGGCGGGAGCTCCGTCAGGGCGCCGGGGCGCGGAGGGCGCCGTCGCCGTGGGAGAGGCATGCGTGCGTGTGCAGATGTGCGACGCTTTGTGGAGGTAAGGGCTACCTTGGTAGCATTTGCGGAGTGTGTGGTTCAGTAGCTGGACGAGTGTGGCGGTTTGGTGGTGTTTGTAGGGGCTGGTGATGAGGGTTTCATGAGGTGGCATAGGCTTCTTTCTCTAAAGTTTAGGGTAGGGGACGTGGATGACAAGGGTAGGTCGACTAGCGGCGGAAGCACGTGAGTGGTGTCGATGATGATGTTGGAGAGACTAAATTGTTGATTGGGAAGTTGGATTTGGAAGACGATTGCTCTGGAACGGATCACTCTACAGACAAGTCATTGAGCAGCGAAAGTCATACACATAATCATTCGACCGGATCACCCCGCTATACCGTCAAGTTGCACCAAAATCACCTGCAGACAGGGAACCGAAAAGTCCGGCCTCAGCGACACAGCTAGCTACCCTAACGACCAGCTCCTCCTCTCCAAACACATACACCATGGGTTTATTCTCCAGCTCCGCAGACAAGCTGCCCGCCCCCAAAATCTCGACCGACGGCACACCAATCGCGCCCGACCGGTCCGCGCGCGCGAAGTGCTGGGAGGCGAGGGACGCATACTTCCAGTGCCTGGATAAAAACACCATTATCGACAGCTTGACGAATAAGGATGCCGCGGAGAAGGCGTGTGGTGCGGAGAATAAGGGGTTTGAGAAGAATTGCGCGAGTAGCTGGGTGAGTTCTAGCCCTGGGCTTTACGTTTGGGGGAGGAGCAAGCTGGGAGGGAAAGTGGAGACGGATGCGGTGTGATAACTTTATGGCTAATATATGCGATAGGTTACATATTTCAAGAAGCGAAGAGTGATGGAATACCAGCGTGACCAGCAAATGAAGAAGCTCCGGGCAGAAGGCGCGCAGGAAATCCCAGCAGGAGCCGTCCCACCAGGAATCGGCTCGATACCAACTGCGGGACCCAGGTGAATAACCCTACAGCGAAAGGAGAAGTCGTGAGAATTTAAGATAAAATGTATGATATGTAAAAATACGGTCAACAGCAAGGCAGAAGGGGGCACATTGCACGAATATAACGAGTTAGAAATATTAGTCTTTTAGACAAATCTACTCCTATAACAAACACAACCACCAAAGCTCAAAAGCCACACCGCACCACCTCTCGTCAAACAAAAGAAAAAAATGCCAATGGAGAATCGGAAATGTTGAAGTAGATTCGAATTCGCATCCCTTGTTATTATCACGCAAACGCCCATCCCATCCCACCCCACTCCCGTCGTGAGATCGTGAGTCCCGTCCGTCCCCTCCTGATATGTGCTGTTCTGTCGTCCAAAAGTCCTGTCAAAAAAATCTGCTGTCCCTGCCTATATCCCCGAGGATCAATACACGTTCCGCCTACTGTAGTGGCTCCTCATCCCAATATTACTAATACTATCACTTGGCGCCACGCTCCCCGCCACGCTCTCTGGCAGCGGCACTCTGCGCGCCTGCTCACTCGGCGCCATATTCCCCACCGCGCTCTCCGGGAGCGGGACTCGTCGCGCCCGCTCGCTGACCGTCGTGCTCTTGCGGTCACTCTTCATGCTCACCACCGTCTGGCCTCCGTGGCGCTCCGTTCTGGCTTTCGAGCTCGTGCGCGCAGGCTTGATAGTCGAATCGCTCTTCCTGCTCGCGTGACTGCGTCCGGATTCAGAGTGCCTCCCAGCCTCAGAATGCCCGGACGCACTAACAACCGCAACAGGCTTCCCATGCCCAACGCCCCTCTCGCTATAACGCGACTGTTTCGCCGTCGATGCATGGCTAGGCGCGGGCGCTTGACTCCTTCCGCCATCGTACGCGGAGTAACTCATACTCCTTCTCTCATCCACCGGCTGGAGCACGCCCTCTCTCCCACCCCCACGCCCGGTGCCAGCAGCGCTCGCAACATTATAGCGAAGCACATACCGCTGTCCCCCCAGGCTCCTCTCACTCCCCACCCTCGACCCACCCACCGACGGCCCCTTGGAGCGCGCTACCTCCATAACGGGCGCCTGCTGCGGAACCTGCGGAGCGGGGGCCGAGAAGTACGTCACGAGCTGTGGGCGCGGTTGCTCTGGCTCCTCGCTGCGAACCATTGCGTAGGCCACCGCGGCGCCAGCTGCAGCGCCGAGGATGGTGCCGATGATAGCCTGTGCGGAGAGGCCTTCTCCAATACGCTCGGGGAGGGCGGCGGAGACTTCATTGTACATTGCTGTCATCGTTGCGCTTCTGAGGAGAGCAGGGCGGGAGTCTGGCTCTGGTGAGGGGGCCACCTGGGATGGGGCAGGCTCCTGCTGCGCGGGCTGTGCTAGGACCATGGCGCGCTGGGGGCTTCCGACGCGGCTTTGAGTGGGGGGGTGGGAGGAGATGGAGCGGGCGACGTCGCGCTGCCAGTCTAGGACTCTGCGGGCCTCCTTGGCGGTGGATGCGGTGGTGATAGTAGTCGGTGCCGCGTGAACGGAGCCGCGGCGGAGCGGGCTGCGAGCGTAGCAGACTTCGAGCATGTTGCCGTCGTGGTCCGTTGTTTTTGCGACGGCGGTGTCGGCGGAGTGCTGGATGAGATTTGTGGAGTGGAGGGTGTTTGATTCGAGGGCGAGGGCGTGGAAGTTGGCGACCTGGGTGAAGTTGGATGCGGTGAGGGTGAGGGTTGAGGGGCGGGGGGAGTGGGATTCGGTGAGGGTGAAGAGGATTTCGGAGGGTTGGGCGGGGATGCCGAAGTGGAGGGAGTGAGGGGAGGAGGGGGAGGCGCAGAGGAAGTGGATGCCGAGGGGTTGAGTGACGGCGGCGTAGAAGGAGGAGGAGGAGGGGAGGTGGGAGACTTCAATGGTGGGAATCATTGATGCGGTGAGGGGTTTTTGTGCTTGAGAGAGATGTAAAGAGGGAATGATGAAGGTAGAGAAGCGCAAGTGAGAGAAGGTAGAGAAGCGCAAGTGAGAGAAGGTTATGCTCTGCAAGACAGAAGGGAAAAGGTACCATTATATGGCTATATGCACGATGAGACGAGGCGGCAGATGTGAGGCCACTGAGCTTCACATGAGCCACCAAACGAGGTGGCTCATGTGAAGCTCAGTGGCAGCCACTCACCTTGCAATTTGACTCGAAGCTGCAGAAGCAGCGCAGCACGCATGAGTCTAGGATAATCCGCACTGGAGCAAATTCATGTACGGTAAGGCCTTCTCCTTTCTGTACATTTCTGCCGTTGGAAACATAGGCCATTTTCATTGTACAGCTGGAATCGTGCCACGTCTCGGTGGGGTAGCAACGTTTGGTCGGAAGCATGATGTTGCATATCCCCGGTCGCCTCGACAAAGTCATTGGGTGCCAGTTGACGGCACAGGCGACACGGCACCGAATGAAAAGGAGAAGGCTACGAAATCAGTAGGAAAATGGGGCTCTGGATCAGCAACGGGAATCCAATTATAGCTAAAGTATAGTTAGAATATAGCTAGAGCGCTACTTTGTAAATGGCGAATTAACTGAAGCATTTGGCAATTCATATATGGGGCATCAATGGGTCGATAATGGGTCGTGCATGATGGGCATGAATATCTTGCTTATTTGCCGTTGGCGCGGAGTAAGTCCGACGTCTCTACGGGCTATTTAGCTATGTAGTTGGACAGTGAGTCGAGGGCACCAGCATACCAGCATACCAAAACTGGGTACAGGTGCGCTGGGTGCCCACGAAATAGTGGTGTTGCTGCCCAAAGCGAAAGCTAATATTAGGTTTCATGCTCGGTATTCTCGTCATATCGACGGACAGCAACGCGATACTTATCGCAACAATCCAGAACAGTGGAAGCACTTGAAGCATTTGACAAAGGAAATTGTGGACCGTGTTGAAGTAGCCCACAAAAGACGACTAAAGCGTCCTGGATCTGTTGTTGAACGCCCGATGTTTTGGTTGTAAAAACAAAGACTGAGCACACAGATAACCCAAGCTCGATAACCACCCAAACTAGCGTGATGTTATGATCAGGCCGTCCGAAGTGATCCTCGCTTTCACCTTATATCAACCAATGCCCTTGCTGTGACATGCTCGCACTCCGTGACTGAATTGTATCTTGTCCCTAGTGAGGACATCTTCTGCCGGCGTCGGCGCTCTGAAGGTCTCCTAGATGATGTTCCAGGCATCTTCTGCAGCGTGGCAAAACTTGGAGCATGCCACACTAGCGGAGAGACTGAAGTTGCTGATGGAGATCTTCTCGTCCACAAACTCGTCGGCGAAATTGTCGGATCCTTTCGCCATGGCGCCGACGAACACGCAGATGCTCTCGTCTGGCTTCAGCGTCTCCATATACTCCCTAACCTTGACAACAGGCGCATCGAAGCTGAGAGTGATCTTCCTGCAGTTCGGAGGGAGGTGATCCGAAATCGGGTTCTTGATAACCTTGAGCAGCTTCTCTTGGGAGTTTGTAGAGCGAATAGACAAGCGATGCAATAGCTGGACCATAAGTCCAGCAAAGCGCTTGAATGTACGTGGGATTCGGACTGTCGGGCTGACTTCGATGAGGACACCCTTCGCAGTAGCGATATATATTTGCAGCAGACCAGCCTTGTTGACGGGCGAATCGAGTAGAGTGAGCAAGCACTGCAGACGTTAGTCTCTGCCCCGATAAGATGGCTAGATCGCGCAAACCTGATGTGTAATATCTGGTCGGGCATCGCTAATATCGCGGTTCATCTTGCGCATGACGCCAATGTGCTCGTCGCTGTTCAGCAGCGAGTACTTCTCATCGCGGCTGGGCATGCCTGGCCTCGCTGGCGCACCGTGCGAGGCCTTGTAGGTTTCGAGACTAGCATTTGAGAGCACGACGATCAGGCGCTGGGTGCTCTTGTCAGTCGCGGGAATCGGGACATGCTGCTCAGCGGTGAGTCGTGGCAGCGATGGTGGCGGGAGTGACTGGGTTCCTGCCATGGTAGTGTCTGTTAGATCGGATGCTGCCATGGTGTTGAACAGTGGAGTGTTTGGAGGAAATGTTCAACATTGAAGTTTGATGGAGGAGGGGGTGGGGGCGGGGGTGGGGGTGGATGTGTTGGTTGAGCGGAGAAATATCGAAAAAGGTTTTGCAAAAGTCAGTGTTAGATGGATGGGATGATGCTACTCACTCGGCCGCTTAACGTTTCTCTCTTCTGGGGAAGACATTGTGACTTTTGGGTGGGGGGGGGTTTCGAGATAAAATTTGTGATAGGTCAATCCAGAAGAATTAACAACAAAAATGGATCAAATCTGGAGAGAAATGATCACAGCGGGGTAATTAGGAGATAGATAAGGTAGATGAAGAGATAATTGTGGCGAAATATGTGAAGTCGGGGATAGTTTGATGGAAGAGTATGAAGAGATGAAGGAGAGATTGATGGGGGGAATTTGTGTCAACCTCTTTTATTTTCAGTGTGCGACCGACGTCGGCGAATTTACTTGCTCAGGCGACAACACGTGCCTCTGAATATCTTCGAGTACTGTTGAGGGAAAGAGAATTGCTTTTCCCAGTGCAATCGTCGGGCTCCCCAATTGGCGCTTGGCGTGAGCAGATTGCCTCAGAACTCCGACGCATTGGGTTTCAGGCCCAAACCCTTCTGTTACTCAGGGCGTTTGGGTAGGCCCTCCGAATGACATAAATAATACATAGGCTCCGTTGGTAGTGTAGTAATTCAATTCAATTTAATCAGTTTGTTCTATATACTGTAGTCTACTGTCAAGTTTTCCTGCCCGTTGCGCAAAAGCCCGAAGGTCCGTCCGGTCACCAAATACACTGCACGATTTGCGCGCGGTCGCAATATTTCGGTGCTTCCACCAACAGGTTATGAGCCCGGCGACGCTCAGAAAGCTTCATATTTGAACCAAGGAATTGATTCCGAAGTCTCACATCGAAAAAGTGAGAGTCTGAGCTACTCGCCGGCAGTACTCAGTCGAAAGAAGCCCGCAAAGTAAACCATCGATTTGGCCGCGGCGGTTCAACACTACAAGCCGGAAAAGTGATAACGGCTCACAAAAAATGGAGTCCGAACAAATCGAAAGGTCCCGGATCCAGAAACTGTCTGGTCCGAACTATCGGAATTGGGCCCTTCAGATCCAGATCGAGCTCATTATCACATGACATATCTCTATCAACTAGAGGCCTAGGAACATGAACGATAGCCCCAAAAGCTTCTACAACCATCTATTATTCATTACACGTCATCGCTCCTTAGTTACCCACAAGATTGGTTAAGTTATGACATAATTTGTCTATAGGGGTACTCTGACCTTGGACCTCCCTTTACTTCCTATAGGCTACGAACCTAAGAGATGGTTCTATGGGATTCTCTTACGTCGACTACAGTTACCAAGCCTGGTAAGTCATGGAAAGTCTTGGAAAATGAGAGAACTACACTCCTTTAGCATAAATAGGATTTCCCTTTCCTTAAGAAAGGGCAAGCAGACAATACAGTAAATCGACTATCACATACTTCCACGTCTTTTCCAAGCTTCCCATTGATCTTGTTGCTCCTTGTTTCTGAAAAGTCAGTGAGGTGCTAACCTCTGACTTATCCCTGAGTTCTCAGACTCAACATTTGTTACAACTTGTCTAAACCACTCTACTACATCATACACCTGATTGCTGCATTGTGGAATAGTCTAAGCTACGACCCTTTGGCTCTTTTTCCTAAGACAGTGTGTTGTCTTAGGAAAATCATCCCTTCCTTGGGTGGCTAGATTCTCACATCTGGTGCACCCACCATTACATTAAGTAGGAGATTTTCTTAATAACTTGTTCAATGAGTGTCCAAATGATATGCCGTGATGTATGTAGCATAAACAGATGTAGTAGAAGAGTTTGCAGCAATCGTTGAGTAGTATTGCTCTTGTTGTTGGTGTGACAAGCCAAAATATGTATAGTGACTTGTAGGTTTGAGGAGGAGATTTCTAAGTTTGCTCTTGAGTTTGATAGCAAACTGAGTGCAACGAATGTCAGTATGACAACTAGCTAGGTGTTGCATTTTCCGCCGGGTGTTCGATGGTTCATGTAGTAGACGAGATAGTTAGAGATCCATTCTGAGGCTGGTCCTCGAAAGAGTGCCACAGCCCATAGGACCTGTTCCACTTCTTTGTTGAAGTGTTTGGTGTTAAACGCCATCCATAGCTCCGTCTGGATGATGAAGCTCTTAAGCTTCTTGCGATCCCCATGAAAGGTGTCTGGGAATGCAATCTTCAATTTGTCCGAAGGGTGAGCCTGTGGGGCTTCGATGGTAGGTTCAGTAGCAACCTTCCCCTTCAATCCAATGTTTAATCCAGTATCGTCTCCAGCCATGTTGCTTTGTGTGTAAGCCGGTACCTCGTAGAAGTGGTGCTCAAAGTGTAACACTGACTTCTAAACGATAGAAGACACAGAGGTTTCTTGCGTAAGGTTGACTTGACAGAGGAGGCAGGGGATTAGACACAAAGGCTTTCCAAGTAACACGTTACAGTATTGTAAAGAATACTATATTGAGTTGAGCATGAAGCTCCTATCTAAGGAAATACTATCTACTTATATAGTGGCGTCGTGCCTCATGGGTAATCTGGATAGTTGGCGGATAGCTAGATATTCAGGATAGTTCATGGATAGCTCAACTATCCAATATCCACTAGTTTCTGCAACTATCCATTAGCCCTGTCAGACGGCAGCCTACCCCGCTTGCCCCCTGTGACTCACACGTCACGTTACTAGGCCCTGGCCCTGTAACCATGACGTCATGTTACTGTAGCCGTAACACTCAGCCTACAAGAAGCCCTCAAAAACTGAAAAGGGGTAAACTTACTCCTCAAGAAAGAAAGCACAGAATGAACAACAACCTTTGTTTATACTGTGGCAAAGGGGGACACAGAATTCAGGAGGTGCTGATTCAAAACATATAGCAGCCTCAGACACAGTCACAGCTGCTATTCCTGAAAAACTTGAAAAATCCCCACCAGGCACAACTTCAACTGAGACTACAACTGTAACGATGTACGGTTACGCTTGCGCTACATCCCACTGAGCCAAAAAGACTACAGTATTCCGGCTCGCCCGGAATACGCGTAACACGCTTTATATACCACATGTACTGTAACGGCGGCACCCGTTACAATTACCCCCTTTAGTCTGTGACGTCCCGGCACGGATGTAGAGGCTTCTAGCGTATCATCTCATACTTGCTTCTAGGCCCGTTACTACTCAGGATGCTAAGGTATGTATATAATAGCTTAAGCCCCCAAGGACGCCCCCTTGTCAGCCAGGTAAGGAATTACACTGATTGCTCACTTAGCCCACCCAACTAGCGAGCCAATCAAAACCCATTGACCAATGAGCTGGAATACTCTTGTAACGATGTATAGTTATGCTCGCGCTACATCCCACTGAGCCAAAAAAGACTACAGTATCCCGGCTCGCCCGGAATACGCGTAACACGCTTTATATACCACATGTACTGTAACGGCAGCTGTCATACTGACATTCGTTGCACTCAGTTTGCTATCAAACTCAAGAGCAAACTTAGAAATCTCCTCCTCAAACCTACAAGTCACCATACATATCTTGGCTTATCACACCAACAACAGAAGCAATACTACTCAACGATTGCTGCAAACTCTTCTACTACATCTGTTTATGCTACATACATCACGGCATATCATTTGGACACTCATTGAACAAGTTATTAAGAAAATCTCCTCCTTAAGGGGGTGGGCCAATACTACCACATGGCATATCTCTACCAACTAGAGGCCTAGGAACATGAACGATAGCTCTAGAAGCTTCTACAACCCTCTATGATTCATTACACGTCATCGCTCCTTAGTTACCCACAAGATTGGTTAAGTTATGACATAATTCGTCTATAGGTACTCTGACCTTGGACCTCCTTTTCACTTCCTATAGGCTAGGAACCCAAGAGATGGTTCTATGGGATTCTCTTACGTTCACTACATGATTAGCAAGCTAGTTGTGGGTCGCACTTGATTTCTAATACATTTACCAAGCCTGGTTAGTCATGGAAAGTCATGGAAAATGAGAGAACTACACTCCTTTGGCATAAATGGATTGCCCTTTCCTTAAGAAAGGGCAAGCAGGCAATACAGTAAATCGACTAGCACATACTTCTATGTCTTTTCCAAGCTTCCAAGCATTGATCTTGTTATTCTCTGTTTTTGAAAAGTCAGTGAGGTGCTAACCTCTGACTTACCCCTGAGTTCTCAGACTCAACATTTGTTGCAACTTGTCTAAACCACTTCACCACATCATACACCTGATTGCTGCGTTGTAGAATAGTCTAAGCTACAACCCTTTGGCTCTGTTTCCTAAGACAGTGTGTTGTCTTAGTAAATTCATCCCTTCCTTGGGTGGCTGGATTCTCATATCTGGTGCACCCACCATTACAGCAGCACCCGTTACAACAACTTCTCCCCTAGACAACAAAGATGTGTCGATGGTGCTTTCTCAGAGTTTCACACACCTGTTAATCCCTATTCAACTCCATTTCAAACAACAGGTGTTATCTACAAGGGTTATGATAGACTCAGGGGCAACAGGCAACTTTATATCTCAAGACCTCATCTTGACACACCAGTTACCTACAATTCCCAAATGCACTCCAGAGTTGCTCCGAGTCATTGATGGAACTCCTATCAGTTCAGGTTCCATTACCTGCAACACCCCAGTACTCAAACTTGAGATTCCCCTAGGAAAATCAACATTTTCAGACACCATCTCTTTAGATGTTATACCAATGAAGTACCCAGTCATCCTAGGTCTTCCATGGCTTCAAAGGCATGATCCAACTATCAATTGGAAGCATTTATCGCTTGGGTTTAGCTCAAATCCTGAGCTCAATACTGAAAAAACCCTTCAAGCCTCAGTTACCCCTATTCAGGTCCAAGACTCAAACTTGTCCCAGATCAAGGATTTTGACCAAACTATGGACGATATATCATCTCTGATATGGGTTAAACCTTTCCAACCTGTCCTGGAGATAGCAGCTACTTCAGATTTGGAGAAATCATCTCAGGAGGTCATTTTGCCTTTAGCATACCAAGACTACCAACATCTTTTTGACAAGGCAAAGGCATCAATTCTGCCAAAGCACCAGCCTTATGACCATGAGATACCACTCGCAGAAGGCTCAATGACTCCCTACTGCCCTATCTACTCTCTATCTGAATTAGAGCTGAAAACTCTCAGAGAATACCTAGATGATAACCTTAGTTCTGGCTTTATCAGACCTTCTTCCTCACCAGCAGGAGCTCCCATTCTTTTTGTCAAAAAGAAAGATGGTTCCTTGCATCCCTGTGTTGATTATAGGGGCCTTAATGCAGTCACTGTTAAAAACAGATATGCTTTACCCCTTATCCCTGAGCTCATAGATAGGCTCTATTAACTTAGGGCAATGTAGGTTTCGGATTTTGAGTATTCGTTGGTGTAGTGTGCTAGCAATGACCTTTAGTAAATATGACTTGATCATTTACCATATTAAGTGTAACTCCATGTTGCTTCATCCAAGCCTTCCTAAGAATGATGGAATGTTTCCCAAGAGTGGTGATGAATAGAGGGCATAGACTTTTGAGGTGGTCTTGGACCTATAGGCAAGGGTATATAGCATGAGTGATGGGAGGGGCTGCTGTTCCATCAAAGCCTTGAATAGGGTGTGGCTTTAAAAGCTCTACTAGTGATATGCCTTCTATCTCACAAATTCGTTCTGCGTCAACAGCATTCACAAAGTTTCCTCTAGTAGCTCTAGTATCAATAAGAGCTTGTGCTTTGATTTTCGATTTTCCTATCATACAAGTAATTATAAATGGAGTATCTAGATCTAATGCTAAAGCTTAAGGAAGAAGTTGCAATTCTTGCTGTTGTAACACCTTTAGGGATGTCTTGTCTAAAGGTTATTCGTTTCCCGAAAGGGGTTCATTATCTGTGCTCACTTTGTGGACTCAAGCTTGCTTAGTAGGGCATTCAAAAGCTCAATATCCTGTCTGCTAGCAAACGAAGCAACGGCCTTCCTACATTAGGTTGTGGTGGGGTGCTCGGTATAGCTTTGACTGCCTAGAGTTAACAAGCTGATTTGAGCTGACAGAAGATGTGTAAGGACACAGGGCACCCAGCTCACAGTAATAGCATATGAGAGTGCGAGTCGGAGGCTAAACGGATGCTATCCTATAGGTCTACTACGAAGGATACAAAAAAGATGAGGGGGGAACCCCATGAGTCGATTCCCTCAAGTACCCAAAAACCATCCGACTCGGTTCCGACTTGGTTAGCCCACCCAAATGATCACATGTGACCCCGCAGCTACCCAGAGTCTACTCCTTAGAATGAGAGACGAGAAGGCATCCTTACAAGATGGCTGTTTTGCTCTGCTTTAAGAATCCTGTGGCTTAGGAGCTTGCTGAACAATGCGAGGGACAGCTTGAGCCTCTTGAGCTTGAAGCTGTTAGATATTATAGTGTACAGTGAGATCAAAAAAGGTTAGAAGGTTGGTTGGGGGTGGTAGTAGTGTTGGTGGTTAGGGCGGGGGGGCTAGAAAGGTTGTTAGATATTAAGGAAGGATGGAGGTCTTCTAGCTAGAAGTCTCAATATCTATCGTACGGAGTTGCCGGGTAGTCGCCTAATTGATGGAAGGACTTGGAGGTTTTCATTTACCATTTCTACATATTCACTTTGGATATTCCCAAGTCTTTTCACATAGTAATAGCATGGGGATCCTAGGGGGGTGTTTGTAATGGTGGGTGCACCAGATGTGAGAATCTAGCCACCCAAGGAAGGGATGAATTTACTAAGACAACACACTGTCTTAGGAAAAAGAGCCAAAGGGTCGTAGCTTAGACTATTCCACAACGCAGCAATCAGGTGTGTGATGTAGTGAAGTGATTCAGACAAGTTGCAACAAATGTTGAGTCTGGGAACTCAGGGGTAAGTCAGAGGTTAACACCTCACTGACTTTTCAGAAACAAGGAGTAACAAGATCAATGCTTGGAAGCTTGGAAAAGACGTGGAAGTATGTGATAGTCAATTTACTGTATTGTCTGCTTGCCCTTTCTTAAGGAAAGGGCAATCCTATTTCTGCTAAAGGAATGTAGTTCTCTCATTTTCCAAGACTTTCCATGACTTACCAGGCTTGGTAACTGTAGTCGACGTAAGAGAATCCCATAGAACCATCTCTTAGGTTCGTAGCCTATAGGAAGTAAAAGGAGGTCCAAGGTCAGAGTACCCCTATAGACAAATTATGTCATAGACAAATTATGTCACAGACAAATTATGTCATAACTTAACCAATCTTGTGGGTAACTAAAGAGCGATGACATGTAATGAATCATAGAGGTTCGTAGGAGCTTTTAGAGCTATCGTTCATGCTCCTAGGCCTCTAGTTGGTAGAGATATGTCATGTGGTAGTATGAGTGATGTCATGTAATGAATCATAGAGGGTTGTAGAGATATGCTATGTGGTAATATCGGCCCAGTAACTAAGGAGCGATGACGTGTAATGAATCATAGATGGTTGTAGCAATCGTTGAGTAGTATTGCTCTTGTTGTTGGTGTGACAAGCCAAAATATGTATAGTGACTTGTAGGTTTGAGGAGGAGATTTCCAAGTTTGCTCTTGAGTTTGATAGCAAACTGAGTGCAACGAATGTCAGTATGACAGTGTTGTACCATGGTACTCTGGTCACATGATCTCACCGTGACTTCACCACCCGAAAATTCAGATTAGATCTCAAAGCTAGGCAAAAACAGCGAAAAATCCACCACTCCTGTTGAACTAGCAAAAGTGAATCAATCCACTTCTGCTGTAGTTCTTATAGTCGGCTATATTATAACAGAATTTTCGGGTAGTGAAGTCACGGTGAGATCATGTGACCAGAGTACCATAGTACAACATCGAGTCAATCGAGCGGGTGTCGGCGGGCGGTGAGTAGACTTTGTAGACAGGACCCTGAGTTCTGCACAGTGGTGTATGCGGGGTGGAGGTATACAGTACATACACACTCTCGCTCACCCTTTATTTCTTCTCTCTATTTATTTTATCCTCTCCATTTATTCTCACGGCATCAAAACACAACAACTTCATCCTTCAAGAATCGCCGACACATTGCGACCAGTTATGGCCACCACAACCAAACATCGACAGGTATAACTTATATGTACAGCAGTCAAACACTCCTGCTGAAGCAAATGTAGAACAGCCACTGTTTCAAATTTGCCCAGTTGTGGATGCCCCATCACAATGACTGCCGGCGCGTATGCCCTCGCAACCGCCGTGGCCCAAGCCTGACATGCCAATGTTCCACTACAATCAGACTATGGAAGGATCGAGAAAGCCCATCGCAGGGAGAGCTTACTGCCTGCCTTTAAGAGCTAGACACGGCAATTGTGACAGGTTTGATATTCTTCAATGTGGGGTTTTTGGCGTTACGAATGTCATGCTGTTTGAGCTTGGCACCATTTTTCTCTTACAACTGCTGTTTGGCATGGGACAATGCGCAATAATCGGAAACTCCATCTCGAATCCCGCCTCCCTTCTTACAAATGGCAACAGCCAGACCAGGCATCTGTGATAGGCTCTTTTACGAAGTTCTAGGGAAGTTCTAGGAAGTTTCCAATAAACTTTCCTGAAGATCTCGTCTCGGCTTGTCTGATGTCCATATCCCTCATCTTCACCTCACAGAATCGCCGCCAGGCATTACATCTCCTGTCTCATATACTCAACGGGGTCTCCACATCCACTTCACGGACGATACAATGCTCGTTGCAAACCATGGCCTCGTCTGTCATCTGTTGCTCCCTTCTAGTCGATGCCAAGCTTCCTACAAAAAGTACTCTGCATCCAAATTATCCCATCTCTTTTTGTTACCTTCATCACCGTCTTAAAATCTCTCTTTCACCTTCCCAAACGTGCATATTCGTGCGGTTTTATTTCTCTTCTTCAATCTATAATTGCCGGTCAATCAGATCACACGTCGAACGTGTCTTTCTTTTTCTTACATCTAATTCCTTGACGGATAACAACGCTCATTACATCCAACCTCACCAGCCTCTCGACTCCTACCATCTTATAATTCTGGTCAAGAAGCCGCTACAATGCTCTACAAGTTTGTTATTGCCGTCGCATTGGCGGCGAGCTCTGCCGTTGCGCAGAACAATAACCAGAATAAGGGGTTTCAGAACGCCAACAATAATGGAGGCAACAAAGGCAACAACAACGCCTTCAACAACGCCTTCAACAACGCCAACAACAACGCCAACAACAATGCCAACAACAACGCCAACAATAACGCCAACAACAACGCCAACAACAACGCCAACAAAAACGCCAACAAAAACGCCAACAACAACGCCAACAACAACGCAGCTGATGGCCTCTCACTGCTAGGGAATGCCTTTCAGGAGGGGTCTGCAGGTGGCTCTGCCAACAACGCCAACAATAATGCAGCTGGTGGCCTCACACTGCTAGCCAATGCCGTTCAGAAGGGGTCTGCACAAGATGGCTCTGCCAACATCGCAGCCGGCCAGGCTAAGTCGATTACTTCGGATAACAACTTCATAAACTTCTGCTCGGGGAAGACCCTGACAGATGGCCTACAAGTTCAAGGAGGTTCTTGTAACGGAGTTGGTGCGTATATTACTCAAAAGGTCCCTATCAAATTTTCTAACACAAGACAGTCATGGGAGACATCCCCTCCAAAAGCAACATGGTCTCCTCCATAATCACGTTCCCAACACAGGGCGGCAACAACATCCAGGCCGACACCACCTTCGACATCGAAGTCCAAATGGCAAACATCGTAGCCGGAACCTTCACCAACGCCGATACCACCTACTACTCCGCCCCCCAGCAGCTCAAAGGCGGCAAGGTCGTCGGCCACACCCACATCACCGTCCAGGATCTCGGTAACACCCTGAACCCCAACACCCCCCCGGACGCCACGCAGTTCGCCTTCTTCAAGGGGATCAACGATGCTGGTGATGGCAATGGCGGGCTCTCGGCGACTGTTACGGGAGGACTTCCTGCGGGGAATTACCGTGTTTGCACTATGGCTTCCTCGTCGAACCATCAGCTTGTTCTCATGCCTGTTGCGCAGCGTGGTGCGTCTGATGATTGCACGAAGTTTACCGTTGGAGCTGCAAATAACAATAACGGTGGTAACAACAACAATAACAACAACGCCCAGAACGGACGGGGTGGACAGGGAAGGCAAGGTGGCAGGGTCAACCGCCGCACATTTGTTGTATAAATGGGATTTCCAAGAGAGAGAGGTGCAGGTTCACGTTGTCTTTTAAAGTCCGTAGAGCGGATGTGAGAGAAAAACACAAGTAATATTGCAGTTGCACGCAGGCTTGGATCTGGAATATATATATTTTTTTTACTTTTTCTGTGGTTGTTGGTCTTGTCTAGTATTATGCTGTGTGATGTGTGTGATTTTATCACATTTTGGTAGCATCCGGATCTGGATTAAATGCCTGCGCGCGTGTGCTAATAGATTTGGCTTGATTTTTTGGGAGATGAAAAATTATTTATATACCTTTTGCTACTTGCTGCTTCTTCGTGTTTGACTTCTTGCACTTTGAAGAAAAAACCGACCAGAAACGGTTCTGGTAATAATTATTACTCTTAAAAAAAAACGCGTAGACCGAAATAAACCTATATTCATCATAGCTCTCTAGGCCCATTACCAGGATAAAAATAAAATAAAAAAGTAATAAAAAAGTCTATACCATGCATGACCCAAAATACCCCCCAAACTCCTTCGCTATATATATACGCCCAAATCAAAAACAATCTCGTCTCAAAATATCCCATGCTGGTCTGGCACACGTGGCACGCCGTAGTCAGTGGTATTATAATCCTCATTGATATGATCATCCAGCCCATCCTCTGTAGCGATAACCTCGAGTATATCCTTCGTAATCGGACCGGAGTACATGCTATATCGCCCATCAGTTAGCCAACAATTCTAGAACACAAAGGGAAAAGGGTGGGAGACTCACTTCCTCGCACCCGCCCACCACCACCCCCAAGCAAACAACGCAATCGCCGCCCCCACCACACTCGCATAATTCATATTCTCCGCCGTCACCGGCCTAATCGTCGGGAACAGCAACACCACACTAATAAAGACGACCCACGTCACCGCAATCCCATTCAGCGGCTTGCGCATCCACCCAAGCACGTATGGGCCGGGGCGGAAATCGATTTGGGAACTGTAGATGTTGCGAGCGAGGATGACGGCGACGTAGGAGAGGTCTAAAGCCGGGGCCGTGATGTTGAAGATTGCGACGATGGTCTCGGTGCTGCCGATGCCGATGCAGTTTAGCACGATGGCGAAGGCGACGACGAGCCAGACGGCGTTGATGGGGGTGTTGGTGCGGGGGTTGACGGTGGACCAGAAGCTGGGGGTGGGGTCAGCGGGGGGCGCGGTAAATGAGAGAGAGAGGGACGTACGTGGAGAAGGGGAGGGCGTTGTCGCGGGCAAAGGCGAACGCCATGCGTGTATCTGCCAACATAGCCGAGCAGCCTGTGAAGAACTGGACGAGGATGACAAAGAACCACATTGCCGTACCCCCCGTTTTGCCGCCAGCGTTGAGGAAGATCTGGGCAGCGGGCATCCCGGTGGGAGAGTTAATTATGGCGTTGAGATCGGTGGTGCAGAAGCAGAGGGTGACTGTGATCATCCACCCGACCAATCCCGATATAGTGACAGCCCATCGAATAGCCTGGGGTCCTCGGATAGCGGCGTCATGCGTTTCCTCGGACATATGAGTCGTCCCGTCGTAGTCGGTCATGACCCATGCGACGGACAAGAAACTCAGAAAAAAGGAGAAGGGGGTTCCCCATCCGGAGCCATCGGTGAAGTGCCCGAAAACCCAGCTTGCGGGTTGGAGGTTGGGTGTTAGGACAAGGAGGGCGATGCAGATCGAGATGGATGCGATGACGTTGATGGGTGCGAACCAGAGGATGATTTTGTGCAGGTTTCGCGTGCTGAGGGAGCAGATTATGCCGGTGATGACGAGGATGGCCATGGAGAGTAGGACAGTTTGGAGGGCGGAGCTGGTGGATGTTAGTAGTGGGTGAGACGGGGTGGGGAGTGGGAGGTGGAATTACGGTGAGAATGCATATGCCTCTCCATCGAAGTGAGAGTTCATGCTAACCGCCGCGAGGATCTGTTGGGCGACAGTATACGCCACACTAGCAACTCCAGCCGTTTGGCCCAGGAAATTACACCATCCGATAACCCACGACCAGAGCGCCGAGTGCTTCGGCGGAATCACGTTCTTGGTGACGAAATACATCCCCCCCGCCGTGGGGTACGCAGAGACCAGCTCCGCAACTACGACAATGAGTCAGTCTGTGTCTGCCAGAACTGTATTGGGGAACATACCAGACATAGAAATGCACTGAGCCATCAAGGACCCAAACGCCCAAGCCCACACCGCCGCAGCCGGTCCGCCGAGACTCAGCGGGCTACCAAAAGTCGCAGGGACCGAGCCCAGGACTCCCAGCACCGATATGGCATAGGAGAGCGTGGAGTACTTCGTGAAGTGGCGGGTGAATTTCTATCATATCGTCAGGACTCCGTGCCCGTGGCTTCCTGCTGGGGACAATCCCACCTGCTCGTAGCCAATCTGAGCTAGCAGCCGCTCATCATCATCATGCATAGTCGCCATTGGGTGGGCGGTCCGTTCTACAACCTTGCCCGAGGCGGTGGCTGGCTGTTCTTGGGACGGAGAGACGCTGGGGCGTTTTTCGTCTGAGGATGGCATTGTCAGAGGATGGAAGGGGGAGGGTGAGAATAAAAATTGCCAGTAGGCTAGAATCTCGCAATAGGAGAAATCCACGAGGGGACCAAGGGAGAGGAAACCGGGGGGGGGGAGATCAGGTCCATGTATATATGGACGGCGAGGGAAAGTAAAATAATGTGAAGGAGCCACACACCTTCTCTCGTGCAACCGCTGATCGTACCCCGCCGTTGGATTGGCCTGTTCCAACTCGCACCCGTAACAACGGTAGCCCACGCGGGAGGGACGGGATTCAAGCTTCTTCCTGGTCGATGACGATGATAGTACCCTTGGGGGGGTTCCACAGTCTAGTCTGCCTGACGTTGGGAGGAGGTGGATGGTGGACGGACAACACCGGATATAGGAAGCAAGGGGCCTTTCTTTTTGATTTTGGGGCTAATGAGAAGCCGCTAGTAGAGTAGTTTGTTCGTGCTTTGGTGTACAATCTATGCACCCTTGTTTTGTACACGGGCTAGAGGAGAGTAGAGGACTGGAGTATCATTTCCCCGACCGTCCATCAGCCTGCACGTAAGACGAATTAAGTCCATCCCCTTCCCAACTTCCATCTCAGCTTCCAAGATCAACGAGACCAGACCCGGCGTTATGGCGTGGAATCATGAAAGCAGGGCGCGCAGGTTTAGTGGGAATCCACGGCGGACTGAACCAAACTGATTGGAGGCGGGCCAGCGGGACAGTCCGTCGTGTCACAGTTCTCGAAGCACCATCTGCAGCGGTGATACGCTGAACCACAGGCTCCATATTGCATATTGGGGTCCGTCCGAGCCATGCCACTCTCGAGCTACATGTTGTAATTGCAAGTAACTTCCACGGCGAGATAATCGCACAGTTCGTCAAATTGTGGTGAAACGCCCAGCCATGCCGGATTTGAGGTAGCTGGTACAGAAATCTGGGTGCCCGGCCGCCAACACAGTTGGTGGAGAACGGGCATCGAAATTTGGTGATAATTTGATCATATGACCTTCTCATACGCCCCTGAACAATCGCTGATGGGTTGCTGTTTTTGTTTTACCCAATCGCAAAATGGGTGAGTATGTGGCGGTGAAGAAAAGCTTGGAAAAGCATTCTGATAACGGGAAAGAACGTGTGTTGGGGGAAACGGATATCCCCGTAGATTACGTTGGCTTTTACGCCCAAGATAACAGGTTCTCTCCGGGGGATTGTCCAGCTCCCTGGTTGGCTCACGAGTCAAGCAGTGGCACCAGGCTATTGTGAGCCACTGACTTGGGCTCAGCTGAGCCCAGGAAGCTCAGCTCGTCAGGGTTTTGGGGGTTTCCCCCAGGGCTACAAATGGCGTACGTAGGCCCGTAGATTAGGTAATAATTCAATTATATTATACTATTTTACTGTACTCTACTGTGAAGCTTCTGCTTCGTTGCCCGAAGAGACTGATTACGGTTGTCGGAGATTGCCACACAAATTCGTGTGTAGTTCCCCGTATCCCGCAATTACCTCCAACAGGTTATGAGCCCGGAGTTGCTCAGAAGCTTCGTTTATTGAACCAAGAATTGATTCCGAAGTCTCAAATCGAAAAAGTGAGAGTCTGAGCTACTTCTCGGAAACGCTCAGCCAAAAGAAGCCTGCGTAGGAAGCCACCAGTTTGGCTGTAGCGACCTGGTGTTATAAGCCTAGAAAAGTGATAACTCTACCGAACATGGAGATCGCTAAGCGCCCTAGGATCACGAAGGTATCGGGTCCAAACTTCCGGAACTAGAGCAAGCAGCTCCGACTTATCCTCAAGGATCGGAGAGTCTAGAGCACCATCGATCTAGAATACAAGCTAGACGACGATGTTGAACCCCCCTACAAAAGACGAGTCGAAGGAGCTTGCTCAAGCCCGAGAGACCAGACGATTGCTCAAAGAAACGTCTAGGCTTACACCATTATACGGAAAACTGCGTACGGAGTATCGTCGACAAGATTATCAAATTTGAGACGGCAAGAGAGATGAAGGATTACCTCTACAAAATATACGCCTAGGACGGAGTTCAGCAACTTGTCGCAAAGAAGGAAGCTTTCAACAGCTACTCGCCCTTAGCGACGGCGTCGGTAAGCGACGTAGCCACCGCCCTTGACAGGACGAGATCGCACAGATCAATCTAGATGAACGGCCATTAGATCTATCAAAAGCCACCCGCCTTACCAAGATTATAGTAAGTCGTGGTGGGAAATACAATATCGCAGCCGCCTTCAAGGCGGCAAAGGTCTCGGATTACGACGATATAATCGAACACCACTAATATCAAAGAACAGATTAAGGAGTCCAAAGCGATCACTGAATCTGCTTAACAAGCCTCTATAGATACCGGAAATACAAGAGGAGGTAGACGGGGCAGGGGTGGCAGCAGGGGTAGCGGACCTACACAAAATGATACCTATATGTGTTACCATTACGGCAAGACTGGCCATCTTTAGAGGGATTGCTACTTGAAGAAGAGAGGTGATCCAAAGACAGCTAGACCATTAACAGGACCGCTTGCTATTCTAGGTGGTGGACAGGGGTTATCACCCCTACCTAAGGAAGTAAACGTCGCTAGTGTCATGATCGCTCCTACAACAGAGACGTCTTAGGTTGCCATTGACTAAGGCGGAGTCGATTCAAACTAGGTCAGCAAGGCAAAGGATTAGGGCGACTCCTAGATTATGGATTTAGGCTGCTCTTGCTATATGACATTCACAAGGAAGGCGTTCGTTAACAATAAGCCCTTAGGTATGCCAATCGCCATGAGATTAGCTAACAGGACAGAGATCTAAGCTGTTGCTAAAGGTACTTGTCATGGTGGGTGCATGTAATGATGTACAGTTACGCTCGCGCTACATCCCACTGAGCCAAAAAGACTACAGTATTCCGGCTCGCCCGGAATACGCGTAACACGCTTTATATACCACATGTACTGTAACGGCAGCACCCGTTAACGTAAGTCGTGGTGTAACACAATGGGTGTCATAACGCAACTGATAACCGAGGACTACCAACTTGTAACTTGAATAACTCAACAATGGTGCATAGGAAAAGCATAGCGATGGCGGATTTAGAGTCTCGTATTACTCAGGCGATAACTGGCATTCAAAATGGTGAATATAAAAGCTTGTATAAGGCTGCCCAGGACTTGGGGTTGACCCGGAGCACATTGACGTGACGTGTCAATGGGGGGTTATCTTGCCGTCAAGCCCGCCAACAACAGCAGAAACTCTCATATGCTCAGGAAAACGTACTTCTCAAGTGGATCAAAGACTTAACAATTAGTGGGTACTCTCCCGGGAATAGCTTATTAAAAGAAATAGAAGAGGAACTGCGTACAAAACGAACATACAATTTGGACAATGCGACACCCGACGTGCTTGAACTCCAACCACATGATACGCTTGGTGAGGACTGGGTTCCCCGATTCATTATACGACACTCACATCTCAAAGTTGCTATTGGACATTGAATTGAGTCCGTACGAATGGACGGGGCAACAAAACCAGTGCTTGACGCGTGGTTTGACGCATATCAGAAAGTGGTTCAAGAACACGGAATTGTCCAAAAAGACATATATAACATGGACGAGTCTGGATTTTCGATTGGGACAATGGAGTCAACGCGTATAATACTCGATTCATCACTTCGTACAAAGCACCAGGCTCATTGTGGCTGTCAAGAATGGGTTTCGATGGTGGACTGTATTTGCACAGATGGAACAATTCTACCACCGCTCGGGATATTCAAAGGGTCGAACGTCTTACAGAACTGGATACCGAATAGCGTACTCATACAAAGGGTTGGACAAGTAACGTTCACGGTTTAGAGTGGTTAAACCGATAACCCGAGCAAAAGCAGGCAGACAACACCGACTTCTTATTTGTGATGGCCACGATTCACATATAAGCGGTAGCTTTATAGCACACTGTCTTCAAAATCGAATTGCGCTTCTTATTCTACCGCCTCATACATCACACTTGCTGCAGCCGCTTGATGTTGCGATTTTTGGCCCTCTCAAAAAAAAGGCTGACAGCTGTTATGATGGTCACAGAGGTCAAGAAGCCAGTCTGGAGAATAATAGGCTAGATTGAATCTAAAGAGAGAAGAAGAAGAAGAAGGAAGGAAGGTGAGGCTATTCCTCGTAATATACAGTTGTCCGCTTAGCGGTTGTAGCCTTGGTGGCTAAGGCTGCACCCGTAACAACCGTAACAACCATAACAACCGTAACAACCATAAGCTATAATCGTAACACTACCCCCCCCCTTACTAAGATTGATCTCCTGATCAAGAGTAAGATCATTGTGGCTTCTGTGGGTATTTTCAGTGGAAAGCTTGTGTGAGTTCAGGTGCATTGTTGAAGTTTGTAGCGGGATACCAAGTGTTGTCTGGTGGGTGGTTCTTCCATGCTGCCATATAGAACAGCTTCTTCCGTAGGAATTTAGAATCTAGGATTTCTTCAACTTCCCATTCAAGTTCATCTTCTATAACGATTGGCAGGGGTGGTTCATGGTGCTGGCCTTGTAAAGCATCATCTGAGTCAAGTCGTAAGAGGTTGCTGTGAAAGACAGGATGTATCTTCATGCTTGGTGGTAGCTCTAATCGATATGCCACTTGCCCAATTCGTTCGAGAATCTTATACGGACCAACTTGCTTGTGATCAAGTTTCTTCGATGGCCTCTGAGTCCTGATATTTCGTGTAGATAGCCATACTTGATCTCCAACCTGATATCTTGGTGCAGCTTTCCTGCGTTGATTTGCGAATGTCTCCATGCGAGTTTGCGAGAGTGCGATTTGGTCTTGCAGAAACTCCCAAATATCTTTCATGCTTTGTATCATATCCTTGTGTTCCTGTGGCGCTATTTGGAACTCGCTGTTCTTAATATCAAAACTCATTCTTGGCTCGAAG